TAATATCATAATTACCCTTCTTACAAGTAACGCACACGCTTGTTCCGCCATGATTCTCATCCTCTATTTTGTCCTCTATCGTCCTCTATTTCTCTGAGTGTGGCTCCGTGATTGGAGCTTGGATTTGTGGCGTATGAAATCTCACTGTGTCTGATCCTGCTGTTTGGGTCTGTCAGAGATTCACAGTGATCTGAATACAGAAATACTAAGAAATGCAATTTCAAACTTATTTTTCTCATGAGATGTCCTGTAGCATCAGAAAAAAACCACATGACCAGGTAAAAAAACAAGAAAAAAGTAGATTTTCATTGGAGTCTTCATTTAGGTAACAGTGTTGGATGCCCATACTAAACTGCAGCAAAGGTCTATAACATGAAATCACTGGACATGATTTCTCTGCCCAGCTTGTTTCAGGACATGGCCAGAACCTGATGTCAGTTTGTGCCTACAAGGCCAATGCTCAAGGTGCTAAAGGGCAGCTCTGCCAAAGACATACCCACCTGGAAGCTGGGCATTGGGCGTGGGCTAACGGGACTACAGTGAGCTAAGTGGGTGCTAATGGCTAGCTTCAGACATTTTCTGTAAGTTTCTATTCTAAGGTTGTTTCCTGACTGAACAAATTTGTGAAAAGTAACACCCGCAAGAGTATAATTTTTATATCAGCAGCCAAAGCGTAGCATTTCAGACAGTGGCTGAGTGGTGCCAAGGGGTTTCTGGAATGCCTGTAAAAAATAAATATACCATATTACTCTATAGGTGTCCTTGGATGACAAAGTGTGAGGTGAAAATGAGTCCAATAGGTCTGTTTTGAGTGCAGTGCATTCATACAAGGAAACTGTTTCTCTTCGCATGGGATTTTGGATTTCATGCAAAGACAAATAAGGTATTTGGTATGAATCCTTTGACCTTCCCAAATGTCAGAGAAACATAAAGTTAGAGCAGAAAAATCATCTACTCCTCTACTGTGTTACTAAACGTTCATGTGAGCCATGAAATTAATTACAGGAGTGTTTCAGTGACCCATAAACGTTTACAAGGTGATTTTTAATAGTTTGAACCCAGTAATAAAAATTTACACCTCACAGGAAATTAATGTGAAATGGAAATATTTTGAAGAAAGAAAAAACTGTGGACAGTTTCCTCTTGAGACTAATTTAACTTAACGTGCAATTATATCACTGTTTTCCGAGGCCAAAATAAAACCTGACTTTTCAGCTTTTTATTAATGTCTTTTAATTGTTGATGGTTTTTCTTTACATTATCTTGTTTCACAGCATCAACTGTACTACAGTGCAGCACTATACAGGTCTGTAAAAAATTCTGCCTGTACCCACTGCCACACCAATGGGTTTCCAGTCCCCAAGAAACCCTCCATCACAGGGTTGACTACAGGCCCATCGCCCTGACATCTATGGTCATGAAAACCTTCAGGAGACTGATGTTGAGCCCCCTGAAGGACATCACAGGCCCACTGCATCATTGGTGGATGATGCAGTAAACATGGGACTGCGCTACATCCTGCACCACTTCGACTCTACAGGGTCCTACGCACAGATCCTGTTCATGGACTTCTGCTCGGCATTGAACACCATTGTTCCTAAACTCCTTCAGCACAAACTGGCCCAGCTCATGTTGCCAGACCCCACCTGTCAGAAGATCACCAGCTTTCTGGCTGATAGAAGGCAACAGGTGAGGCTGAGGAACATCACATCAGCACCCGGACCATCAGCACTGGCGCCCCCCAGGGGTGTGTTCTCTCCCTGCTGCTCTTCTCCCTCTGCACCAACAACTGCACCTCAGGTGACCCATCAAACTCCTGAAGTTTGCGGACAACATCATTAGTCTCATCTGAGATGGTGACAAGTCTGCATACAGATAAGAGGTGGATCAGCTGGCCAGCTTAAGACTGTGGGGATGACAGTGGACTTTTGGAGGAGCCCTCCTGCAATTGCCCCCTCACAATCAACAGCACAGTGTCTACTGTGGACTTGTTCTGTTTCCTGGGATCCAGTATCTCCTGAGAAGCTGATTGGAGCTTGTACTTCCTGCAATAACTCAGGAAATTCAACCGTCCCTTGGGAGCTGCTGATCCAGTTCTAGACCCCCATCATCCAGTCTGTCCTCTGCACATTAATCACTGTTTGGTTTGGGTCAGCCACCAAGCGGGTCAGGAACAGACTACAACGGACTATCAGGACTGCTGAAAAAAATCATTGGGGTCAACCTGCCCCCATCCAGGACTTACACCAGTCCAGGTTTTAGACTCCAGAAACATGCAGGTGACATCACTGCAGACCCCTCTATTTAAACTCCTCCCTTCAGGTAGGTGTAACAGATCACTGTACACCAAAACCAGCTGACACAAAGATGATTTTTCCCCCTGGACGGTTGGTCTGATGAACTCCTAAAGTTCACAGAGTTTTAGACAGATCACTGTGACTGAAAATGACTTTATAACTGTTTAACAGTTTATCTATAATTCCTCTCATCAGACATATACCTCTGCACACCATATTTAATATTCATATTTAATGTTAATACTATAAAAACACTAGATTCCCCTCATATACATGATCCACCTGTAATAAAATGACATGTATATATTTCTTTCATAACCATGCTTCACTTAACTTTAGTCCTCATCATTGCACTATTGCACCACTGTCTTATATATGCAAGTTAAATAACTAATTCGAGCTTGTACATAGTTTGTAATTTTTGTGACATTTCGTGTTTAATGTTTGTACATAGAAGGCAAAGTTTAACGAAGGCAAATTCCTTTAATGGGTACACATTCTTGGCTGATTCTGATTCTGGTACTGGTTCTGATTCTGAGAATGTTTAGCATTCATGTCTCTGCACCGTATAAAAGGATTGCATCAAAAGAAAAGCTCAGCACAGAAACTGGGCTCAGAGTCAAAACAGGCTCAGAGATACTCCACACACCTTAAGAGAGTATGTGTGTGTCTGAGAGTGTGTGTGTGTGTGTGTGAGTGTGTGTGCACAGAAACGTACTGTACTTCCCACTGTCTTCTTGAAGACAGAGGGGGGAGGGGGCGGAGAGAGGTCGGAGGGGGGTTGCAGCTTGTTGCACTGAGTGGGCGTGGAGGAGCGGGTGGGCGGATACGCACGGTGTCGCACATCAAACTCCTCACAGGCCAGGGGAGTTCAGAGGACGATGTGTAACAGAATAATCCGGCACAGGCTCAGCATCCAACAACTTAGCATGCGAGAGAGGGCGAGCAGATGAGAAACAGCGAGAACCAGGCGGAGGCTTGCCAACCACTTTCTGGAACAGGCAGCAGCTTCTTCTTCTTGGTGTTGCTGTTTCAGGGCAGCCTGTCAGTGAGGCTGTTAAAACATTGAGCAACAGTTGGATGAACAGAAACCTGCTGTGTATATTGTTCTACTGTGATTGCATGAAATTCCCCTCTAATTGCTCTTGTTCCTCCACACAGGCCAACGGCTGATATTGAGAACATCTGAGAGCTCTCAGTCCGTGTGTGTTTGTGTGCGCAGAGTTGGAGGACAGCCTGGAAAATGAGGCGGTGATGTTTGACAGGTTGGACGGCTGATTGGAGCCTTCACCTGTGTGTGTGTGTGTGTGTGTGTGTGTGTGTGTGTGTGTGTGACTCCACATAGGTAATGGAGCTTTTAACAGGATCCATAAAGCTGCCATCTGTGGGCTGAATGGACCAAATGTCAGGTTTTCACTGCTTTAGAGCAGAGAGGAGTGGTGAGGATCATGGACCCTGACAGAAGGGTTAATATGACACCAAGAGGACACACACCGTAGTGAATGGCTCAGTTCAACTACCTGTATTAAAACTTCGACTTTATTTACACACACAGGTCTGACAAATTGGTCACAGGTTGTGGGTCTATCTGAAACTTATTTATATCCTAACAAAAGTGGAACACTGTGATAACAGATGGCACTAGTAAGAGCTACACAGCTGGATAGAAACTGCACATTGCTGAACACACTGTGGAGGGAACACAGTTTACACCTTCTTTCCTCTGATCAGTGGGAATTATACTCCAGATTTTGGGGAATTTTGACATCTAGACCAAGTATACAGCTCACATGTCGGCTTTTTGTTGCATTGTGAGATTTTTTTTAAACTTTCAGTCTTGTGCTTGTAACAAATTGGCTACTCATGTTTCCTGTTAACTTCAGACAACAGTGATTTTTACACAACGGAGACGAGCCTGATCTCTTAAATTAAAAATCGATTCTTTGAGGGATATTCGTCTTCAACTGAGGGTGACAGACTTTAAGCCATTTTTCCAAACAGTTCTAGACCATGTATCCTATCTGCTCTCTTTTGTTCTGCTATAAGGTACAAATCAAAACCAAGTCCATGTGACTATTATTTTTATCTTTAAAATTTTTAGAGTAAGGTTGTGTCATTCAAATACTGAAAATGAAAAATACTTCACATTGGGGGGGGGGGGGGGCTTTATAACTGTTAAAACAGAATTTAAAGTTTGCAAGAAAAGGCAAATGTAGTTGAGAGAGGTTTTTTTGAAACAGGATACAAGACTGCGATCTTCTGTGGAGCTCTGAAATTTGCACTCCCATCCTTTCATCTGAATTTCTGCAGACATCAGGATTATACTGCCCTCTACTGGATGATAAATAATCATTCTGGTGACAAACAACTGTCCTATTTTTGATTTAGGTGTATAATTTCAAATGGAAAATGAGGGAAAAGGTGAACCTATTAACTGAAGTTGGTCTGTGGAGTGCAAGCACTTATTTTATCATCTAGGACTGAGCTGCCATGAATGTGTAGTTCTTTGGTTGGTAGCAACATTCTAGGTGCTGATTTAAAGGGAGAAGCAAATCCAGATCTTCAATAAATGACAGAAGATAAAAATGAGGAGTGATGCCCAAGGAAACCTGCTGAGAGGCAACAACACTGTCTGAAAGTTGCACACAATAAGTTTAAAAAAGTACTTAAAGTTTGATAGAAAAACAAACAACAGGAAAAAGATACTTTCCAATATTCAACTTTCATTGTTTATTTCTCTAATATTTCTTTATATCACAAAAAGTCTTCAAAATGCAGACTAAGATCTTTATATAAACTGTACACAAAGCAAGGCACTATACACTGGAGGATTTTTAAAATCACATACAGTTCATCATCACTCTATCTTTGCTTTTTTTTTCTTTAATCAAGCCTGAATCTTTCTTCTTCTATCAGGAACGACAGAGACTCTACATTCACATAAAGCTGCATCATTCATTCATCTGTAAATGGCAAATGGTGAACTGTACAGCAAAGAGAAGATCTGTGATGTCCAGTTTTTTTTATCCACAACATGAATTTACACTTTATTTGTTCATTTTCAGCTTGAAGAGAATTCAGGTAGTTTTTTTTGTTTTAACTCCTTTATGGATTTGATATAAATATAAATTATTTTAAACGCACAAGCATACGTGTGGAGTGTGATGAACAGGCTGACCGGTCTGCACACACTCTGACAGAGATGGCTGACAGTGTGACAGCACTGTCTGTGCTGCGTATGGTACATATATACAAACATAAACAAGAGTGCGGCTTTAAAGAAGAACTATTAACACATTCATTCATTTATTCAGAGGAGGAGCAGCAGCAGCTTCATTTGCATCCCAATTAAACAACAGAATACTCACACACAGAGCAGATGGGAATGAAATCTGCCGCAGATGAAGCTGGTGCTCCTCTCATTCACTGATCACTCACTCCACACCTGCATCCCACCCTCTTTTTGTCCTGGACCCTCAAATAAAGGGCTAACTCATGAGAGGCTGTCCCTGAGCCTCAGGATGTGAACAAAAGAGGGACAAACAACCTCCTGGTGGCTTTTTTCTGCTCTCTCAGCTCTCTGTTAGAAAAGTCCTTTCGCTTTCTTCAAGTTCACCTGCTTCCAGGTGGGCAAAACTCCGTACTCCTCTCTGCTCATCTCCAGGGCTTTCTGTGGGCGAGATCATGACACTGTCAGGGCCATACTAGACAGTTTGATACAGACATATCATGTCCTGAAAACTTAACCAATACAATCTGCAACAGGCACTGTGAGGAGTGAATACTATATCTGAAAATTCATGCATCACTGAAAACCACAACACAGCCTTTGTTCTTCAGCTCACATCTGCAGTCAGAGTGTAAATCCACAGGTGTCAGTGCTGTGAGAGAACATGCAAAACACGCTTCATCTTATCAGAGAGGAATAAAAAAAACAGCGATTAGGAAGATTTATAGAGAGAGTGGATTATGTTAAAGTTGAGTGATGATGCTGTGCAACAGGAGCACAATTCCAAATCCATCCATGCTCAAGTCAGAGGACTCACCTTCCCATAAGCCCCTACACCCTGGAGGGTGGATGAATGAAATGATAGAGTTAGAAAAAGGACAAGAGGAAAGAAAGAAAGAAGGATGTAGAATATGATGGATGAAAATATTTAAGGAATAAAGAAGAGCTGATGAAGCTGATGATACAAAAAAAATCGATAAAGGCCATCCATTAGTAAGAGACTGATTGGACTGCCAGAAACAGACTATATTTACATGCACATCATATTCCTGGAACTAAAGGAATTGTGATAGTTTGTTTGGTCAGAGGTGTGGCCAGACTAAGGTTTGCACAACAACAAATACTTACCATAATATAATCCAACACTTAAAAATGTAAATGTAATCCAACACTTAAAAATGTGGATAACACTGAAAGTTCTCATGTAGCTGCTGAGCAAAGACCACCATAGAGCACTAAAGCAAGTCTTTTGCAGATATAGTGCAGGAACTAATATAGAAAAGGATACACAGTATATTCTGGTGTCATGGCGTTGCAACTGGTACCTCTATACACTGCTGGTATCCTCATAGCTAAACACTTCTTTGCACATGTAAACACTTTATTTCGAATGTTGTCTTATCTAGAATGGGGACCACAACCTAAGTATGATGTGCATGTAAATGTAGTCACTGATTAAAGCTTCTGTGAGGAAATTTCACTGGTTATGAAACACAGAAATTAATGCTGATGTCCCTTCACACCCTTAATTCATTTATTTTGCCAGACAAAACAACTGACAGATACAGGACAAGATTAGCAAAGAAATTCTGAAGGGGCACAAACGTCAGTGCAAGAAGAAAGTTACTCACAGGAGCTTTAATTTTAAGGTCTCACGGTGTTTAACAAGAATATTCCCTTGGAGGATATTTAATTGAAGTTATAAAGCGTTTAAGAAAAAGCACATAAGCTAAAGCCAGGGTGTCTTACTGCCAAAAAAAACCTGATATCATCATCTTTAAAGGTGCAGTACACAATACTGTATTTAAGTGTAATAATTATTTTTGCAAAAAGCCACATTTTAAAATCTTTCGATGTTTCATTTTGACAGTTTTATTTTAATTCCCATTAGCCACAACAAAAGTAACATAATCTGGACAGATATTTAAATCGATATCAGAGACTGCCTTAAGTGTGCAGGTTCTTACCTCAAAGTCATCATCAGTCAGGTAAACCTCCAGACGCAGAGGGTCCACCCCTTCAGGCAGCGGCCGGGCCAGGAGATCTGACAGAGGGTATGTGGTCTTACACAGCCGAGCCAACACGTCCTCCACCAGGATGATCTGATTACACACCTCTGCCTCCTGATAAAATGCAAACACACATCATTGTTAGTTTTAAAAAACACAGCAGAGTTTAAATCAGAAAACAGATTAAATCAGGAAATCATTCAGAGATGGTGGTCTTCACCTGGACAGCCCTGGTCTGTTTCTAAAAAGTGTAAGTCTGCTGTTTACACTAGGAGTGCATGTGCTTCAGTATATTCACTAACAGTTACAGACAGACGCAGTCTGCAGCACTGGGTCATATCAGATGATGTAGCTGGATGTAATCAGATAACATGATTAGCTCCACACACCCTCTCAGTGATCTCAGCGATGTCCTCCCGGTGCTCCCAGCTCGGGAACATGTTGGTGAAGGTGAGGGGCTCCAGACCAGCATGGATCAGATACGCTTTGGGAGGCTTCTTCTCGTTCTTCTCTGTAGAAACAAAACACAACACAAACCAGAGCCATGAGATAAAATGACTCGGGAAAAACTCATGTGCAAGCAGAGTAAGTAGGAGTAGGACCAGAAAGGGGTGAAATACCTTTACAGTACTGCAGCACGGTCTCCATGGCACACTTTCTGTCAGAGTCCCAGCGGATCCTGGCTGAGCCAGTGCTCTCATTGTCCTGAGGCCACCAGCCCTGCCACAGATACACCTCGTGATGGTTGTCCACCAGGAACAGAGCTGAAGATCCGAGAGAGAAAACAACAGACAACATCTTCAGACTTTTAAGAACTGATCACTAACTGATTCTTAACAGTTGGGTGAAGCAGACCTTATACCGGACATCAGTCCAGCAGCTTTCCCCTCTTCAGGTAATAGATTAAAATGTTGATTTTTATTACGTTCTGAGCATTTACCCTAGAGGGTTGATTTATTGAATCCCACATTCCTTTTTTTTTCTTTATCTTTCAAGGAAAAAAAAGTGCTATATTCTGGTCACATTGGGGTAACATTTCTATTCTGTCTGACTTTAAAACCAAACTCAAAACATACCTTAGTCTTGCTTTTAACTAAATTTTATATCATTAATTTTGTTTTGGTGTTTTAGCATTTATCTCTTTCTACTTTTAATGATAGGATCATCTTTTATTGAGCTATTTTGGTGCTCTTATTTTAGTATCTATTTCTACCATTTCTATTTCATTTTTTCATTTATTATTTCTAAAATTTTATTTTATGTTACTTTGTTTTAGATTTTAACCTTAGCCTTCAGTGTTTCCTTATCTTAAATTTTAAAATGGCGTTTCCTCAGTGCGCACATTACTTCTTTTTCACAAAATCAAGCCCTTTTTAAGTTAATGCATTTTAAGTTTCTGTTGCATTTAGATTGTGGGGTGGGAATCAGGGGTTAGGGTCCGGGTAGTTTTGGGTATTCTCTGTTTCTTTTATTCCTGGGTTGGGGTAGATTCAGGTATTCTTTGTTTCTTTTATTCCTTTTTCTGTGTAAAGCACTTTGTGCTACATGGTCATGTATGAAAAGTGCTACATAAATAAAGACTGATTGATCAATTGATTGAACAGTTTAGGTGTGAACCTACCTGGCTGTGATGCTACGTAGAGGTCCTCCTGCAGGAAAGGCATCGAGTTGACCTGTTTGGGTTCTCTGGCAGGATACAAAAACTCTACAGCAGAAAACTCCCCCGAGCTGCTGCTTAGCTGGTACAGACGTGGAGTGAAATTAAATCTTCCTGGATCTGGAGGTCAAAGAAAGTTCATACACTGAAGTTAATGGGACCATTAAAAGCTCTGATTATGTATAAAAGGGTTTAAAATCAGTCTATAAAGACTAGATTCATTTTGATTGGCCTACCTTGCAACATGCAGTCATAAGCTTTCCTGTCACTCCTCCCAAGCGGCTCCCAGAATCCCACAGGTTCCATCCCCTCTTCAAATTCCCTGATGGTGACCTTGCTGCTGTTGTGGAGGCCTGCTTCCAGAGGACAGCTGCACAAAATACCAAAAACTGACTGATAAAAACTGCAGCACAAAAAGATCTGCCATGTTTGTTTACAGAAGATACATCAGACTCTCCCTCGCTGGTTTGAAATTAACCTCTCCTTCCTGTCACTGTGACTATCAGGAGAAGTTCAGTCCCTACTCACCGTTCTTTGATTTTGTTGGCTGCTGTCCTCGCCACCTCCCGCGTCTGTGACTGAGATTTGCAGCCATGCCACAGGTAGATGAGGGCCTGGCTGACGCTCAGCAGCACCATAGAGACTCTGGAGCGCAGGCTGCTGCAGTGACAGGCCACCTCCAGCAGGTGTCCCTCCACCTCCACCTCCCCACGCACACAGTACAGACGCCAGTCATCTTTGAGAACAGGGGCAGAGAGAGAGTTAACACCAAAACAGAAAGAAAATTTTACAGGAGGGGACTCTAAAGGGCTTCAATTTTTTCATGATAGTTAAGAGTTAGGATATGAATATAAATATAAATTCTTTTTTTCATTAATCTCAGTACTCTGAGACAGAAATGTCGAACTTATAGAGAGACTTTTTGCTGAATAAGCCTGAACAGCAAATAAAATTAGATCTGCAGAGAGTAAACTTTTTGTTTTGTGCTCACTCTGTGAGTTTTCCTCCTCCTCCTCCCTCTTTCCTGAGTGGACCACCATCCCTCCTCTGAAGCACTGCAGGAAACATGGGGGCTCCTTTCCCTGCTGGACCTGAACCTGGAAGTCGATGGAGGAAGAGAAGGGTTAAGTTTGAACAATTACATGCGCTGAAAGAGAACAGAGGTTTGTTTTTATGGGAAGATAATCTGATACTCTCTTCCACATACCTGTGCTCCTCGCTCTTCGTCCAGCTCCACCGTCATCAACGCTGATGTTCCTTTCTCGCTGATGGTGGAGTTACGACCCTGCCAAAAGAAGTAGCAGCACTTTTCCTTCCCTGGACCAGCTGTTTTCTGCTGCTCTGGGTTTTGTCTCCTCCCAACTTTAAGAAAAAAGATAAAAGGAGGAGGATTTTTGATGTTCAGGATCTCAATCTATGTCAAAGAATCTGTGATCACAACTTAGCAGACTTCAAAGACTTCTTACCTGCAGCGCTGACCATGTACTTCCACTTCACCACGTATGTGTCACCCTCATGAAACTGACCGATGCTCTGGCGTGGCAGGCGGCTGTAGTCAAACTCCAGGATGTGCCAAACCTCCACCCCCAGTGTGCTGATCTCGTAGCTCCTCCAGTCCTCTGCTTCCACCAGGCCATAGCCCCGCCCCACGTTGAACCCATCCAGTTTGGTGCAGATGGGCCCCTGATGGATGGGCATCATTAGGGAGGCATCGTAGGCATGGGGCTGATCAGAGGTGGGCTGTTCCTGAAGTGAATGTTCAGATGAAGAAGAGGAGTAAGAAGAACGATAGGGAGTGAAAAAGTGAGCAGAGCCTGAAGACTGAGAGTCTTTTTGATACCTTCTGGTCAGTGACATGGTCGTTGGTGTTTCTTGTAGGGCTGGGTGTTTTCCTGGAGTCGCTCCAGTCTAGAAACTTCTCTTTGAAGAGGGTGGTTTCATTGTGCTGAGTCAGTCTGCCAAATACTGCCCAGTCAGGTCGGCCCTGACCTTTCCTACAATCAGGGACACAGAGTTATGACTTCATGTTTCTAATTCACAGGTGCAGAAATAGCATTTATGGGTCAGATTAACTCCCCAAGACTGGTATAGATAAAGAGAATTAAAACAATCAGGTGAAAATGAAACTCTCCATGTAGATAAACGGCAGGAATAAAGGTATAAACTGTGATTTTAACACAAGCACCAAGTCCTCCAAGCCTTTAAACTAGGAGGCTGATGGTAAATGTATGTACAAATACTAACTTATGTGGAAAATAAATAAAAACAAAACAAGTACAAGTACATTAGGATACAATGTGAAATGTTGATGAAAACAGATTCTGATGAGTTGCACATTATTTGAAGCCTAAACAGTAAAAAATAAAAAACATTATTTGAAGCCTAAACAGTAAAAAATCTAACATTTACAAGTGAAAACGGAAGAAAAAAAAAACCACTGGATGACTGTGATCTCCAGTCTGGACTGCATTAAAACAGACATGACTCTGTAGTGGAAATCACAACATGGGATCAAAATCTCTTCTAAAACTGACTGTCGGAGAACACAGTTTGTTGCTGCATCAGCAAAAGAGGGTTTAAACATGACCCAGGAATGCTGGTGACTTCTCTGAGTCTAAGTGGATTTAAGGTGAACTGAGAAGAAGTGGAAAAACCTTCCTGAGGACTGAAGAATCAAACAGAATAGAAGTTAACAGGTGTGTTTTATAACAAGTTTCCATACTTGGGTATGAGTGGGTTGCACTCTCCGGGGTCAAGTGGGTTGATGTCACAGTTTGTGTAATCGAAGGTGCCGTTCCACAGGTGCTTGGCCAGCTGGAAGGCCACTTTCCTCTGAGCAAGTGTCACTTCTTTTCCGTGCCAGATGTACATCTCACTGCCAAAATCAAACACCAAAACCTGCAGAGACATATGGATGAAGATGTTTTTAACACAGCAGTGTTGGCTAATCACTATCTCCCCTTTGTCTTTTTTCCAGGGCCACTGGGGGGCACCAGAGAGAAAAAAAAATTCAAATCCTTCAGTAGCTGCACAAAATAAACTCCAAAGCGAAGTCTTATTAACAGTTTATCAAGCTCTGGATTATGAGTAAAATGCTTAAACAGAGTAAATAGTCTGACCTCTTTAGGGTTGAGTAAAGAGCAGCGGGGCATCTTGGCCCAGAAATCATCATCTGGGACCAGTTTGTCATCCATCAGGCGGTAAATGCAGTTCGTCTCCACAATAGCTCCCTCGTAGAGCTCATCTTCATCTGGAGTTCCTGCAGCTGCAAGTGGAAAACAAGAACATCAGCTTCAGTTTCATAGTTCAGAGATTGTAAGCAGGGTTGGTGTCAAAGGAAAAAATACTTACACTGAAAACTGGACTGCCCCCCGAGAAGCTTCCAGAAATCTTTGGCAGTGCTGCTTTGTGTGTTGATGGCCTCCTCGATGACCTGGACGTGGTTAGCGCGGCATCCCAGGTCTTTCTTGCTCTGGATGAAGTTTGCTAACTCTGCAGCCTGAAAAAAAAGGCAGAGGAGTTTTATTTATTCATTTTTGTGGAAATGTCAGTTCCAAACAACTGAAATACTCTTCATACTTGACATTCATCGGAGAGTGTACCCATACACTTCTATGCTAATGTTCCTGATGTTTTAGGGCAGGGAAAGTTCATTCTCATTACCCGGAATCTTGCAAGCTCAGAAGAGAGTCTCTAAATTCTGATGAAGTGAGGTCAAAAAACCCCTCATAAATGTTTTCCTTTTAGTCTGAATGAGGTCAGCGCTCTGTTCGGCCAATTAAAGGTCATCAGACCAATCCTGGCTTTGAACAATAGCCTTGTTTTGTTCCTGTTTCCTGTAACAGCCCTCAGACACACAAACACATGACCCTTTCCTTTCCAAAAACACACTCTTTTCCTGCGCCGTGTCACTGTTTGCTTCCTCTCGGGCTTTGTTTACATCCTGAATATGGAGTTTGACCCACAAAACTGTTCACCACAAACTCCACCTGTGCTGATATGTCTCAAACTCAAAGGTTCATTACAGTTTTTATCGTTTTTTTTTTTTGTGTGACACTTATAGCAGCACCTTGTTCTTCTCAATGACGTTGGCGAACTCTCCGGTCCAAACAAAGCAGTGGTGTGGCGTGATGAGCAGGAAACAATCACCGCTGTTCAGAGAAGAAGCTCTGGGCTCAACAAGCCGGGTCTGGACGTGCCGTCGGCCTGAGGTTGCATGGGTACAAAGACACAGAGGGAAAAACAGGTGGCATATCAGTGGCAGCTGTGATTATCACTCCCAGCATGCCAGAGTTATCATTCTCAGAAGTGTTTGTGCAACAATGTGCCAACCGTGACCATTTGACCCTGAACATGTCAGTCCATGCATCTGTTTTTTCAAGCACTCATCCGTTTGTATTTAAAACCTTCCCCTGATAGTTACCAGGACAGAAAAATCATGAACAAAAATAGATCATAAATATGTCAAACGTCTCTCTGTGTGACAATAAAGCAGTTCTGTCGGGCTGGGACAGAGCAGGACCCCTCTGGTTTGTGGATTTGCTTTGGATTATATCACATGCACTTTGGGGAAAGCAGCTCAGGATAGTGTGTGTGGACCAAGGGAGAGTGATTTAGAGCCACAGCTGTCACCAGCAGACGTGAGGAGGAGGTGCAAAGACACAGAAATAGGCTCCTCTCCTATTTTAGATATCCTCTGAAAAGGGACACCCTTGAAGCAGCATCCTCTGAAGCTTTGTGTTTGGAACGGCAGCTACAGTGTTTGTTTTTCCATCCACTCACTAAACCTTACTGCTGGTACAGATGCTGCGTTACAGGATCAATATTTCAACATGTCATCTGCAACATAAGTCAGTTAATAATTCGAGCAAACAGATGAACAGATGTTTTGTATCCCTCTCTGCTTGCTTAGCTTGGATGTGAAATGAACAAGCTCTGATTTCAAACTTGTTGATTAGAGACAGACTGATTAACTGGTCTATCAATTAATCAGGGTGATAACCTGCACTGCATTACATCTGTGCCAATGAATACTAACTTTTCCATCTTCAACTTAAAAGCAAGAATCCCTGTTTAAGCTGTTACTGTATTTTTTTCATTGCTCTAAGCTCTATAAATCACTGCATTTATCTAGTTTCAATTCCTGTTTTTACATACTGTAGAAAGAAAATAAATCTTATTAGGAGGTTATTAAATTGTCAGGCGGCCTCTGTTCCAACTGTTTTAAAGGGGTTGCTAACATCAATGTTAAAATGAGGATTTTTTTTTTTTTAATATTGAAAGATTTTGGTTTCAGCTTTGCTTTATTATATTTGCATCATTTTAATTAAATACAGTTTTTATTTAAAGGGTCCATATTTTTAAGGGACAAACTCAAAATCTATTTTTTTCAGCATCTGATTAAGTTTAACTTTTCACTTTTCACTTCACTGTAAATTCACTATTTTTGTGTGTTTTATTGAGTTATATCTTATTCTTAGATCATTTTATTATCCTGACCGACTTTTCAGTGTTTTATCTTTTAGTGTTTTAAGATCTAAGCTAGTTTTTGTGGTTTATTCATTTATTTATACAGCAATTGGTGTTTTTTTATTTAAAAAAAACGAATAATTTCATTCTGCTCCTTTTTTTCTGATCTTGATTTTTGACATTATAAAATCACATCTGCAAGGTTTCCTCACATGAACTCCTAAAAGTGTTTCCTCAGTTCTTCATATTTTTTCTGGAGTCTCTTTTTATTCTTTTCGTTACATTTTGTCTTTTGACTATTTTGTTTTCTTGTTGTAAACCTTGTACATAAATCAGGCTCATTATTAGTTTCTGAGTTTTAGTTGAAAGCACTGCTGTGACTGGTTTTTCCCTTACAGCGGTGTGGCAGATAGGGCTGAAAGTGATCTTATTCAAACTTTACACTCAAGCCAGCCTCTTCAGATGCAAACAGAGCCTCACATTTTTGATATCTTGTTATTTCTTGCTGTGTTACAAATTCATACTCCATCTGTATTTACCAAAAGCTCCACTTTGCAAAGAGATGTTTAAATCCTGAAGTTATGGTAGATAGATGAAAACAAAGTGATAAAGATAATGAAAAAGACCTGCTGTAAGTAAAGGTGAGAGCAGCCAGTTAACCCAACTGACCTTTGACCTGTAGCAGCATGAGTTTCTTGTACGGCACGGCGCTGTTGTTGGACATCTGCTCGGAGATGTTGACGCTGCGCAGGTTAACGTTGCTGAAGTTCTCTTTGCTGGCCAGACCAGCCAGAGCCACATCAGAGAGACCAGAGTTTTTACTCACTGCAGAGAAGAGAACAGAGCTCAGAGAGGGGACAGGACACTCATTACATTTGATGAGTCTCCAAACAAAGAGCGGACAACAGCCAGGGCTTACGTAAATAACCTTTCCAGCTGGACACTAAAGGTCCCTCTCTATACGACTGCTGCAAAAATAGACTGCTCCAGAGACAGTTTAAGTGTTTTTGTAGCTGTCAAAGGTGATTAACAAGGGAGTTATGGTAGGAACATGACACTGACTTGTGCACTGTCTCGCTCCTGTAAAATAACAGGAACTGACCCAGATACAGGTCGCTGTTTTTCTATTATAACATCTAATATAATTGCATTCAGGCATATTTAGAGCGAATCCACAAAGAGGAGCCGTTCATATGTCGATTGTTTAGGTCACTCACTCTTCTCAGCCTTCATCCTCTTGCTCTCCAGCAGACCGATGTTGAGCCTTTGCTCGGTGTACTCGTGTCTGATGTCCTCCCTGGCAGCCAGCATCTTTAGAGGATTTCTGGAGGACTGGACATTACGCGCTGGGCGCACTGATCGCTTGTGTTGAACCATCTCTGAGGTCAGCCTGAGGAGAGGTCAAGAGAGCGAAAGCGCAGAATCACTAGGTTGTTACAGTCAGTGTCTATTTAAGATATCCTCTGACGGTGAGAGCTTACTTTGGCACCTGGGGACCGAAGATGGCGTCAAAGTCGTCGTCAATCTCCACTGCGTTGGTGCTGACAGGAAGCTCCTCCACTTGGCGGTAGAACTTGGAGAAAGTTTCATCTTCGAGGGTCATCACTTCTTTGACTTTCTTCTCTGTGACTGTGATGGTCGCCTCGGGAAGTCCAGGCACTAAAAATCAGTAAAAAATGAGACTGGTTTAACATTAACAATTTATCCACTTATTTATTTGGAAACTAATGTTGAATTGATAAAAACTTTAGATAAAGGTATTAGCAGTTATGACAGATACATGGTTTCTCTTTAATCATGTCATATTTTCTTTCTTTTAAACGAGTGTTTTATTTTTCTTTCATTTTTTCCCTGTTTTGATAGTCAGGTATTGGACTGAGGGCTTTACCGAATATTTCAGCAGTCACTGTCTAATTTGTTTGTAATGCAAATCACAAGAAAACAGTCATAGAAACAGGGAAAAGTCCTACAACAATGTGGGCAGGGATGGTGATTGATACCCGATCCTCTTTAGAAACCAGATCTGAAACTTTTTAAACTTGGACATTATTATCTTCTTTTTTTTGTTTGAAGAGTTAGTCCACTGTCAAGTCTTGAGGATGTTATAACTCGAATCAAACTGCATCATTTAAACCAAATCATTGGTGCACAAGCTAACATACATTTCCAAGAACTTTGTAATCAATTTACAGGCAGCTGAAAATATGAAGAATTTTTTGCTTGTGTTGGTTTTGGCAACCCCAGTGGACAAAGTAATACCTCCTCTCTCTCTGCTTGTTTTGTCCTTTGCATGTGTGTTAGTCATGCTGTTCCTTTGTATCAGAAATCCAACTATTCTTTCAAGCTTCTAGTCAAAACTTTAATCAGCTGTCCAAACTAAAAATATACAGTTTATAAGCACATATTGAATTTCCCTTCGGGGATTAATAAAGTTATTCTTATTCTTATTCCATCTGGAGCAGCCTGCTGTTTGATCCAGCAGAGGGCGCTTTCATTGTTACCTGACCCTTGAATGGTACTCTTGAATTTAATAAATTAATATAATGACGATTCTTTGCAAAAAAAGGAAGAAGTGTACTGCAAACAAAGCAGACAGCCATGACACCAATATATCCAGGAAGTGTCCTGTGAGAGTATTTTGGATCTTATGTCACAGATATAAAGATAAGATAAGAGCAAAAGATCAAAAGCTGAAAGTCAACTCCGTGGAAAGTAGTCGCCTTACTCCATGAATTTAAATCAGCAGCAGTGAGTTTTAGAGCAGAGTGTGCAATGATGGCAGGTCTTTATAAAAAATAGATGCATTTATTCCTGATCAAAGTGTAGACTTGCTTGTACTGTCTTTTTAGAGTTAAAATTTAAAAATGACAGTTTCTGCTCTGACTGCTCTGTCTGCCTTGCAGGACTCACTGGCGTCCAAACAACAATACAGAAACTGAAAGTTTTCTTGGGTAGTCTTGTTTGCATTTGCAGGTCATACAAAGGCATCTTTGTTAACTTCAGTCTGTTTCATGACCTGTTGAAAACTGCGTACAGGAGCTTTAAATCCCACATAGAGAAGAATTCTCGTGGTCAGCTGCCCGTTCAAGATGGCTGAACATGCTAAGGGCCAAACTTTGACTTCAATTTACCAAAGCAAGAGCTAAAGAGGAAGATAAATGCTTTTTAGTTATGAAATATTTTTTGCAAAATAAACTCCATGGCCACTCACATCAACAATGTGCATCAAATTAAACCAAACTGTCAAAAGAGGAAAAAAAAGAAAACTGCTGTAGCCTTCCTCCCCCTTCTTCATTTCATGAGTTTAAAATATCTTTACATTGTTAGAAATCATGTGGATATCAGCAGTTTAGATCCAAGTTCATAGATAAATGAAGAGACATGGGGTTGCACTGTGTTAAGTATGAAATTGGGTAGATTGAAAAATAGTAGTTGGAAGTAAATTTAATGTCATCATCTTTGATATTTTTTAGTTTCATGTTGAATGGAAAGGTTCCCGTTGAAAAGACCATGTTTATGCGAGGATAGACATATTTTACTTTGTATTTTGTTCAGTCTTACATAGTTGGAAATTTACTGCTCCAGCTGACTTAATTTACCATCAACACTTGTGAACATCCAGAAAATCTCTTTAAGACTTTCCCTTCAAAGTATGAAATGCTCAATGCATGAAATATCTGCCTGGAAACATGCGAGGCTGATCAGTTATCTCATCCTGAGAGAATTAAAGTGAACTCGACACAGAATGATAGCTCCAATTTGTTTCAGTTTGGTCTCAGATTTTCACCAGAAATGTATGAGATTTAATTGTGTCTAAACCTTTAACAGATGATGTCTTTATATATGTGGGACAGGGTGTTTTTTCATGGTGTTTACAGTCTGAAAGGCCTGATTCTACCCTCAGTGACTTACAGACAGCATGCAAGACAGGACTGACCTTTATTGTTGAGCTTGCCAAGGAATGACTCCAGTTTATCCAGCTTCATGTCTGACTCCAGGTTCAGGTCTGGTATGGCCTTGATCTCTGCAGGAGTGTACAAACACACAGCTGTTAGAGCCGTAAATTTACTGTGTTTGATTCCAGCACAGGTCCCATCCCTGATGGATGCAGGCAGGCTAAGACTCTGTTGTTGACTTGAACAATGAGTGAGCATTTTCATACAGTCACAATGACTCCAACATGGCCGTACTCATCACCACTTACACGCAACTACAGCAGATAACAGCGGCTTCTGCAGACACATGCATATTTATTATGTCAGCACTATCCCATGGTTTATCTTCTATTAGGCTTTCAAAACCTTATAGAATAACACAGCAACACAAGACACATTAGTGTTGATGGTGTTTGAGGTTCTGGTGATGATGATGAACATTGCATTCAGAGCATCAACAAAATAAAAGAGGAAACACCTTCAGTGTCAGACATCTCCTCCATGTCTTTTGAAAGAGAAGCAAAGAAAAGGGGTTACAACATCTGAATCAAAGTCATTAAAAATCTTAGCATCAACAAAGTATTAAAGCTCAAAATCAGACACTGGTTCAAGACAGTGTTTCAGTGAATTACTGGTGTAGAATTTGTGCCTGCTGTCTTAGAGTCCAAATGAAATTTAACCAGCAGCAGAGCGCTCCAGTAATGCAGCTAAACAAACAAACAGCTCAACATGAGAGCAGTCTAAAAGGACACAAGAGAGGAAATTAAGAAGGACAAGGAGCATGACAAATGCACACCAAGGAACAACAACACCCCACTGACCTTCCTGTGGTTTGGAGATGGCAGGGCTGCCGTTCTTGGGTTTGGATGACACTGGCTGAGACTGCAGGGCTGAGGGGGCGGTTAACCCTGTTGTTAGAACACACAGACAGACATTATCAGCCTCATGATTTTAGTTTTAAAAAAAATGTAGTTTACATAATGAAGTTTGTGGAAAATATGATGTCAATGTTTGTACGTTTACGCAAATACTTTAAGCAAGGATGGTGGCATTAAAGATATTTGTTTAGTTTATATTTATTCAGGAAAACTACTCTAAAGATTAGCTATTTTGAATGGGTGTGTATGTGGTTACCAGGACTTTTGCGGCAAGCCTTCAGTGGACATTTAAGGAACTGCAGTTTTTAGCACCTCTGTGTCAGTGTCATTTCTTTAAGAGGTTGCCGTTTGATCCAATCTGGCAGTTTCCTGTATCTTTGTCATCAACATTTCTGCCAGCTTTGTACACTGTTCTGAACTGAAAGTATTGATTAAAAATGTCATCAAAATTAAATTGAATACCTGTTATCATTTAATGATTTTACAGGAGTATTCGTGCTGTTGTTTTGTCTGTATTTCTGCACTGTCCTCTATTTCTGTGTACCTTAAGCTTCCTTTCCTTAGGTAGTACAGCATTTCTTATATACATATATAGTGTAGGACATCTAAATAAGGATTTGTCTGCCTTTCCTTTCCGTAAAATATCCCGGTGGACAGGAAAAATAAAGTAATTGGTATTTTCATATTTCTCTGTATCCAGTTTTAAGAAGCTCCAGATTTGACCCAATGTGTCTGCTGGTCTCCTCAAGCTGCAGCTTCTTTATCACATAACTTCAGCCCTAATTCTGACCAAGAGTCCGGTTAAAAAACCATAGGTTATCAGTATTTGCTCCCTAAACTCTAGAATAAGCGATCCACTAAAATCCAGTGTCCTAAATCTGTCTCTACTTCTGCATCTTATTTTAAACATTAATTTCTAGAAAGGCTTTCCCCTTTGCTCTAAGTTTTCACTCCACTTTTCTTTTTAATATACAGTAAATACGCATCTCATTAGTTTAATTTTAATTTTTTAAAACTTAAAATAAAGGTTATATTTCCTGCAGTTTTAGACATGGTCCCTATATATTGAGGGCTAAATAACTAAAAGGTAAAAGAAAAATAACAGATACTTCAAGAAGCGGCAGGAGCCAGTTGTAATGCTCGCATATTAATACTTAAACACATATTAACCCAATCGTGACCTAAAACTTTTTCAGAGTAGTAAATTATAACAAAGCTAGAGCTGATAAATTAAGCTTTTAAAGGCAACCAAAGCAACACAGCTGCTGTCTAAGATGGTTTTATTAATCAGTCAAACTTATTTATGAAGTACTTTTTATACAAAAATGTAGCTCTGCTATGAGGCCAGTCTATCTGACTAAGTTGTTTGAACTCCCTCAAGACCTGATTGAAACCCTTTATCAGCGACTAATGAGGAAAATATCCAAACATAAATCCTTTTTCAGCCTGAGCAGAGAGTCTGGCCTGGTGTGTGGGGGCCTGATAGAGGGAAAAGGAGGTTCATTTTCTCCTGGCTGCTGAGAAAAACAACAAGGCTTCGGAGCATCCGAGATAGAAAGCTGAGACTGTGGACTTGACACTCTGCAGAGTCATGACTCAAAAGTTTGAGCCCACGTGCTAAATTCACTGAGAGATGAAAATGAAGTTTGTAGAGAGAGTGTGAGCGTTTAGTCTCTCACCTTTCTTCACCATGCGTGCAGCCACAGTGAACTGGGTGGAGTCGTTGGCGGCCCCGTGGCCTTTAGTCTTCCAGGCTTCTTCTTGGGCCACTATCAGCTGTTTCCTCTCCTGTATGGACATATGAGCCTCGATGCTCTGACTCTCCAGCTCTGACTCTGCCATCCTCTAAAACAGAGAGAGGGAGGAGAGAAGAACCCATCAGAAACATTTAACACTGTTGGATTTGAATTTAAGGTTTAAACCTCTTTAAGGTACTTATCAAACATCATGTATCATCAGTTTTTGGTGCTCCAGAAACAGCTTTGGTCAGGAGATGTAATTAACCTGCGTTGTTGTTGCTTAATTTAGGGAAGTATAAGACGCACAAATGTCCCAGTATGACCAGAGGACAAGCACAACAACAAATAAAGACTTCAATTGAACAAGTGGGAACAATCACAAACAGACAGAAGAGCAAAGCAGAAAAAAAGACAGAAGGGGGTTACTGAAGCTAAAGAAACCTGCTAATTCCTGCCTCAGACTGAATACACGCCTCTTACCCACATTTAAAGGACACCTCATGATTTCCTTTTCTGTGCTCAAACAGATGTGACTCAAGAAATGCTTAAGTAAACTTTGTGAAGTTAAAGATGAAGACATTTTTGTTAAAAAAAAAAAGAAGACAAACAGATAAAGCGCACAGGGTGACAAGCTTTAACAGTAAATGAATGCAGGAGCTGCCACAGTGGGAGGAGGGGAGGTGAGAGGGTTTTTGCCAAAGCACTTTGGACACTGTTGACAGAGGGTCACCTTCCGTCTCCAGGGGTGTCTTTCATCCACCTGCACAGGTCTAGGAGATCTGATGGCCTTCACATTCAGAAGGATGGATGATGAGGGGGGTAAGAAAGGAGGAGGTTTAAGAGATGAGGATGAAAAGGAAGAAAATGACCAAGCTCTATGCAGGAATAAAAAGCTGCAGGGGGCTGCCATGCTGCGGTCACACTAATAGTGATAAAGCTCAAGGATGGGAGGAACTTTTTAGGGTTTTAACAAGAGGTGGCTTTCAATAAAATCTTCAGTACCGAAGATTTCAAGTAGCAGCAACTACAGAGCACTGATGTTCATTAAGTGAATTGTCCTGAAGTGTTTGGCAAGCCCAGGTGCAGCTGAGGGAGTTGAAAAATCATAAAAGACAGTGCACTAACACCATATCCTACGGCTGTGATTTAAGTGCATTTTGAGAAGCATTGAGAGCAGTGTCTGAATTCCCATCATTTATTAGTGAGTTCAGGTTCGGTGGTTTTAGTGTGGATTTTTACAGCTTGGGCAGAGTAAGCAGGGAGGCGGGGAAGCATGCATAAGGAGAAATTTACATGCAGCAGCACTTAATGCAGCTTCGTACCTGGCAGGTTGACTCATCAGGGGAGGGAGTAAGAAAAGGAGGCTCAGGAGGAGGAGAGAAAGTAGAGGCAAAGACTGGCTCCTATAGAGGGATGGCCATGGAGAACAGGAGGAAACACAAAACACAAAACACAAAACACAAACACAAAGGATGTTATGAAGTGTGTAGAAAATGAAGGGTCTAAAGCATAGACTGTTTATACTATGGACAACTTGGGTCTGCCTTCTGTCATTATACAAATTTGAAGCCAAATTGCTTTCAGTATTTCAGGGATTTTCTCCATTTCCTGGAACCACCACCACTTGCCCAGTAGCATTGTACACATTCGTCGGGAGAGTCCCTGTGATGATGCTCGGCTCAAACAGCGTATCCCCTCAGGTCAGCTACATAATCTTTGTACGCCCATAGGCTGTATCAAGTGTCAATCGTAGAAAACATGAACCCCCTAATAACCTTTAAAAATAGAGCTAAACAGAAAAAAAGAGGACTTGAGCACAAACCAGTCTTACTGTAACTACATGTCAATATCACAACCAGGGGGGAGAAAAATGCATATTCTGTGAAATACATTTCTAAAGTTTGTCCACAGCTCCATATGGATTGCTGGAGGTGGTGGAATTTATGACCTATACTGCAGCCCGTCACCAGAGGGTGCTGTTCTCGTGGTGGCTTAACCCAGCAAAGAGGCAGATGGTGTCCATTTTATATACAGTCTATGGTCTAAAGTAAATAATGTAACCTCATTTACCTCTGAAATGTAGTGTATTAGATTTTAAAGGGACACCAAATATTTCAGACACAAAGATTAGATCAGTTTACTTGGCTCAGCTAAAACAGAGGAGTCTGTTAATAACGGTGAGAAAACCTGATGCCATTACAAAGTCAGTAAATGTATTTTATGTAACACTTCCACAGACAACAAGTTCTTTAAATAAAATAAAATCATATTAAAAGGGATAAATCGTTAGTGGAAGTTACATTACAAAAAGATCAACAAGGTACAAACCAGCACAGAAATAAACAATTATAGTTTAAAAGTCCAGTCTCTAATAATCCCAGGGCAGCCCAGAAAACTAGACAGCCTGGAGGACTACATAAAGAAACCATCACTGAAACCATCTGGATAAAGAGGCATGAAGAGAAACTGAAGTTTGTAATCAGCCTTTTAAAATGATGGTTAATATTTGTGTTATTAGAGGGTGAAGCCTCAGGAAACTACAGGGAGGAGAGAGAGTGGATGAGAGGCTGTAATAGAGGTCAGGGACACTGCTGCTGTGGGGACTCAGGTCACATCCTTTTTTTTTTTACCCCAGAGGTAAACCCCTCATCATGCCATTTACACTCCTTCATCCCAATAAATGTGCACTGTACAAGACATGACCTCAGTGGTAACCCAGAGCAGCTGGAGAGGACAGGAAAGAGGAGGCAGCGCAGGAAAGTGTGTTCAACTGTGAGACTTTGAGACTCCTGGATTTAGGTTATTCTGATAAATATCCAACAATATGTGTCATTAGGCGGTTATGTCAACATTCAACCTCATCCACGGTGTGTGAGACTGTTACAGATACAGTCACAAGGAGCAGAGGTGGGATGAATTAGAGAGGCACACACCATCAGAACAACATCATCACCATGATTGGAGGGGAAAACACACAGATCACCACCACCACCAAACTTGGTCTGCACACACACACACACACCGGCCTTACCCACAGCTGGTCGGACACAGCAAACTCATCGATCATCATCAGTTCTTCATCACCCTACAGACAAGCAGCCGCAGGAGAAAAGGGACAAATCTTTGACGTCCCATGAATGACTTCATTTTCTACTTACATGATCAACAGTTTGTACGATTGCTGCAAGTTTTCACTCAAGGATCATTAATCATAAATAGATGCTTAGATTTTGATGAGCTGTGCAGAATTTAAATGGCGATAACTCAAGTGCATCAGCATGTTTTTGCAGACTTTGACTCTGCTGTAGGCTTCTGTCTGACTCTGCACAGTTTTATCTGCTAATATCTTTAGTGTTGCTGTTCTTTGTTCAAAAACAGGAAATTTACTGATACATGTTTGACGAATTAAAGAGTGAAAACAGGACAAACACCATCACCAGTTCTTCCCCGTGAACTAAACTTGGCTATCACTTGAACTTGACAGAACAAAAGCTTTATTTTCTGGTTTAAATGAAACATCACTGAGGAAAAATCTCAAATAGGCACATCAGATAATTCACCACACTATCAAACCTGACCTCAGAAAAGTGTGGAGTCGAGCTGAATAAACCCTGATAAGCAGCTGGAAACAAACACACCCTGACTGACGTGGATGTGAATATGTCTAAACAGAGAGGTACCTGTACCGCCCAACCCGAACCCCCACCCTCAAAAACAAGCAGAAAATACCAAAACAGAAGTCCAGCCAGCATGCAGAGGATGAAATGAGGTTTATTATTTTTAGAGGACATGCAAACAGAGACAAAGGCAAACAGAAGAGTGAATCATGTTACATGAAACATGCAATTCAGGACAGAAAGACAAAAACAGAGGCTGTGTTAGACACAAAATACTAGAGAGGAAAAAAATAGATTCCTATTTACATCAAATCAGGCCTTCAGTTCATGTTAAATATCTAATCTGAATAATTTGCTATAGGAAAAAAATGCATGAAATAAATGAAAGAAAAAAGATACTTTGTTGTTAATAAAAAATGGTCTGTACAGAAGTCTACAGCTTTAGGTATCAAATTAAATACTTTGAAATTATACTAAAGCAGTATTATTGGCTCTGTTTTCAGAGATTTTTTGAAGTATTTGCAGAGTACTTGCAGAACTGAACACCAGAAACTAAAGGGGCTCCTACAGGTGGATTGGACTGGAATTATTTCTGATGTCTATTTAAGAACTCTAAAAGCAAATAAAACCGGCTCTGTTCAGTTTAGTTTTGTGCCTAAAACCTTTTGTTGAGGATGATGTCAGTTTAGGTTGTGAACTACAAGCTGTGAGACTAACTTTTGTTTAAATTTAAGGTTCCAAAGATTTTGATGAGTTTTTAATTGTAATGTTAAAATAAAGCAGGAAAATATTATTTTTTAACTTTAAAATTCACAAAATATAGTGCAGAAATAAGAGTTAACTTATTCTGAAAGAGGGTCAGAGTGAACATAAACTTCAAGGATCTTTAAAAGGTGGTTTTTGATAGATGTGTGGGTAAATGAGTATGAGTGTATGCATTAGTAATGATGGAGGACTAAGTGGACTTAGCAGCTGTACTGCTACTATGCACTTGCGTACATATAAAAGGCAATGAAGGGATGAGTCAAATGATCTGCCTGTTAATTTTTCATATAACCTTTCACATCAAAAGAAAATAAACAAAGAAAACTAAATCAACCTGCCATGACTTTTTAAATTCAAGAATAAGCAAACGACCTTTTACAAGCAGTTCATGTTCTCCTAAGCTTCACATAAATGTGATTATGACACAACGTTGTGTAAAGGAGAGTTTTTTAACTGGTCATCAAATAGTCTTACATGAAATTATTGCCTCCAAAACCTTTAGAAACAAATAAGAACATTAATTAATAAATCAAAATAAAAAAAATTCCATAAAACCTAGCGAGATATTCAGATTCACTTTTCAGGATTGGGGTGTAAATGTTTGTTTGTTTGTTTGTTAGCAAGCTTGTTATCACAGCAGAGCTATTTTTACAAAAAATTTGAGGCTTTATAATGCTCTTATCTAAATAAAGGTTTGGCCAGTGAATTAAAAAGGAAACTGGAAATAGAGTTAAGGGGATATGATGCTATAAAGGGTCAGGGATTTGAACCCTGGCCACCTGATTCTTGGAAAATAACCTCTGTACATGTGGCTTGATTTAACCGCTAAGCTAAACTACTTTAAGCTGTCACAATTAGATGAATTTGAGTTTTTTTTTTTTTGAAAGAACTGTTTTTTTCTTTATGCACACATACTAGAAAAAGCAGCAGAGGATCTTGATTTAAACACCCAGCCACTTCCTTTTTCATGCACTGACAGAAGTATGTGCCATGAAATATTGTGGGACTGATCTGATGAAACTTTTCTTTTCTGCTGCCATGACTGAAATAAAAGCAGATTTACTCCTGACACAGTCCAAGCACAAAAACATGCCGCAGCTGTTTCTGAGACAGAACAGACAAAAAGATCAGATGACACACACATGGACTATACACAACCTCTCTGTTTAGACACACTCGGAACTAATATTACCGTGTTTCCACAGATTTCTACTGCTTCTACTTTCCTGCTGATTTTACCCTCAGACAAGAGTTACAGGATCAAACCTCTAAAACTCTGTTTCACTGAACAGCCAGACCGAGAAGCCCAGACTTGTTGTCAAATCCGGACACTGTGAACTGACTCAAGTTACTAATCCTCTGAAGCATTTCCTGCCGCTGTCTTAGTGCTGCACTCAAGACTCGAGGTCGCAGGGCAGTGAAATGACAAATTAAAGATTACACCCACAGACATAAGACTGTGTGTGCAGGTCAGGGTGTTACCTTCTTCTTGAAGCTCTGCTCCATCTCCCTGAGCTGAGCCTGCTGGTCACCTGCGGCAGCCTTTGCCACATCCTGCTTCTTATTGATCCTGTTCCTCCAGTCCTGCTCGCCACTCTTCTTTAACAAGGCCACTCTGGAAACAGACAGGAGTACAAACAATTACGGTACAGGAGAAAATAAACAGCTCAATTACACAAAACTTTGAACAAAGTAGTGGAAGATATAGGGGAGAGTGGGGTTAGATGAGCCATTTTACATGCCCATCTCCGAAATATTTGGTCACACGAACAATTTCTTTTACCATTTCCAAGCAACAGGGGGTGGCTAAAACTTACCCTTTGGCTCAACCTACCCCACTCTCCCCTACCAGGTTTATTCTGACTTACAGTTGATGAAAATAAAAGATTTGTACATTTTGATAAATAAACGTGACACAGCAACAATTTTTGACTAGGACTGCATTAGCTTGGCAGAATGACTGTCAACAAGAAACCTCCAAAACTGTAAAAAAACTGAGACTCCACCCAGACCAGATGGCAGATTAGCAGATCATAAACTGGGATACGGTCTGACAAGAACAGAGGTTCGATTATTGAGTTCTAATGTCTGGGTAAGGAGCAGACAAGACCCATAATGAAGGGTCAGTGTGTCTGCAGTGTGCTTTGCCCTTTTTACAAACGCCCCTCTGTGATCCAGTGACAGGACATCTTGTCCTGACCCCAAGGGCTTTAAAGTGACGCCCCAAAACAGGAGTAAAGCAACAGTGAGTGGAAGTCTGCAGCAGCATCACTGAAGAGCTTAAAACAGAAGAGACTCAAAGTTTTCCTAAAGATGTGGTTAAAGAGTGAGTGTGAGATGACAGAAAGAACAACAAACAGAAACACGCCTCTCTGTACACCAGTTTACATCCATGCACGGCATCATCAATCAATGTAGAGCGCCAGTGCTGCCTGTGTTTGTGTTCACACATTTGATGTAACAGGAGACTTATGTAATTATTATCCAGGAATCCAATACTTAGCTTTAGTTAAAGGCAAAGTTACAAAAATACTCAAATAGATTACACCAGACTGAGGATTAACAAATCAAGACTTGTCATACTTTGAATCTTCTGATTTACACCATCCTTTTCATATGATCAAAAAAATATTTTACAGCCTGTGTCCAAAGCTTGCAATGTTTCCTTCATCATGCTGTCAAGAAACGAGTGAAAACATATCTTCCCTGTAGTGAAGCAGCAGTGACTGAAAATAGAAACCCTAATAACCCACATACTGCCAACTTACTGTCCCTATTATCTAATTTTCTATCCCTGTCTAACCTACATTTAGAGCAAATCATGAAAATTAATCTTCCATTCCCTCAATCTTGGCTTTGTTGGCTGTAAAAGACACAAATACCTCACATCCTGCTGTGAGCTTTGAGATTAAAAGTTAAACAGTTCTTACAAATGGAGGAAAAGGGAGGCTAAAGTGAAGGAAAAACAAAGTTGCTCCATTTAAGCTTAAAATCAGATGGACTGACCTCTCTCTGATGGACATGTGTTTGGCCGACATCATGTCGCCCAGCTCCTCTTCCTGCTCAGGCTCGACCATGCCGCCCAGGCCACTGCTCTCTGCGTGTGTGTCCGCCACGGGAGGCTGATTCACTGCTGCTCTTGGTGATACTGCAGTGGACTCATGCAGCTCTGTGATCACGAGAAGACACAACAGAGTGAGTAAAATCAATATCCTGACCACGACTGTGTCCACATTAACATAGTCCCCACAGCAGATGAGGTTTAAAATGTCATAATTCACTAACTCAAGAAAGGCCTGTGTGATGAAAACAAGGTATGAAATAGGATTTAGAAAACACTCTGCAGGCTGATGTATTTATTAAACTCATTTCCTCTGTTGGGATGCAGCCTTTTGAAAAGCGAAACTATTTCATGACTACAGGGTTTTTCACCAAACTACAGTCATTACTCGAACACAGCAGAGCGAGCAACAGGAGAGATCACCTTCGCCGCTCACCTGTCTGAGAGAGGAAGCAGGGACACTTTTTAAAGCTGAAATCAAGTAAATTAATGTCGCTCTGCAGAGAAACTCAAACTGTTTTTTCTGTGCAGTCAAAATACACTTCTCTGTACACAAAATCAAACATTTACCCATCGTACTTCTGTCCTTTCTGATAAATTACACTTTAAAACAGAGAAAATCTAAAGAAGCCGGTAAACTAAAACTATTTGTTTTTCATTTTCAAGAACAGTCAGATTTGTAAAACAAACCTTATTCTTCTTTTCCTCATTGAGTCAGCTACAAACATTTTGTTTCCCCTTGTAATTGAATACAAACATTACAGTACTGAAGCACCATTAGACTAGGATGTAGGCTTTATGACAACAATACAATAGAATTTTGTATATTAACCATTTTTAGTGAGGCAAGATGCAGACTTTTCTAAATACATAGAATAGTATCATTAAAAATGCTAATTGCTCGTACTAGGACAATGGTGCCATGGGTAGCTCAAACACGTATCTAATATTCATCCCTCTAATTTGATCAAACAGCCTCTTTGTAACCAAATAAATAAGTGACAACATTGTAAAGTTTGTTTTCGGAAGTTGAAAAGCTAGATGTAGTCACAGAGAGTATGATTAAAGCCACATGTAAATCCTGTTATTGCGTTAAACATACACTACTTCATATAATTTGATTAAAAAAGGAAACAGGGGAGTACAAGGAGCTCAAACAGGTCTGAGGACTCTATGCTCTTACCTCCACTGATGGCTCTGTTCCTCTGAGTGTCTGAATAGTGTCCTTCTTTCTGATAGGAGTCCTGCCACTCGTGGAAAATCCGTCTCTCCAAACTCTGCACAGCTCTGTCTCCACCCTCTCTGATCGGCCACTGCTCTTCTTCCCTCTCCTCCCTCCTTTCTCTTCCAGTCTGGGGCTGGGGCAGAGCCGCCTGCCTGACCGCCCCCTCTGGAGAGGGCAGCTTCCTTTTCCCTCCTTCAGGATTAGCTCCTTCTTCCCCCAGGGACAAAGCTCTGGATCTGTAGTGGTCGGATGACTCCAGGGACCTCCAGGCTGGGCCGTCTGGGTGGCAGGGCCTGTCAGAGCTGGGAGGGACAGGTTCAACTCTGGGTGCCGCTCGGGTTATGTGGATGTCTCCGGCGTGGTCGGTGGAGACGGTGCCTCCTGGTTTCAGAGCTGAGGATGATGATGATGAAGCAGGGAGGTGTCCAGAAGCTGAACCGTTTTGAAGCTGTGTAACAAGGACAGAGGACAGAGAGGCAGAGGAAGAAAAAAAAAGTGGGTCAGTTTGCCACAGAGGCTGAGAAAAAAAGCCAGGCAAAGTGCTCACACACACAAAATACAGAGGATCACGCTGACTAATCACCGCCTGCCTGACTCACTGCACTTCCTGAGCATCAAAGGGCAGCCTATCTGGACGGTCATTTACAGCCCACATCACAAAGCCATGCCAGCAGCCCTCTCTGCACACAAAGCCTCTAACTGTAGCTCAAAGACTCGCTTTCCAAATTCATGACCATTACTTCACATAAAAAGATAGCAAACCTGGCTTTTCTGTTGGGCAAAGCAACAGTAGAGATCCATGAATGCACTGAGCTGTTCAAATCTTTGTTGTTTAAGTTAAAAAAAACCTTAAATTTCCCAACAGATATTCTCCAAACAAGCCAAAAACAAAAAGCTGCTCTCAGTCCAAGTGGCAGTGAAGGAGACCAAAGTGCTTTTGTTCTCCTCCACCCTCTGAGGCATTTTCAAAGCTCTCAAACCTTTCTGAAAAAAATACATCATCCATCCACACATCACAGCCTCCTCACCGACACAGCGGGATGATCACAACTGAGTCAGAACTTACTCAGAAGCCAGGCCATGCACTGTACATCCAGAATGATATCACACGACACTGATGTGAGATGCCAAACAGCCCATTGTGTTTACAGAAATGTTTACGGTCATTTCTGAGAAGAGTGCTGCAGCCTGGTCAGACTCCAGTCTCAGGAAAATGCATGATACCCACGAGGAGGAGGAGTCTTACTTGCAGGTGATCTACCGGGCTGTCACAAAGCTCCTGTTCATCACTGTTGTCTATGTCTGAAGACTCCTGGAGCAGAAACACGTACATGCATATTGATGCATGGCTAATGTCGTCTTACAGGGATGAGTTCACCTGAAAACCTGATATGTTTGTTATTGTTACATGAGGCTCATGTCTCTCCCTTTCTGCCACGACGGTCCCTCCTCCCTCTGCCTGCTGCACACCTGAGTGACATCAGCGCTCAGGTAGGAGGAGATGATTTAGGGGGACAGAGAGGGCTGAGACAGTCTCTTCCACCTCGAGCAGCACACCTTAATGGGCAAGCTCTCCTGTTTGTTCTTGTTTAGTCAAAATTTTGTCTGCTTTTGTCTGCGTCCCCTAGGTTTTGGTTTCCCCCTCCTGGCATGTTCAGATTTTTTTAGTATTTTGTTTTAGTTTGTTGTTTTAGTTTGGGCTGGAAATCTCCGCTAGTCTAGTTATGGGTTTTTCTTTTGATATAGGTGGTAATTTTCCTGGGTTAGGGGGAGGTACTGAGAGTCCATTGCATGGCTGGCTCAGTACCTTCCACCTTTTGATTATTTCAACTGAGGTTTCCAGTCCTTTTTTGTTTTCTTACTGAGCATTTATTTGCCTTGATAAAATTTAATTATTTCTTTCAAATATATTTGGTTGTGGTGTCCCTTTCAATATGCTATGGTCTTCCGGTTTCTGAGCCTTTGTTAACTTATTTTGGTGTTTAGGAGACCATAACAGTTATACCTTAGCTCATGTCTTTTTTAATTGTGCTGTACTTATTTCATGTCTGCCCGTTACTGAGACATCCACCTATCATCAGTCACAGGAACATAAATAATCTGCACTGAGAGTGAGGGGATGGTTTAGAACTGACCTGGGGACAGTTGTCTCATCAAAAATTCTGTCATCACTTTTTTCTTTTCATTTTATAGTTCTTTGTCAGACCGCTGTATTTTTCTTTGATCACAGTATAAGATAGATAAACAGTAAATTAATTTATGGTGATGGCAGAAATTTTCTCTATAGGCAAGTTGAGCATGTTGTATTCTTACAGAGTATGGCTGCATGATATTAAAATAAGTAATAATAGGAGATATTTTCCTTTCTGCAAAACTAACTGTAGGATGAAAAAAAATAGAAACCACAGAATATTTTGAGTACTTAGAAACAACTAAAAATTATATTCATCAAACAGACTGTCTTCCTGTACATGTGATCTGTGGGCTCCAGGAGCAAATTAAACACTCAGTGATGTCGTTGGTTTAGCTGTCTGTGTGTGAAACCCACAACACAAACAAAAGGGACATCAAAGATTTTAAGTCAGTGTCTCTGAAGAGAGAAATTTCCAGGTACCCGTGGGTGGTTAAGATGTGGCGGGTGAGGTACATGTCTGTAGTCTACAGTCCCCTTACACAAATACAGACACCAGCGTCCCAGTGGTCAGTTTCTTTGAGTTTAAATCTGCATTAAAGTGATCTTAGATGGGCAGAAGCATCCTTGACGAGGAGGAAGTGATGACAGCATAGGGCTATCACATTACACCAATAATGACGAACACTGTCTTTATTTAACCATTAAATACTGATGTCATGCTAAAATTGAGCAAATAGTAATACCCTGAATGTTTATACTGAAAAGTTAATTTTCAGAACTCTCTTCTGTTTCCAGTCACTTCCTGTAAGCTACAGGAAGAAGCTTACACTTCAAAATAAAAGCAACGTTTTAAAATAGATTTTTTTTTTCAAAATAAGAGCTCTTTTTCATAAAATGTTTATGAGATACAGTCATCTCTAAAGAAGTTTCACTTACACAACCAGCAATGTGGATAAATTATACATTTGGACATGATTACAAATGGAAGATGACATGTCAGTTATCTCTGTTGATTTGTAAATATTATGGATTTTTAATTTCAAAGAATCAAGATATTATGTTGATTCACCCTTTTCTCAATATTACTTGCTGTGTTGTTTTAAATGTCAAGTTTCTCACAAATATCGGGATGATACTGTCATCATGACATTTTATGGCCATGATAATCCTAAGGTAAAAATCTAATATAGGGACAGCTCCACTGAAAGCATGAGATGTTTCAGGTTAAATAATGGACACTGCAAGTCCAACAAGTGGTTTTCGCACATGTGCACATCCCAAGACATGTAATGTTTTAACAATACATCATTGAACCCTTCTAAAGAGAGTAGTTGTTATTAGTACAACCTGGCTATGAAAATGGCTTTTACTACTAACTACTATCCTCAGTCTGTATTAATGATGTCTTTGTCTCTATTTATGCAGGTACTGTTGCTTGTATTCTTCATTTTAATACAGAAGATGCAGAAATGGACTCCATCATGTCAAACTTAATGAAAACTCTGTTGACTATAAGCCAAAAACTAGGCATCATAAAAGTTCCTGGTCCTACCTGCTCCAGATCTCCCAGTGTGATGGGTTGAGTCTGGTAGCGAGCGTTGGCCCTGCGTCGTCTTGCGTCTCCTCTGGCACAGGTGACACGGGTGGGAGGCTGAGCGAGTCGGTTGAACAGAGCCATCTTCTCTGCTAGGCTAAGGGTGCAAAGATCAGGCTCCTCCTGACCCTGGGCTGTGATCTGACTCTCATTCTGGCCTTTTACTTGGTCTTTCTTCTCGACTGTGGGCACTGGTTTAAAGACCCGGAGCTGGTTCTGGCTCTTCTGCTGGTCTTTTTCCTCTATAGCTGGCACTGGTTTAGACACTTGAACCTCCTGGAAATCCTGCACCTGCCGGGCTTCCCGCGCCTGCTCTCGGGCGGCAGAGCTTTTCTGTGAAGATGCTTGCAAGCTGGAGGAAGGATAACACCGGAGAGACAAAGAGGTGGAGACTTCAGGTGAGCTGGAAATGAGCTCATGCAGACGAGAAAGAGACGTGCTTTGTGGGTTTAGTGCATCCAGTGACATCCTCTAAAAGGTTTAATTCAGAGCACTTTACAAAGAGAGTGAGTTATTCTTCCACAAACAAAACCTCCATATCACGTGAAAGGACTCAAGCCTTCAATCATGTAGTTATTTGCAATCACACAGGAGGGCACCAAAACTCATGAGCAGATTTGCATTGCTCCTTTTGATTCACAACATGTGGGGTTAATAATCTTACTGTACAAACACATTAAGCTGTGATGAATCAGCAGCATCAGCCATTAAAGTGTTAGTCACTCTCTGCAGGTCAGCATGACCAAGGATCCACGTCCATGCCATGTACCTGTAAGGTGGGACTGAGCTGTAAACTAGAGTGGGGCTGGGGACTCGTGCTACAGCAGTGTGAACAGACACTGTGTGTGGCACATGAGCGGGGACACTATGGGTACCAAGGACAGGGATAAAGTCACACAGAGACACACAGAGATAGACAGAGAGAAAATACAGATGATGTAAAGGTACTTAGAGGTGAAGGGAGAGGGACAGAGAAGCATGAACAGGTGGAAATGTGTGCAGATACATGGCGCTTAAAATCAAAATTTCATTTCTGAATTCACACACAAATGAAATTTTGAATCAAGTGAAAAACACAAACTTTGTTGACAGAATAAGAAAATTTCACATCCTAATACTCAGAAGGTTAACTATCATTTATTCAAGTGAAGATTTACTCCAATTACCATAACCTGTGTGCCAGCAAAAGCATTATGGGACAGGGTATTAGAGGGACTTCATCCCTATCAAGAATAATGTCACAGGACTGTTTCTTGTTTTAAAAGAGTGTTTTTGTCACATTCAATGTTATCTTCTAGACTTCTTATTCACAGGTCCACCATCTGTTCTTTGAACTGTTTGTACCTTGTCCGTCACATTTATTGTTGTGAGAGCCACTAATAGATTTGTCCGCTGTACTGGAGTGAAAGTAGATACCTTAGAGCTCTGAATAGTTAACTAACCATGAAGGGATGATTTAATCTTCTTTATTTTACTGCCCTGTGAGGACTTCCACTAGCACACTAACTCTTAACTCATTCCCATAAAAAATAATAACTATCCCTTTAAAAATGAAGACTGACCCTTTTTTGTACTTGATATAAAGAGATTGTTTTCCATACACTTTTTTGCTCTTCTTCTTGGAGTAAGATGAGGATATTGTGAGCTTATCAGAAAGTGTTAAAGTTAGCATTACCTAACACAGACACTGAACGTACAGGGAACATGTGTAACCTGTCTATGTACTTAGTTGTCTGCACCTTATGTTTTCTCTGTCCTGACGGGAGTGGAACTTTGTATAAGCCTATCGGCTTCGTTCCCTCCTTGCACTGTTTTTAATCTGTGCTAAATAAACAAATACAAATACAAATACAAATACAAAGCACTAACCTGTTATAGACACAAACAGCAAGTTGCTGACTGAGGCTGCATAGCATTTAATTTACTGAAGGCAAATTGCTTTTCAAGCCTTGATGCTAAATTAAGTTTTACATCCTTATTTGCATCATAGTGCTCAGGATTTATAAATCAAGAAATGAGTTAAGTCGAGCTAAAGAGTCTCACTTGGTTAAAGGCATTTTAAACTTACGTAGCAGCGATGACTACTTCCTCTGTGGTGACTGGCTGAGTCCTTGATCTGTCCTGTGTCCGCCTTAGTCTCCTGTCTACGGCAGCGTTTCTGGACCGCGGTTTTGGGGCTCCACCATCGATGCTCTTCTCCAGCTCCTGGATGAGAGCGTTGGGCAGATATGGAAAGTCAATTTAAATCAATAAAACATCTTAACTTCCTGACTCTGGCAGAACAGTTTATAAGTTTGCTCTGAAAGAATTAAGCATCAGGCTGATGAAATCCGGAGGTCAAGCACATTAAGAGCATCACCCTTATCAAAGCTGTTTGGAAATTGGAGTCTCTGATGGACTGAGATCCAGCAGCTGAATCTGAGGGTCATGTTTGGGGTCAATTTCACAGATGTGGAAGTGTAATGAGCTCCAGTAAAAACTTGGTCCAGTGGAAAGCTTATGTTAGCCCAAACCGTGACTATACTTCCAAGATTGTATCTCCAAATCCTCACAGGAAAGTGTCAGTGTTTGTGTCGGTGACTGAAAGTACATTTCTCTGTGTTTAGTTTCTGTGGTTCAATGAAAAAGGACAATCAGGAGGAAGCAGAAACTCACCCTGAAGAGAGAGCGTTTGGCTGCTACGCTCATTTTAGCCCGCTCGTCCACCTTCTCTTCATCAGCTACAGAAACAGAAAAGAGGAGGAAATTATTCACAGCAAAGATGCTAAACTTCTCTTAGTTTACATGAAACTTTTTTAGTTGTTTATAAGACAGGTTGTATTTGTGATGACAGGTAGACGCTTTCCTTTCTAAGCTATTGGTCACTGTCAAAATATTTACTTTTAATACCCCGCACAATCAGCAACATCTGACTTTGTTGCCGGGAGCAAAGATAAACCGTGACCCGTGACTGGCGTCAGAGCCACACAGGTGTGAGAGGCCTGTATAAACACTTACACATGAGACTTATGACATTACATCATCATTAAACTATTTCCTTTGATTGACGCTGCCCTGTTGAGCTCTGCTCACTCTTACGTTCATCAGTGGAGAGAAGAAAGCGTCCCGGCTGAGTGGGCGCTTATAAGAAGCAGATGAGTTGGTTCTGACTTATGTGGATCTGCGGCCCTGAATGCTACTGTGAGCACCACAATAACTCAGCAAACTACACTCCAAAATGTGGCTTTAAAAAGAAGCACTGAGTCACTTTGTCTCCACGCTTGTGTCTGTTTTTTAAAGTTTAAGATTCACTGAAAAGAAAAAACTTTTAGTTATTTGTGGTCAGCCACAACTGTATAACTTTAGATAAAGCCAAAAAGTAAAATGTCAATAAAAAGTTTGCAAATCATTTGAACTCTGCAGTTGGTCAGGGAAAGAGCAAAGACAAATCAAATTTTTAAATTTTTAAATGTCATTATTTTACACATTTTTATGAGCGCATGTTTATGTTTATTTCAAATCAGATACCAGGAACACGTTTATAAAAAAAGTTGGGACAGGGCAACAAACTCTGAAGAAGCTGTGAAATCTATCACCTATATCTTCATCTATCACCTTCTATCATCTGTATCTTCTAACTACTGAGGTTCATCTACAACAGGTGAGGACATGACTGAGTACAACAAGGTGATCCAGAGAGGCTGGGTCTCTCAGAGGTAAAAATAGGTAGAGGTTACGCTTTGTGAGAGACTGCGTGAGCAAATGGTTCAACATTTCAGAATAAAGTCATGTAAAAGACAGTAAATTTGCAAAGAATTTTATTTAAAAGTGGCAAGGCTGTGATCATCAGGCCATCGGGGATTGAAAATAAACATGACTTTGTAGTGGGAAGCCCTGCATAGGCTAAAAACCTTCCAAAAAAGCGCTGTCTATTAACACAGTTTGTTACTGCATCCACAAATGCAGATTAAGAGTAAACCAAGAGTGAATATGATCTAGAACAGGGGTCGGCAACCTTAAACACTCAAAGAGCCACTTGGACCAGTTTCCCACAGAAAAGAAAACACAGGGAGCCACAAAAACTCTTTGACATCTAAAATGAAGATAACATTGCATATATCTTTTTTTTTTTACCTTTATACAAAGTATATAAAAAACTGTAGCGAGTTGCATTTATGAAATAAATGAACTATTTCGGCGAGTGTCTGTCTTCTTCTGTAGTTAAACCGCAAGATATCAAAATCTACCCGGATACAGCAATGCTGCTTTTTGATTGGCTGTTCAGTATATATACTTAATTTGATTGGCTTGTGCGTGGCACGCAGCTTCTGAACTCTCGGAGGAACTCAGTTGATTTCCCCCAGTTCCATAGTTGAAGAAGTGCAACTTGGTGGACAGCACCATGTTCATTTAAATGCGTGAGAAATACAATGTGTGGTGTGTGAGCGTGTGAACGAGTGGGAATGCATGTGTCATACGCTGAATGCGTGAGACTTGAGAGCCCTGTGCTCACGCATCATCGATGTACTCCCGAGCCATGCAAAACGGTCTTTGCAAATGTTGCACTGAACGCCTTCCTTTTCAGTCTTGAAGTTTTCCCACACCACTGATGTTTTAGGTCGGGATTTGGGTTGGGTTGTGTCCATGTTTTTCTCAGCCGCTGGCTCGGCCATGGCTGTTTCTTTTCTGTGCGTCCTGCTGATGTTTACACGCCGGTGTCCATGGACATATATAAAGACCTGACGAATCGATTACAGAATTTGTTGGCAACGGATTTTTTCGTCACGACGAATCTACTTAATGGATTCGTTGTTGCAGCCTTAATAGTTTATTTAATGTTACAAGAGCATTATAATCTTTGAATTTAGAATTACAAAAATAATAATAATAATAATAAAATAAAATAAAATGCAATTAAGTATTTATCATTTATTTTCCAAATCCATTGGGAGCCGCAGCTTAGGGAAGAAAGAGCCGCATGCGGCTCCAGAGCCGCGGGTTGCCGACCCCTGATCTAGAAGCACTTGCAACTTCTCTGAGCTTGAACCGATTTAAGAGGGTCTGAGGGAAGTGGAAACTGATGTTGCTAAGTACAATGAAGCAGTCACTTCTAGAAAAACATACCCTACCTGAGCTGAAATCTGGCAGCAACAAAAAGGAGAGCAATCAAATTAGTTGTTTTTTGCATCAATTCAAACCCACTAAAACAAAAACTAGCCAAAAATTAATCTCTTCAGAGTTTTGGGTGAATAGTTTACATCTGAAGAGCATAACTATTATTGTGAGGGAATGCTTATATATTCCTACTTTACCATAAAACTTAAAGTTTTTTGATTCATTAGCAACAAGCAAAGGCCAACACTTTTACTGGTTTACATCTGCCCTCTAATATGATGCAACAGGAGGCTACAGCCAACAGTTCTTACCGGTCTAACACTCAGTGGCATACAGGCTGATAATTCCACTTAAGCAAGGCATGCTTAATCAATTACTACACCAACACAAGCTAAAGCAGTTCATGGACTTAGGTTAGGCTTAATGTGCAAAACAACTTATGTTTTGACAGAACTGCTGTAAACACTAAATGGACAATAACTTCTGCATGTTTACGTTTTAATAATTTACGAAACATTGAATCAAAGTGTACCGACTGTTACCGGTCCATTCTGAAACCAAATGGGGTAAATTTTAGATATCAAAATTACAAGTTTCCAACACTAACCTTCAGTAGGAGCGATGTCTGAACTCACGCAGGACCTTTAAAAGTGCACAAAGAAAAAAAAGTGAGTCAGCAAAAGTTCGTTGTATCCTTTAAACATTGCACAGCTCAGTAGTATCAGACGGTGGTGAACGGTTCAAGACGGGAAAAAGGAGAGAGGCAGTCACAGAGGAGGTGAGGAGATGCAGTGAAAAGCGCTCGTTTCTGGAATGCAGAAAACGTGACAGAAATTGTTAGGAGGGGAAATAAAAAGGGGGAGCACAGTGTGGTAAAGAAGACTAAGCTGCAGAATTAGATGGTATTACAGGAGTCTGTTCAGTTCAGTGTTTGCATGGACTGATTATCAACAAAGACCAATTCATGGTATGGTCACATGTGAAGACCACTGCCAGGACCCAATCAGCTGGACCTTTGGCCTTTAAGCCGCCTTCTTTCCTAATGTTGTTAAAGTGCTGAAATTAAGTAAACTGTAATGTGTAAAAGCCTCTCTGTGTGTGTGTGAGTGTGTGCATACAGTCATGGGCTTGTGGTAAACTATGATCTAGCACATGCTATTAATCTGATTATGGACTTAGTGTATGTACGACACAGTTAATTATTGTTCACCAACACCAGATTCCCACACCAAACTCCTCTGTGGTCGGCGGTCCAACACTTCAGAATACAATGATGGAGATTTACCCTGAGCTTTCTAGACACCGTGCTCCTGGACCCTTTTTTAGGTGGTGTAGCAAAACCAGCACAGAAGTTTTCATGGTCCTTTTGACGTGTTAGTTAGATTGACCTGTAAATTGCTTCGTACTTTCTCAGCTTGAAGGAAGGCTCAGCAGATTGTTTAACCATTGCATCTGGGATGTATGCATGCACAGCTAATAAATCATAGGACATGCAATGCCAGTGATATGACATGAAACATGTTATGCTTTCAGTTTCCAAAACATAATCTGAGATAAACCCGTATCTAACGTCACTCTAATGCACAACAGACTGATGGCTGTGATTGCAGAGTCTGGCACTACTGCAAATGTTACAGTCAGCGTTTCCCTGTACGTGCCTGTGCTTGCACTGTGGGCACACATTTGGATATGCTAACCATGATGTCAGTTAGGTGCTGTTCTGAGCATTATTTGTGGCTATAGAGTGGCTTTTTGGTTGAGGTTTGCACGTAGAGACATAGACCGCTGTGTATTGCTATCGTGCGGTCGTTGCTGAAGTTGGTATAACTACAGAAGCAAGCAGTCGGCAATATTCATCTCTCAAGGGGGGGTCTTACTCGGTGTTACGGTGTGTTTGACCAAAACTTAAATTTATGCTGGAATATCCCTTTAACTCTGGATTGACTGATGCAGGTTAAACAGTTGCTGTCACAGGGTTGGACACGGAGTGGTAAAAATGGGAGAAGGGTTTGATTTGACAGCAGAAAATAGATTTAAAGATCCAAATAATGAAAATTTCTCCCTTGCATGTTTGAAATAAACATTTCATTTCTGTTCTCACATAACCAGGGTACGCCCATTTCACAGAGTTCGACAAGATTTGGATTGTTTTCCTCAGCATAAATTATGAGATATTTTTAACTAACAATGTTGATGACTTCTCAACACTAACTTCGGCACTTTTTTTGTGAAAGTCTAAGTATACAGTGAATATTTACAGCAGTGCTGGACTGATCCAAGAGTGGTACAGTTTCCTCCCTAAGCAGGAGGTACTTGAGGATGGATCAGTAATGTCAACACAAACCTGACATTATACAATCTTTCTATGCATCAAAACTGAAGCATCATGACAGGATCTCTTCGACATGCATGATCACATGGATCACTCCCAGCATTCTCCACTCTCAGCCATGCGTTCTCCAGACCAGACCAGACCAGACCAGAGCAGTACCTATCAGTTTCTTGTCGCTCAGCAGAAGTGATGGGCTGTGTCCTAAACCTCTCTGAGGTCTTTCTACTCTCCCCGGGACAGATATACTGCCTAGGCCTGCGCCCCCTGTCCCTTTCCCCTCTCCATGGGGCACAGTAGCCCTCAAGTTCTCTTTCACACTCAAGCTCACTGGAGGGGCCACCCAAGGAGAGGGACCAGCAGATCGAGAACCCAAAGAGGAGAGAAAATAGAGTGTAGTGAGGGAGAGATAGAGAGGGACTGGTGGCAAAAAGCAAACTTTTAAAAGCTGAGATCAAACCCATGGTTTGAAAAAAACAGGTATTTGAAAGAGTCCATGCAGATTTGACGCATGCACACTTTCATTGTCCCCATGTAGTAACCAAACAAGTCACTGCACCAGTTAAGGACAAGACCCGAACATCACAGGAAGCTCAGTGTTGAGTGATTAATGCATTAATCCATATCTACAGGTTAGAAACTCTGCAGCAGTTTTACTTTGCTTTGATGTGAACTTCATGCCCGCTTTAGTGGTTGTTAGTGAATAAGCAGCAAGCCAATGTTAGGTACAAAGCATCAGTGTGAGTTCTGAACGAGCCAGCCAACGAGTAGCAGCGGTGCAACGCTCAGTTTTGCCACCTACAGCTCATTCCTGCGTCTGCTCGGAGGAGTGGTGGCGCTCTCCATGTAGGAGTGTCTGAGCTGGGCAACAGATACCCGAGTGTCCTGGTGACTCTCTTGGTTACTGTAACCGTCATCCTCCCTGACCTCTCGGGAAGTTTGGGTCTGGTGCTGCGAGTTCCTCTGACTTGGTCTCCGAGGATCTCCAGCGTCTGAAACTGTGTGGCTCAGGGCAGAGCCTGACTGTGCTGCTCTTGGCTGGATGTGCGTGGCAGTGAGCCCTTTGTGGACATAAATGGCATTTTCCCGCTCTCTGATCCTTCCCTCCATGGCTTGCAGATGCTCTATTTCCTCCCTCCTAGCTCTGCCTCTGTGTCCATCATCTACCTCAAACCTTGACAACCCTACGTCCTCCTCCCTCCTTCCTCTCCTTGGGTCCTCAGTGCTCTTCTCTCTACGGCGGATCTCTGATGGCAGCACTGCTTTCCTACTTGTCAGAAGGCCTTCTGTTTTCACATCCTCTGATTCCTCAGTCTCTTCCTCTTGAGGCGGCTGCTGCTGACCAGCTCTGGATGATGGACCTGAGGCCATGGACAGGTAGCTAGGATAACCACCAACCTCCTGTCCTCCATGTTGTCCAGGTCGGGTATGCTGAGTTTGGGGGTGGGCGTAAACTTGCTGAGAGCTCGGTGGGTCATTGTGGTAGTTTTTAGATGTTTGGGCTTGGTGTTGAAACTGTCTGCGGTAAATCGGGGCCTCATTCCCCAGCTCTGGGCTCCTCTGGCGGCCCTCCTCTCTGGAAAGTCTCTCTCTAACTCTGATTCTTCAGGAAGAAGAAGAGCTGGTTAGCAGTTGTAAAACACAAAAGTGGCACAGCAGATTAAACTTAAGATGACTACTAATTATTCTTGATCTGATAAAATGAGCACACACACACAGCAATCAACACTAATTTAGTTGATTCAGTTAGCATCATGGGAGGAGCATCTTTCTCTTAGTCTACATTAGGACTGGTGATCAAAGAAGAAGTGGAGAAAGCTGACGTTGGATTGGAGTGAACCTGCTGGGGCCTTGTTGGCCCACTCCAATTCAACATCATGAAGTAAAATCTTTTCATTGGACCCTGGAGATACCAGTATGCAAACGTCTGAATCCATCTGTCCAGCCTCAGAGCCACTGCTAATGTCGTAGGAAAGTACTCATAAAAGTCGCTCATCATCACGCAAAGTTTGCCTAGATGTTCAACTGCTATGGTAACAGCAGAGCCAAAAAACTCCATGAAGGGACAAGGAACGCAAATTAGCCACGGCTAGAAGTCCTGTAAACCACAGTCCTGCATAATCTTTAATTAGATGTAATAATGCCTGATGTATTGTCCCTGTCAAATAAACGAATTTAAAAAAAAAAGGCAAACAAGCAAGAAATTTGACCCGTAGAGTCCAGTGATGGCTGTATCCCAAGGAAAGTCTCTGAAAAAGTCCTGTTCTGGTCTCTTGCACATTGTGGATTTGAAAAAGTCTTCAGCTGGTCTACAACACTAGTGAAAGACCTAGCACACATGAATGTCAAGCTGGAAAGTAACTCACAAAATTCAAAGAAATAATCAACAATACCCAACTAAGGCTTGTGATCGTTGTGCTAGTTCAGTCGAGCTAGAGTTTAAGCTTGTACATTACTATAAAAAAAGGGACAAGACGGTTTGAAGCAAACTGGTTGTGCTGAACAATAAGAACATGGACTACTTTCCTTTATTTTATGATTTTCTGTTAATACAAGTGATAATAATGCTGGCTTCCTATGTGTGCAAACTGTGGAGAGAGTGCAGATTGGGGGGAAAAAAAAAATCAGTCCCCAACTGCATTACTCCATGAGCCTTTAGATGCTGTATACATCAATCATGAAAATGAGCCCTTTGTTGGGAAATCAGCTCTTAGCACTGATATTATTCTGCAGGAGCTGACCAAAATTTCTAACACGCCTGAAATTCATTTGACAGTAAAGTGCAGTCCATCCAGGTGTGATCAGCCCTCTTGCCTACCATACACTGCACACCAAATAGCTTGAAAATAGGCTAAATATCAAGTCAGAATCAATTCACACGGAGCCAATTCAGTTTATACTGGTACCCAAAATGTTGAAATGATCCCCAGCCCTATTTGTGACAGACCCTACCTCATCTGGTTCATGTTAGTATAACAGTAAAAATAAAAGATGATCCTGAGGGCAAAGCAGAGAAGGAGATGCAGACCTGTTGATGTAAAGTCAGTCGATCTCTGCAGCAACATCACTCAGCGTTTTATTTGACAGTGAAACGTTTCAAATATTCTCACACAGGGATTAAACTGGACACAGCAACATACTGCAGGGCCATGAAGTTACAGTCTAAAGCAAAGGGAAAAGGGGCTTGTGGCAACAGGATGAAGATTATGTGATGTCAGCTGACTCTCAAACTCAGAGCAGAGCTTCTTAAACGTATGTGATTCGAGTAGAGTCATTATATGTCTACTCTGGGTCCAAGTTTAAGAAGCACTGCTCTTCAGGGCTAAATGGAAAGATGGCAGGGGAAAATGGGATGATGGGACATGACCAGCCTGGGTGTACCTCGATGGCCAGTTGATGAGTGATTGGGTTTCGCCCTCAGCATCAGTCTGGAGGAACCAATCATTGCTCAGTTTCCCTCTTGCACTGCACCAATGGAAACCGGTGGGACATATTTGAGTGGAAGGGTGGGTGAGAAGCTTGATTCAGTATGCAGCCTAATTCTTTTGCACACACACACATACCACTAAATGATTCACAACATTGACTTCACATTGAGCTTGACCAGCATGTGAATGAGTTCCAACACCAGCAGGATCCTGCTAACAACAAGTTCAGCTCGTCTCAGGAGACATTTCAATGTTATTGTGGTTTTGGGAAAGGCATCACACTTAATAAATTATGGAGTTCAAATGTTTATTTTTTGATGTTTGGCAGATTCAAGCCATGACTGCCAAAAAGTAACACCCATTCACAAAAAAACAAAAGGAAACACGCTTTCTTTAACCATGGCTGCGTTTAAATGTATAAATCACTACACCAAAAACTGCTCTTGGTATTTGGACCAGCTCAGGTCAAAAACATTTATGTCAGGAGCAGTTATTCTCAAGGTAATTCAGAACAGGTCTCTTCCTGAATGGGATCATGCAGTGAGTTTTCCATGAGTTGGTTTTGGATCAATTTCAACCTGCAAAGATTTGCACTCTGAGCAAGCATGGACATCTGGCTGTTCTTCTCTCCAGTTATTGAAAACAAACAGTGTTTTTGTTGCCCTTACAGATTCCCATTTAAATCAACCAACCGCTGTTCGACAGTACTCTACAAATATTCTCTCAGGAAAAACTGAGTATTTGTCCAAGATCTAATTGGTCAAGATCACCCTGAGAAGAAGCCCAGAAAAACCACCTCCTATTTTCTTCTTTCCCATCAGGGCTCCCTGGTTCTTATCAAATCCAGCTGTGAGTCAAGGAGCCACACTGAGCTGCATAGATACCAAACACCATCCCTACCCAAGAAATGAACACACACCAGCCAAATTTTGTAATCTGAGAGAAGGATTGAGGAATAATGTACGGGATGTGATGAAGATGGGAATGACAACAATCTCTCTAGTATGATCGTCTTTATTTGCTTTTTGGCAACTTTAGCAAGAAAACTGAAATCTGGTCAAGAGTTTTGCTGACTACTTAACCTCTGCATTGTCCATGTCAGCTTTACTGGGCACCGAAACTGCTTTATTGATGATGAAATTTAAGGACAATCCCAAAGTATCCCTGTTTAGCCCAGGGCTGCAAGATCACTGCAAGATCATATGTATTAAGTCAGTCTAAAGTAAAAGGGTGTTACATTTTTTTAAAAGAGGACACTGTAGACAACAAGATAAACAAGGACTGCTCTGTCCACAGGGACACCAAACTTAACACTCCAATCAGAGATTCTTGACCGAGCATGCTTATTTATGCTGTAAATATGGGAGCTTTTAAATGGATGTGTATGTGTTTTTTAATGCTTTTGAAGCCTGCCTCAAGTGGACTTTCAAGGAATTGCAGGTTTGAGCACTTTTGCATCTGCTTAATGTATTACATGGAAGGACTTTTAACCTGATGGCTTCTGATGGATGGCTGTTGGAGACCTTATTGGTAACACAAGGGGCCTGACTGTGAGCAAGTCTGCTTCCTTCAATAAAGGATCCTTTTTACCCAGTAACACTTCCCCACTGGGTTTATGGGCTCAATCACGAGTTTCAATTCTTCTTTAATACAACACAGTGTTTAATTCCTAATTAATCAGCACATGTAGAGTCAAAACTATCAACAACGGAGGTCTTGTTTATCTTGTGATTGCTGAATGGCAACCATTGTAAGTTGAAATGCGTTACTAAGTCCAGTGTAGTATATTACTATGGGAACCATTGTCAATACAACAAAAATAAACCCAAAGATGTTTTAAACTGGGAATTTCCTTTCAGGGAACATTTGAAATTCTCATCAGCATTCATTAAATTCTCAAAGAGGATAAATTCTCTTCAAGAATGTGGATCCACCACAGAGCCAGAGATTTTCTTCATCCAAACAGCCTCATAAAGAGCCCCTCCTTACAGAATAACAACAGCTGGGCCAAGAAGACTTCCTCTGGGAGGTTAGAAAGCACAGTGGTTTCCTATTCTCAGCAGATGCACCTGAATTCTCAGGAGTGGCAACATAACAAACACACTTTGTATCAATCTGCTCATGTATTTTGGAAGCTCGGTCACAGATCTCAGGAGGAGCTGGCCTGCGCTTACGGATGGTTTCAGAACAAGCTCAGGTTGCCTGGCTTGGGTAGAAATCAAACTAATGCCAACAGGACAACCTTGAATGTAAGAGGGGCAGGGACAAAGGTGGAGGGAAGGAGAATCAGCAGGATGGATAATGCTGTCACAGCGAGCCAATCCATCCAAGAGAATGACACAGCAACACTCTGAGTCACATGAAAACTGTGTTGGAACCCTGTGTGAATGGATTTGAGGGGGTAGCTGTTGTGTGAACACTTGAAAGAGAGTTATGCCCCTTCTTTAAGTGGGTGAGGTAAAAAGTAGTCATTGGGAGACAAACTTGATATATAAACCCAGAGTCAAAATGCTGTATAAAATGTTGATAACAACATTTACTTGGATCATGCAGAACATGACCACTTTATAGAAAACAAGTGAAAAACACTTTCATACCCAAAAATTGGAAAGGAAGCGGCAACCATGACAACTCACCCCTGTCTGCTGAGGATGTTGTGGGCCTGCTGCTCGATGAAGAGGTCTCCAGGGGACACACCTTGTTTGGGTGAGGAGAGGGAGGCCTGCCTGCTCATCTTGGGAGAACTGGGCGGCATCCCTGTGACAGGGTACTCTTTAGTGGTGGGGACTCTGGCAGGTGAGGATACTGATGTCACATCCATGTATGAGGAGGAGGACGGTGGCTCAGGAGGAGCAGCTCTGCGCTGATTCTCCAGGTTCATCAGCCTCTCCCTCTCTGAGAAAGAGTCCACCCTGCTCAGACCCATCTCATAACCCAGGTCTGGATGGACGTGCTGTGGGGCGGTGCGTCCAGCCCTCGGGCTTGTTGCTGAGGTACTGGTGTAAGTACTCAGAGTGACATCCCTTCCTTCCTCCCCCACAGACCCCCCTCTGGTCCGCCTCTCTTGACCCTCTGAATCTTTCCTGGTGCGAGGGTGGCGGGAGTCCGAGTCTGGCTCCTGATCCAAAGAGATGCCGTAGCGCTCAGCTAGTTGGCGGCGCCGTTCTGCCTTGTAGCGAGCAATTCTTTCAGCCTTGGACTCCAGCTCTGGGAGGTTCGTAGTTGAGCCTGAGGTGTAGGTAGGCTCTGGGTGGATGGAGGACTGAGGGTCAGGTCTGCCTCGGGCTCTGGACTGTCGTTCTGGAGCTGTCATTTCTTGGGGTTCAAACCCCTCAATGCCATACCGCTGGACTGTAACTAGCAGAGGAACAGAATACCAGTCAGGTTTTTTCTTCAGAAACACACAATCAAGACCTCTAAAGTTGTCTAGGTTCAGACTTACCACCACAAGGCTCACATGGGTCAGAGGCCCGGGTGTATCGGGGTGTGTCCTCCTCCAGAAGCCGGTTAGCCACTAAACTAGGAAGCATAGATGGATGCACCTCCCCCTCGATGCCCTCCAACCTACGGGCGATACGTTCCTTTCTGCCCACACAATCAGGAAGGAGAAAGCTTTCAATCTCACTCTCCTCTACATCATCATTGTCAAACACACTGGCAGCATTTTTCCACACAGCATCACCTGCTCACCTGTTCATTTCCCAGTCACTTGCACTTGTGGTAATTCCTTCAAATCTTTTCCTCAATTCAGAAACTAAAGAAGAAATAAAGGGTTAGACATTTCAATAAAGTTCAATAAGTGTCTAAGTTTAGTGAGTCCAATATTTGTGTAAATATAGAATCAGCAACAACTGAAATAAAACCCACTTTACCTGCGGTTTTCCCGTATTACTGCTGCTCAGCTAACACCTACCTCCTCACACTACTTTACAGGCATTAAAAATTACAGTGTAAAGATCCTTTATCTGGTCAGTCCTCTGTCTGCTTTTATATATTACAAAAAAGTATCAATATGAATTTCAGGCTATTACTTGAATAGTAAAAAAAAAAAAAAAAAAACAACTCATAGGAGCTTTAATTTTGCTTATATTCACATTTCAAACTTCAGGCTCACATACCTGGCATGAGGAGCCAATTCTGGTGTAACAATATATTGACTGATATATATGTATTTTTTTTTTTACATAAAAACTTTATTTCCATCAATTTAAATATTGTCATTCAAACCAAACAATGAATGACTAAAATGAATGTTGGAGTCTTTTGAAACATAAACATATCCTATCAGCACTTTTTTCCATATCAGTTCAATTCAGTTAAAGTTCAATTTAACACAGATTTCCATTCAAGAATGGTTGACCCTGTCTATTTTAATGAGCAGTTTTTCCCTTCTCATCTGATCGTTTATAGCTGGTCCACTTTCTCATTTCACAGTCTCTGTCTTTCTCTCATGAAAAGCTAATTTAAAACAACCTTCAACAGCTCATGAAACTCTAATATTCACCATTTACTGAGACTTAAGAGACCCACAAACCCCCACGCCACCGAATCTCCTATTGGATCTACATTTTACTGTAAATGGAGCCTCTCAGGAAAACACAGTGCAGCTGTTCAGGTCATGAAATATACGAGGATTGTGTCTGTAGAAAAACAGGTTTGACTGAAATCTTGACTTTGATCCACTTGGCAAAGAGGCTGCTATTGCACAAGCATGACTTTGACAAAGCCTGGGAAAGTTGACATTGTTAGAGGCCATTTCCAAGCAGGCAGAAACAAAAAACCCTTACTCACCTTTAGGGAGGTTGGCCAGGAGACTAACATCTATATCCTTAGTGCTTTTGGCTGGGTCGTCTTTTTCGTCAAAGGAGAATTCTTTCTGGAAGCTGAGGGGGGCAAGAAAAATACCAGCTGTTATTAAAACAGGGCTGAGCTGTGGGAAACTGGCTTTGTTTATTCGCCTCTAATGTAAGCAGCCTTATGGAGCTCGTTGAATGGATCTGAATCCGATCAAACAATCAGCCTAATCATTAAAAACGTTGCAGAAAGATGAGCTGCTTTGAATGATGCTCAAGAATCTGGTCAATCAGCAAATGGCTCAGAAATGAAGCTCAGAAAAACAAGCTATTATTGATCTGAAGAAAACATTTGGATTTCAATGTGTAACTCTTAAACCCTCAAATATTTATCTAGAAAATATGAGAAGGTCTCCCCCTGCCTCACACAGAATCACAGCATACTTCTCTCTCAGGGGTCATTTCTGGACTTGACTCAAAACCACCACAACAATGAAAGTCAGAAAAGAACAAGCATGAGAGGTTTTCTCCTGTTGGGAATCAGGGGAACATGACTCAGCATTTTTGTCCATCTATCCATTTACTACCACTTATCCCGTTGGGGGGTGCTGGTGCCTATCTTATAGGGGTGTGAATCTCAACACTGAGGACGATTCGATACGCATCTCGATGCACTGCCAGCGATACGATACTTTAACGATACATGGAATTTTCTGGCGATACGATTCACCCTCTTCATGATGCGATACTTTAACGATACGTGGAATTTTCTGGCGATACGATGCGATACGGTTCACCCTCTTCATGATGCGATACGATAATCATTTAGTTCAAATCAATGCGATCCGATACGATATGATGCAATTTGTTGCGATATGATGCAATTCAACATGATGCAAATAAGCAAAGAAAAAAAAGAAATAAAAATAAAAGATGGAATTCAGTATGGTCTACTACAAAAATGATTTGGCTTTATTCCTTAAAGGCACTTGGCAGTAAATTCAACAAAAGTGCTTTTTGTCTTTTTTCTATGCTCCTTTGGGTTCCATTTTGTACAGTTACACAGATTAGACAGACCTCCTGCAACTGTTAAGGAATCTGAATCAATAAAATCAAAGAAAATAAAAAAAAAAAGGATTCCAGTCCCAACCCTACATCACACAAGTGCTCTATACTTGTTGGGTAATTTTACAGTACACATTATTAAACAACTAATGCACTGCCTAACATGGTGCAAATAAACCATTCAATGGCCATACTACTGTCTGCCAAACCGATGTGCTAGAGTGGACTTTCTAACTGGCCACTGAAAATCAGTGATTTGAGTGAGTTCTGCAATAATAAAAGAGTAAAACAATTACACAATAATTACTGTTGTAAAAAGTACAGTAAACAGCAACAACAAAACACTCTCAATGACTAACCTAAAGTGACACTTTCAACAGTGCAATCAATGTTAAGGGAGGGGAGGTGGCGTTAGACTTGTCGGTGATGTGGTGTACTCTTTTTAAGTGGGTCTGCATGTTTGTCGTGCTGCCGTTGTACGGCTTCTTAACGCGGCATTCTTTGCAAATGACGGACGTTTTGTCGAGCTTTCCGTCTTTCTTTGCAAATCCGTAGTGTTTCCAAACATGTGATTTAAACGTAGCGGGTGCATTACATATAAACTCTTCCTCGCTGCTGCTCACTTGAATGTGGTCCATGCTGTTTTACTAGTAGTGCATTGTATGTCCCTCACGGCTTCCGTCCGTATTCAATACAAAACGCGAAATAATGATGGTGCATTCAATGCGCCTGGGGAACAGCAGATGGGGTGAAGTTTAACATGAATAAAACGGCGCTTGCATCGGATTTTACCGATACCCACCAACGCATCTAGATGAATCTAGATTTAACCCGTCAATTGCATCGATACCCAGTGAATGAGCCGACGCAGTCGCATCGCGCACATGCGCATCGATTAATTTAGATTATTTTCCACACCCTTACTATCTTAGCGTCTTGGGGCGAAGGCAGGGGACACCCTGGACAAGTTGCCAGTTCATCGTAGGGCTGACATATAGAGAAAAACAACCATCCACATTCACACCTACGGCAATTTGGCAATTTGAAAGTGACCAGTTAACCTAACCCCATTTCTGCATGTTTTTGGGATGTGGGAGGAAACCTGAGTCCCCGAAGTAAACCCATGCGGACACAGGGAGAACATGCAAACTCATTTTGAGGACAAAAATTCTGGCACAACTTCACCAACTTCCAAGGTGCTTGGAGAAAAAGGATCTGAAAGAGGTCAAAAGTGCTCCAGCACCACTTGTAGTTCAGGAAAACAGCTTTATTTGACCGACACGTTTTGGCTTGGACCTTGATGAAGGCCACAAGCCAAAACACCTCGGTCAAATAAAGCTGTTTTTCCTTTTGACCTCTTTCAGAAAATGCAAGCTCCACACAGAAACACCCTGACCCGGAATTCAAACCCAGGGCCTTCTTGCTCTAAGGCGACAGTACTAACCACTACACCACTGTGCCGCCCCTCAGCGCTTTTGCTTGTTCATTAAAACCAGAGTTAGAAACACACTGCAAATCCTTCTCCATCATCACATCATTTGCTCTTGGGACTTAAATCTTGTTATTTAGTTCTAACTTACAGAGAGTTTTAAGTCAAAGCCACATTCACACCATCACAGTCTTTCACACTGACCTCCATCCTGACTGCCATGAAGTAACCTCTCTAAATGGAGGCCAACAAGCAGACCTGGTGATGTTTCTGACACCCCGCCAACACCTTGTTGCTGAGCAATCCTGCTAATGCCGCAGCAGGGGAGTTTTCTACTGCCAAACAGCAAAGAGTGCTTATCTCTTGCTTTCTCACTGAGCTTGGACATTGGCCCTACCCGAGGCTCTAAAGCTTTAAATGATACCCCAATATCTGTTTGTTTACACAAACAGCAGACTTAACCCCGCCAACAGTTTAAAGGGTAAATCCCATGTTTTCACACTTGGGATTTTGTTTCTAATCTTTTAAAGTTACAAAAAGTTTCAGGGTTGTCTCATGAGGTTACTTCAGCACAACAGTCGATAAGAGCAGAGGGGCTTTATTAGGAGACATGTGCTGCAAATTGCATGAATGGTGCACATTAAAAAGCACACACAAAGTACAAAATAAATGAAAAACAGTGCAGTGATTAAAAAAGAGCTGCAAAATACTGACATAATTGAATTACCTGTGAGTGGGCTGCAAATATACAAATGATACAAAGTTGAAAACCAGCTCATTTCTCCTATGAGGGTTGTTTTGGCTGGTGCTTATCCTCAGTCCTTATTATTCCCTTATTACTCCCCCTTTTTTGTGGGGTGGGGGGTGACATTTTCATGTCGTCATTGTCTCATTAATGGAAAGAAAAACTTTCCGTTAGCAATGTTGTCTCATCATGGAAATTAAAAGCTTACCTCAAAGCTACGCCAAAAAGCACATTTTAAAATTCCTTCAAATAATTATCAGTGTTTGCACTTCTAATTAATTTTGTTCACTGGCTCTTTAAACATGTTTTTCAACTGTCATGGCCCAGCTTAAGAGGTGACAACAAAAAGGGAGACACACACCATGTACTAAGATCAAAATAATGGTTTATTAAACCAGATCAAACCAAATAAGGATATTTCAAGAATGAGGTGTGTAAATCTGAAGAATTAGTTGTGTGTGATGTACATGAGTGGAGGATATGTGTATGTGTGTGAAGGTGTTGTTTCATGCTAACATAATGAGTAGCAGCTTTAAACTAAGATGATCAAAACGGAACCAAACAGTGCACCTGTGAGGACGAGTGTGAGTAACTGCATGAGTTTAAGTACCTACAGCACCCAGGGCCCAGGTGTGCAGAGTTACTCTAATCAGTGTGCTGCAGTGGGAAACCTGTTAGACACGCCTCCAACATGACATCACTGAACACTAGATGACAATACAGCAGCATCACACCAACACTAACATATGAAAAGACTTTAAGCAGATCTTACCTCAGAGCTCTTTTCTTAAGCAATCTTGGATTGCTGAGTTTAATGGGGGTCTCACTCCCAAGCCCTGTGGACACAAAAAAGAAAAAATGTGACATTTAGCCATTTCACAACACAAACAAACTGATTTCAATTTGAACAGCAAGACCTCAAGATCCGAATGAAGAGGCAGAGAAAGCAGCGAGGCACCCTGAGGTGAACCAGCCAGTCCGTGTTCAAGCCCTTGGCCCAGACCCACATTCATTAAGTGGACTTCCACAGTGAAAACAAATGATGTGGAAAACAATAATCTGCCTGCCAGACTGAATCACATCAAATAATAAGAGACCCCTGTAGTTAAAGGGCTGGCGCACCTCCAGCTCCCACCCCTGCACACCCCCACAAAAATGCAACACATCACTCTGCCTCGGCCAGAGACGGTGACTGTCTCCATCATAAGTATCCGTCTACGTGCAGAGCATGAGGTCACAATTTAAGGGTTTGATAGATGAGTGATGGGCTGTGTGTGTGTGTGTGTGTGTGTGTGTGTGTGTGTGTGTGTGTGTGTGTGTGTGTGTGTGTGTGTCAGTGGGACATGCGCTCTAAAGTCTGATCACACATCAAGGTTGCAGTGGTGCAGCTGGGTGGATGCCAAGAGGACCACTTTACACTGACCATGAATACAGATGGAGACAAAGCGCATATTCACACAGTAACTATTTTTCTAAATAGACAATAGACAGTGCAGTGGAAATCTGAATCACGAAATCTGTAACAAGAGCCAAGGTCATTTGATAAGGAAAAAGATCTTTTTCAATATTTTCTTCCTCAAAATCAGAAGTTTTCAGCCAGCTAGAGCTCTGTTGTAAGGTGTACTGGTTTAAGAATACCTGATCTTATGCAATGATGCAAAAAGGACAAGATGTGATTGTTCCTCCTCCTCCTTTCCTTTGAATACAGTGACCAAGCAGAGGATTATTTTGCAAACTTCTTGCCAACCAATGGCTCTGTTACAACTGTGAGTCAGCACTGCTCTTCAAGAGTGTTTGTACAGTGAGACAGCAACTCCCTCTCCCTCTTTTGGGTGGCTTTCTAACAGCACAGCACTCTAAATAATCAGAAGGACGGGGTAGAGATCATTTAAAATATGTTTAGATAATACATAATGCAGTTAATTTGCAATACAATGAGCATGTTAAGTGTAAATTAGAAATCTAGCCCATTTTACTTGAGTTTTATTAACTTTCAATATTTTATATAGCATCTTAAAGGAATATTCCAGTGCAATTTAAGTTGCCTTGTTCCTTTCGGAAAGAGACCAAATACAACTCACCCACTCTCCTCCAACAGCTGCTTGTTTGTGGGGGAGCTCTGACGAGTCGATCACTGAGTGCAGCGGATCATTTCCTTAAAGTGATAATCATCATAATAGTCATTTTGCACTGCAGACGCAGTAGTTCTTTTGCCTGAGCATCTCAGTCTGATTGCATTTCCATGAAGTAATGATCATTAATGTTCTTCCTTGAGCTGTGAAACTCTGCTGCACTCTGTGGTCGACTCGTCAGGTCTCCTCGAGTGGCTGGTGGAGGAGAGTGGGTGAGTTGTGTTTGGTCACTTTGCTAAAGAAACCAGGCAAAGCTAAAAAGATGTTTGATGGCTAGTACTGTGACTGGGACCCTATATGTACTGTTGATGAAGTTAGGTGCTGTTCTGAGCATTATTTGTGGCTATAGAGTGGCTTTTTGGTTGAGGTTTGCACATGGAGACGTAGACCGCTGTGTATTGCTATTGTGCAGTCGTTGCTAAAGTTTGTATGAAAAGAGAAGCAAGCAGTCAGTAACATTCATCTCTCAAGGGGGTCTAACTAACTCAGTTTTACTGTGTGTTTGACCATAGCTTAAATTTACACCGGAATATCCTTTTAAGATGGAAATCAACCATAAATGATGTCACCTCCCTCTGCCAACAGTTGTTGTCTATAAATTTGTCCCATCCCACATTACAGTGGGTGTGTTGTGCATTAACAAAAGTATGAGCCTGAAAACACTGAACCTTCTTCAAAAAACTTGCCAGGAAATTTGAAAATAAGCCTAATGAGCATCTTGAATTTCACCTTATAATGTCTTTAGAATTGCTTTATTCCCCAAGGAGAGGAAAATGTTCAGAGATGTTGGTGTTTACCCTTTAGCTCAGCGTAAAACCCGGATCACAGCGGCCGCTTCCCACCCTGTGAGTGACGTCTGCTGCCATCTGACTATGATGAATACTCTAAACAATCCAAACACACCATTATGAAGCTATTTGCCAAACATAATAAGTTGCAAATGCGTAAACAAACTATCTAAACAAAGCCTGTTGTCTATTAAGGAGAAGGCCCATCAGTGAATGAGGGCAACGTGACATCAACACCTGCCCAGAGAGAAATACAGCCTCATTATGATGAGAAAGATGTTGGGATTAGCATCATAAACAGTGTTGTGAGGAGAGGAATGTGAGTTCTACAGAACAGCCCTTTAAGGAATGTGCGTTTATGTTTGTGTATGTGTTTGAGTGTGTGTGTTATTGACTCCAAACCTCAAACGTGCGGTTTTGGCTGCCCTCGGACCTCCAAGCGGCCAGAGCTGTGCAATTCCAGGACAAACATGTGGTCCCACTTCCATCCTCTCCGAGTTCACCCCAGGGCTGCATGACACCCCCATCACCAACTCCCCCACAGCTCCACCCAAAACCCCTAACCTCCCGCCCTGAGGCCGCCCACCCCCAACCACCCATCCCAGATCTGTTAGTCCTTATTAAGGATGTTTGGGTTGATGCTTTTAATCTCTCCTTTTTCAGCAAAACACAGTTTAAGAAGACAGACGGCTTATTTGTAGAGGGCGGCGTGCTTGGATGTGTTAGGGATTGTCATTTATTGTTTCAGCTGAGAGGACTACAACTCGTGAAAACACAGCTCATTCCTCACAAGCCTTAAATTACAATCCAGGTTATATGAGTTTATTGATAGAGACTGTGGGATTAGCAGGACACCACTTCAGTGTATTTCACAGGGGTCAAACAGTGGATGGTTTAATCCTGCAAACACACACTTTTAACTATCCTGTATGACATCACTGTGAAGCACTTTAATAACTATGCATGTGCTCCGAGCACAAAAAAGTCAGATCTATAAAAAATTTGTCACCCAACTTACACCTGTGCTTTGGTGCAAAAACATGACCAGATTTTGAGATTTCAGAGCCTCACATGCTCCTCTGCAAACACAGCAAACATATGAACCACTGCAGCTGAACTATATAAGATAAGATAAGATTAGATAAGATTAGATAAAATAAGATGATCTTTTAATCATCCCACAGGGGGAAATTCCAAAATTACAGCAGCAAATTAAAGATACAAAAAGGGAAAAATTAAAAGACAAAGAAACTTTAAGTTATATTATATTATATTGTTGAGCTATGTTGTTTGACCATGAGACTTGCAGTGTGTGCCTATGCACTATTTACACTGCAGGTCGTGCAAGGTCAGTCATATGATATGTACCATAAAGGTGTGCCTGTCATCACTTTAATGCACTTGACCTCACAGAGATGAACGTTATGCATGCAGAGTTTGTATCTGTGTGTCACATGACTGTAAAATGTGAACATGTACACAACACTGCTGTCCCCATAGACACTCAGGTAACTGCTAAACTGAGTGAAATAGTTGTAAAGACAGTGCACTTTACTCATCCCAGTGCTCATTTTATATCATGTGCTCACTCATTGAAGGCTGGGTTTATGAACATGCACTGATTTATTTGGTGTAAGATTTCTGTATTTTTTTGTCATATCCCCACATACACCATATTACAGAGGGAAATAAACGTTTTAATTTCATTTTCTTTTTAATTGTTAGTCCTTAATATTGTGTTAAAAGTGGTTGTCAGCAGTGACTTGTTAAAAAGAATGTAAATATGGTCTGTTTGCAATAATCAAGAGGCTAGGATATCATTCTACTAGGTGTGGGAGAAAAAAATCGATATAACAGTATCGCCTCATTTACCTCTTATTTACTTAGTATCGATTTTTCAATTTAATTGCTAATATGAAGTCAAATGTATGTAATGTAAATGATAATGAAAAAATAAAATCAACTGTTTGTCCAGTGAGGTTGGCAGAGGTGACATCAAAGAGCAGAAGAAAGTTAGTACAACAAATATATGTATAAGTTTTGCAAGATGTGTTACATGAAAGTTAAATACAGCATAAATAAGACAAACATAAAGGAAAGCCAAATGCTAAATTACCTGAACAGTTGAAAAAAATGTATGAATCGCAATATACTGTATCACCATACTCACTGTATTGTAAAATGTTAAAAATTGCAATAATATTATATCATGGCCCAAGAATCGTGATAATATCGTATCCTGGGGCCACTAGTGATTCCTACCCCTACATTCTACTGCCACAGAAAATAACTCTGCTGCACTTTAAAATGCTGCATATAATTAAAAAAAACCTCCCAGATATCCCATCACAAGCCAATGATAGTATGCACTTTGTATAAATGACAATAAACATATCAATGAAGTACTTTGATTTTGAGAAAACCCCTACGAGCTTAGCATACAGACATAACTACTCAGGCTGATGTCAGTTCATAACCTCATTACAAAAAGGTCACAGAGCACTATTTTAGAGTATGTAAACCTGTTGTAACTAAAACTAAATCAAAGAACAGAGAAATAAATTCAACTGGAACTCCTAGAAAGTATATACACTGTTGCATTAACCAGGGATCAGTTAATGTCAGTGAGTAATGAAAATAATCTCAGAATAACTGACGGTGTACTTCACAGACAGAGCACTTTAAGATGCTCCCTATGTCTACGTTTTAGTTTCAGCCAAATGACTATGTGGCTATCATGGGTTGTGTTTGTTCTGGCAGTGTTTATGCGATGTTTATATGTTTGTATAAAGAGCATAAAATCTCATATTATGATTTTAAGTTAGATCACTCTGGTACAAGGACAAAAAAGACAAAAAAAAATCGACTTATGCGAGCAATTTGTCAACCTGTTCCTGCTTCTTGTGCATTTGGCCACTGTGACCATCAATCATGATGACCTTTAACCACCTTCCCGGCTCAAGAAAAAGGCCTTCTTAGCTAATTTAGCCATACACAAAGAGTAGGCCAAGTGTCTGCTGTACTTTTGTACTCCAACACTAAAGCATCACTGTGCAGCTCATGCTAGCAGCAAATGCAACAAAATGGCTCTTCTTTTTAAAGTCAAGAAGAATAAATCTCAGTTTTTATTGATTGTTTGTTTTATGATAAAGTGAAATACTCCTGGTCAGACGTCAGGATCAGACAGATGTTTCAGCTGAAGGTCCTGAAAGCAGAGGAGTTTTTTGATGTCTGTTTTCCAGATCCTTACAAAGCAGGTGGAGACCAAGATTGTTATCATCAGCAGCAGTCATAAAGGTCACACTCCAAGAATAACACCCAGTTTGACAAATTCCAGAATTTTCCTCTAAGTAAGAGTGTGAAACAAAACCAGATGCCCAGTAACGGCTAATAAGCTCCTAGTGTGAAAATAACAAAAGCACGTGTCCCTCAGGGGAGGTGGGCTGCAAACCTGTCCTTCCTTTACACTTCATACAGACTATAAGTTGTGGCATTTGTGCCATCAGACAGCGAACGACCCCCTCTGAAAGCCAAAGTGCCTCGATACATTCGTCATTCCAGACACAGGCATTAAAAACCCTCTGCAATGATCACAGATGTGGCAGAGCCTTTGAAGCTGGCAGTAATCTACAGAAACACTGTGGCTGCTACAGCCAGGAGGGAACAGGTCAGGAATTCTTTAGTGCCCTGTGTGTGTTGATGAGGCTGTAAAAGGAGGCATGACACTGATAAAACACGAGGATAAAATGATTTCATGATTCAGTGGAGTGTCATTCACACTCTGAAGTGAGGGGAGCCTCTTATGTACAGGTATCAAAGGTGTGAGGCACAACACCGTCTGAACATCAAGACCCATATGCCTGCCATACACTGACAGACTGTAAATGGGTTTAAATCTGACTCTGAGCTTATTCTACCTCTGCACATCTGAAGACATTTTAGAGGAGGACTTTGAGATTTTGCAAGAACTGGTAACCTGCAAGGTCACTTTTTACAAGATTTCAGCTAGAGTCACATTATTTTGGTCTTACACCGAGCACAGTCTCAAGGGAATTAAAAGTTCCCGAGTTTGGGCCAAAATCTCAAAAGCTTTCCTGGAGTTGGGGGACAGCCCAGTGATTTTAGTGATTTGGTGCAAGGTGGTCACTGAGTTCGACCTGTAATGGTTTAAGGCTGAACTGTTCTCATCTGGGCTTTGCATAATAAATTAAGTGTTAAATAATGTGCCAGGTCTTCGGTTTTGTCTTGTGGGTGAATTAAACACAACTCTGCACAAAACTATGATGGAAAAACTCAAAGTTTTGCAAATGAAGCAGTAGTTTTTTTTGCTGCTTTTACTTATATCGGTTTGCTTTACTGTCTGTGATTCAGGAAGATATAGTTTCTGGGTTAGCATTATCAGCGGGTACTGGAAAGTACTTTTCTCTCCTTCCTTTTTCAAACTTTTATCAACAAAACTAACAACCACTTAAAAAATAAAGTGTCCAACAGCCAGCCAGCATCCGAAACTGTTCTTTTACTCCAGAAATACATTTGAAAACTTGCACCACACAGGAGTCTGTCAGATGTTTACGACACAGTCAAGTTCACTGATCTTGCCTGGTGCTGGACTGAGTGCATCTATTTATTTTTGACTATGGATAAAATCTTATTGATGTCGCCTATTAGTTTCTATAGAAACATTTTAAAGCACAACAATGGTGCCCACCATATTCAAAATGCTGACTCAACCTAACTTTTGGTAAACAGGAAAAAAAGGTGGCACTGAGGCAGACATTTGGCCTCATGATACCCAGCCTATCTGTTTTCTCTCCTTTAATATACAAATGTATGCTAAACTACAGCGTTTTCATCATAAAAAACAATAAGTTGTTAAGAATGAAGTCTGAGCTATTCAACGATTCCTCTCACACCATCTGTTTAAATTGGGCTTTTTAGGTTTTTGGATAAAGACTCAAGGTAATACTAGGATTGAGGGTTGTTATCAGTGTAATATCATTATTGGCTGATAAGACTTAAAAACATCAATTTTATCTGCATCAGTATCAGCAGATAACAACAAAAAGTTCCACTGATACTGATAACTAACTTTTTTCACCCAAGGCTGAAAGAGTGATGCATTAATTATGATGCAATGACAGCCTGTGCGCACCAACAGCAGGCTCCAACATGTCAACTGGTGAGAAGTGTTTAAATATGTTGAAACTATTATACTAGTTTGGCATGCTTGTAAAGGTTGATGTGAGGTTAGGCAAAACAATACTCCTTTTATACTTCCAGTTTAACTGTGCATCTCAGGACCTGAGAGGTTTACATGTACAGTAAAGTCGAGATACAGAGCTTGATCAGGCGTTTTAGCTGGACTTGACTTGTCCCATTCTAGCACAGCAAACATTTGGTTTTGTGATACACAGTGAGTTTGTCTATTTCTGCTTAAGTAGGTGGCGATATGTCCCTTTTCAGCTCTACTATTGGACAATCTCCCCCTTGATCTATAATATATTGCACCAAAACGATCGACAATCACGTTCGCAAAAAGCTAACAACGTACGTGTCCAATGATGAAAACACTAACAACTTCACAGCTGTGTACATTTCGTACATATATGATTCATCTTTTTTTAATGTCCCTTCTTCTTCTTCTGTCAAGGTTTTGTGAACTACCCTGCTTACAACAATGCATTTATGCAATTTGGCTTCATGCAACCTGCATAGCATGTGCAGGACACTTAGGCCAGTTTCGGTCCAGTTGAGAAGTCTACATGCAAGAGAAATTATCTAGATACAGGGTTTCCTCCAGAATTTTTTGTGTGCCTGCTGCAAGGCCAACATACTTACTCCATTTCTGAACATACATGAACAGCCAGGGTAGTAACCAGAGAGGCATCAGAGGCTGAGCATATGTCCAAGTTGAGACAAAGGATTAACTCCAATTCCTGGGATTAGAGCAAGCCCAAAAGGAAATGTGTCAACTCTTTAACTGTCTGCATTACATCACACTAGACGAGCACACGCGTGTGTGCATGTTTAAGTCTCATCATCCTCTTCAACAGTCGCCCACCTACTCTGCCTCCACCTTGACTCAACTGAAGCAACACTGAGAGAGGCTTAAGAACTCAAGCATTAAAAAAACAGATGGAGAATCAGAAATTAGGTGATAGGATGTCTCCAAACACTTGACTTAACAAAAGGATGTGACGATAATCCAATAAGGTCCTAAACACTATTAACAATGAAGCAGCTCAGGCTCACATAATTCTAGGTAAACATGGGGCAAAGGGCAAGTACACTGACACATTTAAACCCTTGAATAAACCTACCCTCTTTTCCCTAAAAAACAGTCTCGCTTCTCATGTGAAAGCCTAAAACTGGGAATCACCTGTTGAGGATTTCCAGCCAGTTTAGTGTGGATGAGCTCAGTTCTGAGTCAGAAAAGTGACTGAGAAGGGTGGGAACGGGGGGGCACGAGATACAGACCTGGACCTGTGGCAAATCAGTGGGGTTTTAGTCGTGTTGAATGATTCAACTCATTTATCACGCAGATAAATTGTAGATTACAATCTGGGGTTTTATTGACCTTATCATAAAAAAGACAGATTGTTGGAGGCCAGTTAAGCTAAGTGGTTTACTTGTGCAGCCCATGTAAAGAGACTACAGTCCTCAAAAAAAGGCGGTCCTGGTTCAAATTAGGCCAGCTGTCCTTTGCCACATGTCATAGTACCAGTTTATCTCATCAGTCCACTGTCCTACCCTATCAATAAAGGATTAATTATAGTTAGTGTATTTCTTTTAGATGGCAGGGACCCTATAATGAGGACAAAAGAACAACTTGAAGTGTTTCAGTTGTTGGTGAACTACAAGCTAGCATTTCTGGAACATGCTCGCAGCAGGTTTCAGTACCTATTCTTTAGCATATATTGGAACCACATACTCATAAGTTAGATAGGTAAGGCCCTCAGTTTGTTGGCTTATGATAAAGTAAGTTTTCTTCATGGGGGAAAAAAAAGACATTTGTTAAAGAAATTACTCATTCTTCTTTATAGTGCACTTTCTCAGAGTTTTGCTGCAAACACAAGTCTCGTCACATTTTGACCATCAGAAGTTGATCACTGTTACAAAGACTGCTTTTTGGGTTAGAGTACAAATCTGAAAGCTGACTTATATCCAAATTAGAATTAAATTCATTGCCTTGCCTTTCCGTCTATTCACTGCAACAGTTTCTTAAATGAATGCTGTGAATCTTCACTCTTCTAAATTCAAAGTAGTTCCTTTAACTTAATACTGACTGGGTGCCTGGAAATAATAATTTAGGTATTATGTTTGAATTATTTTGTAGGAATAAAAGTAGCTCAATGACATTGCCAGTATTTTAAAAAATATGACGACATACCCAAGAATGCAACTGTGAAGCCTAGAAATAGCTGCCCCACTAACACTGCATACTGCGATGTTTAAGAGTCCCTTATCTCTGCTATAGTGTCCTTGGAGGCTACAGCTGCAGCGCAAGGACAGCTGGCCGCAAAGCAGGACAGTGAGCAGCACAGAGGAAAGGAGTCCGCAGTTACAGTCCTCACAACTTCTAAGAGCTCAGATTCCAGATTCACAACCAGAGTGACCTACAAACTCAGCCTGAGCTTCAAATCTCAGCTCTACTGAAAGTCACTGCTCTTACCTTGGCTGCAAAACTTGACGTGAGTCAGGTAATTCGAGATCCAGGGGTTCCGATACATTTTGGCAAAAAAAGTCAAAGGACCAAAGTGAGGACAGAAAAGATGTGAGAAAGATGGATGAACAGGTTTAAAAAGAGGGACAGCTGCTGAGAGATGGTAGAGCTGACAAAAAGCAATCTGTCAGTGGTCCAGGACAGAGACACAGAGGCAGAGGGGAGTCAGGTAGCATTAGAGAGAGAGGCAGAGGAGAGAGGGAGGGGTGAGAGTGGAGAGAGACGTCCCAGCCGCAGTGCCAGTACAAGTAGAGGTGGTCCTGGTAGAAAGAGAGGAGCTGTGATTCTGTGGCTGCAGCTCTGCCCCGTCTGATATCCACTCCTCTGCTCTTGTTCCTCCGCTAACGGCTAAGTGCTAACCAGTGCCCACTACAGCAACCTGCAGGGCTGAAAGCTGCTCAGCGTGCACTAAGCTCATTAGCAAAGGCATGCAAATTAGGCCCCATCCTTACTACACACTGTAGCAAAGTGTCCTGCATGCTTAAGAATGAGCCTCCCAGGCACGGAGGAGGAAAAACACTGAGACTGAGAGAGAGAGAGAGAGAGAGAGAAAGAGAGACAGAGATAGTTAAGAGAGTCCCAAGAGAGTGCTGCTTTCCCTTGGCTCACACTCACTGGTGGGATGCCAAAGAAACCGGTGCATAGCGTCAGAAAAGGAGGGGGAGAAAGAGAGAGAGCACGCACAAGCAGCGTGGAAATAAAGAAGTGAGCAGAGGAAGAAGAGAAAGTTAAAATGACCCTCTCAGCCAGATGAGAAATTCCAGTCATCTCTCAGCAGGGACGAAATAAAAGGAGCAGCATGCAGACAGAGAGAGAGAGAGACAGAGAGAGGAGGTGGGAGGGGCAAAGAAAGAGAGAAATATTGAAACTAAGTCATAAAGAGAAGTCCAGATAGAGCGTGCAAACATTTACCCGAAGATTAAGGGTCTGCTTTTACTATGTCTTAAACTTTGCTTCTTCTTAAAGCAGCTGGAAGGAGTCGTAGAGGTGAGAAAAATCCCCTCATTTACTGACAGCTCTGTGGTCCTTCTTTTTAACACACTCATCAGAAGGGTGTGTGCATCCGAAGCACACAAACAGAATCAGTCCCCATGAGTCATGGTGTGTATAAAACCATTTCCTAGAGTGATAGCACAGGAAATCAATGCCAACAACTAAAAAAAAGACAAGCAGTCTGATTTGCATTGGCTTTTTAAATAATGTGCGTATCATTGCACAGCTCAGAAGGCGGCAAGGCTGGCACAGAGCCTGACACTGCTCTTCAGTTAACTGTATCTTATCTCCCTTTAGAGCAGAAGCTGTCACCGCCAACCCAGGACTGCAACATAAACCAGATGCAGTGGACGGAAGCAGTCACAATTTCTAATTTAGCAAATACAAAAGAAACAGCATTTAGAAGAAGGCTGTGACTGTGATTTAGTAACGCAGATCTCGGTGCACTTCCCCTAAACTTTGGTAAATGTAAGCCAGGTTGTCAAGCTGTTTCAAAAACAAACCAGGCTTATCACATCATAACAATTGTCAAATCTCATAAATCTGTCCGGCCTCACCAGCGCAGAGCTGCACAGGTGTGTTCAGATGCAGCCTGAGTGTGTATGTAAACTTCAGAGGTGGCAAGTTTGGCTCCTCCTCTGAGATGAGCTCATCCAGCTCAGCATGTGAAAAGCACACACACACACACGCAAACACACACATCACAAACCTGCCAATTCACAGTCAGAGAAGAGCGCTACCTGCACGCAACTCTTTTAACAGTTATTTTAAGCACCAGCCTTTAGGGAGAAAACAGTAAATCATCAAAGTCCTGACAGTCTGACAGCAAAAAAAAGAAGTTAGCTCAGGAGACAAAAATAAAACTAAAAGAATTCATCAGTTTTGATCGTCTTACTTAAATCTGAATCATCAAACTATGAACAAATTTAGCATTTCAATCATACCGTTCAATCTCACTTATTACCAAACAATGACTCGTCTGTAAGGCTTTATTTTTAGCTGACTTTTCCTTTACTGTTATCACTTAAACAGAAGGGCCTGTTTCCATCAACAAATCCTTTGTGCTGTCAGTATCAAAGACCATAATGTGAGCGCACTTCTTACTGACTGTTACTGGTTTACAAAAATCACTGTGATTTCACTTGAGTGACATATGAACTATCGTAAAATCCTGAATTTATATCCTAAAAGTGTGTGAGTCAGTCCGTTTAGAGGGGTCTCTCAAAGGTCTTTACTGTGTTCCTGCTTCAAGACTTTCATTACATTCAGCAATGTGCAGTTTTTATGCAGATCTTTCAATTTCCATCAAATTTTGCGATCCTGCTGGCATAACATGGGTTGGTTAAGCACAGCCTGATCACTGTGAGGTACAAACATACACACTTCCCTGTTCAGTTCCCCAAAACCCCCACACATCCACTGCTGACTGAAACTGATCAATCTTATCAATTCAACACACTATCTACAGGGATCATTGACTTGGTAGTTTACCACTGCTTTCTTTAAATACATGATTATGGTCTAATGAGGAAAGAAAGCTGTTTTTAAGCACTACTAGACTGTATCTGGCATGCTTTCGGCATTGGAGTTCTTGCTTGCATCTTTGAAAATACTGCAACAAAACAGAATATCTCTCTCTGCGTATTATTCTCGTATTTTTGGCTGCATTGGTAAAAGGGATCTATTTACTTTTTTGATGACAGAATGACAGCATATGAAAATAATTTTTTAAAATAATTAAAATACATTGAAGAATTGTAGGGATGGGCAAGTACTGATACCAGGTATCGGTATCCAGGCCAATACCAGCCTTATTTTAATGTGGGGAGTACTCCTGAAGGCTGCTGATGCCAGGCACTGATGTTACTTCAACTAATTCCTCCTCGCCAGTAGTTGGCATTACACTGCTGCGGCGAATCAATATTGGTGTCACATCCTGTTCGGACCATACAAACCCGCGAATATGGCGGCACCTTTCACCAAAACTTTGCTGGCTTGGAAATACTTTGACAAAAACAAAGAAGACCCAAATTTTACAGAATGCAAACTCTCCAGTGCAAAACTTGCAGGAGGTGGGACAAAGAGTACTTTGTTTACTACTAGTAACTTGATGAAACACCTCAGGGTGTCAGACGAGAATGAGCACAGAGAGGTTGAAGCTGTCTTGCTGGAAAAGAGAAAACTCGTTTAGCCAACTTTATGGTAAACTCTTCAGAAGACAGAGAAATTGAAGAGCACCAATCCGAGGGCATTACAAGTAACACGGGCACTCGCAGAAATGATTGCACTCGCCAAACTACCGCTCTCGAGAAAATGGGATTCCAACGGTTTATGAAGGTTGAGGAGCCTAAGTATTAAGTTCCATCTCAAGCCACAATTGTGAGAACTGTGATGCCACAGGTGCATGAATCTGTTAAAACGCATGTTAGCAGCTTGTTGTGTGACGCTCTGGCCATTAGCTTCACCACTGATATTTGGAGCAGCAGCATGAGTCCAGTGTGTCTCATCACCGGTCAAAAATGATCTGTCATTGTGTTAATGGACATTTTATGTATCAAAAGTACCAGTGGAATTGGTCCTTGGTATCATTATCGGTGAGTACTCAAGAGTGGGTACTCATACTGGTTTCGGTCTATAAAAAAGTGGTATCGAACATCCCTTACAAATAGTGCTTGTTTATGTAAAGGCAGAGCTTATCCTGTTTGAATAAAATGCTTGTTTGTTGACTAGATAATGCATTTATGACCCTCCCCTATGGGTAACCAGACTGGAAACATTACAAAAAGTATTGCTACAAGTCAAAACTATTGGGTAGGAGAGAAAGACTCTTTGATGCTTTTTGTGACCCCAAACAGCTGTGACATCACCCTCTTTAAAGCCCCCAGACTACATCCAGAAAAGGCAGTATTTTTACTGCAAACCACAGGAGTTGCTGCACTGCTACAGCATATTCACTCACTCTTTAGAGACTCATTCTGCAGAAACAAAGACTGAGCTGAGCTGCTGCACTGTCTGAGAACGGCCAGTGCTTCAGATAAGCTTCATCTAGGTTACCTCAGTGTGCATCTACTCTGAGCAATCCTTCTTTATGGATCTATCTAATGCACCTTTTAGGGCATCAGGTACACTCACTGATGATTTTTTTCTAATGCAAACCAAAACATGTCTCACTTTTCAGGCTGTTATCACCTCTACATCACCACCACCTACCATCATCCACCATCTGGATGTCTGACTTGTGTGTAATGTTTGTTTCTTTGACTCATCTTCTACAGGGATGACATCAGATCTACAAAACCACCCGCCAGTTTCTACCCTGTTATTAGCAATGACGAGTCTTTACTGCCACGAATGGGCAAGACCTTACAGGCCTCTGTGATGATGCAACACTGCTCTTGTTGTCTAGTCTTTGTAGAGGATTGTAGCGGCTATTCAGACAGGAAAGAAAATTAGCTGGTATTTATTGGTATTCAGATATGTGCACACTGACTATTCAGGTATTCAGGTTTTCTGCAGCATGCATGAGTTGGTGTTGCACAAAAAAGAATTAAACATCATAGTCAGACAGTCCAACAGGAAGCCACATTACAAACTGAAAATAGCCAGTCGACTGTTTACTCAAGAGTTTCTACTGATATTAATTATGCAAAGAAATGTTTTCAAACTTCACTGTAGAACTATTTACAGTCCTGACGGTATTAAAATCTTTGAAGACAAAAAAGAAAAACTTCCCCATCCACCATCTACCCCGTGGGAACTGATTTAAGTCTGCTCTGTAAATACCTACACATTGACCATAAAGCGGCCTTAAATGGTTAGAGAGATGACAGCACAGAGACCAGAAACTGGTTCAAAGGTCAATGGGAATGAAATTGATACCATCTCTGCTGCCACACTGCAAAACTTGACAAAGTGGTGAAACAGATACGTCCCAGGGAACTAAAGCCATTTAAGGAGAGCGTTCCAGGAAACTACACTGACATCCATATATGTTTCAAACTCTTTAACTGTGCAAACATTTCTGGATTAAAGCTGACAACAGTTTGTGCTGGAGTTTTAAAACTATAGAGGCAAAGACATCATTTTATTGGAAAAAGTGCAAGGACAACAAACTAACACTGCTGACATTAAGATATTTCATTGTTCAGTGAAAATTATATGCTTACTTTGAAGGGGTTTCAAGTAATGCATATCAAAAAATTATACAACAAAATGGTAAAATAACACCAAGAGGAACATTTCCCATCCAGTGAATTTGAAACAGAGCAGTAACCAGACTGAAAGGACTCTCCAGAAAGTGTCTCAGTAGTACAGATATGAGGCTCCTGTGAGGAGCTTTATAAATTTTATGAAATAGACTTACATACATGTTGATACCTTTTAATGATATCCAAAAGCAAACAAGACCATCAGAGACAAGGCTGAAGATTTTTATTTATTATAATTTTAATGGCTGAAAGTGGTGTGAGGGTGAAGGTGTCAGGCAAGCAGCTGAATAAAACAGCCACTGTATTTACCGTTTTAACTTTTTTTATTCATGATAAATGATATACATTCTGATATTAGAGTGGTGGGATTTTTGTCAGGAGACACTCAAGCATATTTGGGACAAGATAAGCAAAGACTGCTTTGTCCACAGGGGCCCCAATAAAGTTCCTTACGGGGGCTTTATAAAGATTGAGAGTATTAAGAGAAATTGCTACTTAAAAAAGACAGCGCTTTTTTGGACAGCCATGATTATTACTGCATTAAAAATAGACATGACTCTGTAGTGGAAATCACTGCATGAGCACAAACAACAATTTCTTCGGACCTTTGTCAGTAAACCCACAAAAGCAGGTTTAAAACTGTACCATCGGTCAAAGTTTGTCATTCTTTTTGGAAATCGTGGACACATTTCCTCTGCTCTCCAGAGTGATAAAAAACTGAATTATGAAATAAACATATATAGTTTTTAAAAATTATAAATTCCCTCATGGTCAGGTATGTGCTTGTTTTTAATGATGTTTTTGCTGAATACTTGAAATGCAAACTCAGGACCAGCTCTGGTTACACAGATTAAAAAATTTCACACTTAAAAATGAAAAAAAAAAAACTTTAAGACAATGGAAAAAAGACTGTTGGGTCATTTGCATCACTATTTCGGTGATCTGCAACACCTGGTGCAAGGCTGCATCAGTTTTCTTCTTTGCATTGGCAAAGTTCGTAAAATTAGCTAAACAGTGTTGAAGTTATAAAGTAGTTGCACTGTGTTTTGAAGCTCTTAGGAGGAGTTTTTGACATTTATAAAGTAGACTGAAACTTAAATGAATGCCTTTTTATGATATCTTTCAGCAAACAAGATCATCAGCAACAATACTGAAGGTTGGCAGCTGGAGAGGTTGTGTCATTGTGTCATTTGAACTGTATGTAATAAGTCACGTGAACTGAAATGTTAAAAATATTGTCATGATAAAGTTGATATCATAATCCTGAAATTAAACACCAAGAGCAAAGAAAGATGTGTTTAATATCCCGATAACAGAGCCACACCTCTCCACCAATCACTCCCACAGATGTTCAGCCAGATCCACACTCCAAGTGGACGCCTTTCAGCCTGGACAAGCTCACATGTGCAGCCAGTCAGTGGGTCATAATTAGATAAACACTTCCAGACAGCCCATGCTTGCACTTCAAATGACCTCTAGTGTGCAGAGGCATCCTGACAGGGTCTGCTAGGAGAGGAGAGCTTAAAGGCTGCCTCACCTTTCTAGTCTGAAAATCTTTCAGAAGAGAGGAAACATTGAGAAAGAGGGAGAGAGATAAGTATTAGCAGGGCTTGTCTCCTGCTTTAGACTCTTTCACTGTCATCTTAGAAATAAACTCCAGATTTATGGCATCCCACAGGAAAAATATCCATCAAGTCTGGCAAGAAAGCCATGGAGGGATCCAGTGTGCATGGCCATGTCGTCTCTGCAGACACATAACAGAGCTGAGGCCTGTGCAGCATGGTCATAAATTCAGATGGGTGGGGGGTAGAGAAAGGTAAAGATATTCATATGCACACATAAAGGGAGTCAGAGGGAGGAAAACTGAGGCTCAATGAACATTTGCAATGTTGTTTGATGTATTTTACAAGGCATGATGGGATTTCAGTATGAAGCAAACAGATTCTTCATGTGCCCTTTGACTGCTCAAGAATTAAAACAGTCTGTTTGGAAACAAAATGTTCTTCTCAGCGTGTCAGTGACCACTTTCAAGTTTTAAATGTGGAGTTTGTGCTTTGAGTCATCATTTATACTCAGTTTAAACCTCAAGTTTGACTCATGTTCTTATAAGTTCCTTTTAAATATATGAGAATTTCACTTCTGAAGGTTTGAACTCTGGTAACCGGCAGCCACAGGTGGAGATAGAAGAGCAGGAAGAAGAGGAAGGTGTGTGTTTTGAACATGTACTGGAGTTACTTTTAGCAGCCAGCTCTGAATGTCTGGGTGAGGGTTATTAAGTCCTGCTTTCTTGACTTCAGGCACAAGTGGGCAGGATTCATGAGAGAGACCCTGCACCCAGCCCTGCACTAGGGCTGTAGCTATCAAATATTTTAGTAATCGAGTATTTAACAACGTATTCCACCAATTAATCGAGTAATTGGATAAAATATAATTTATTTTAGTTAAAGTGCAATTGTCGCGGAACAATCCCGGAACAAGCGTGTGCGTTAGCGGATTGCAATGCTCGTAAGAAACCTAATTATGATATTACCTTTCACCGTGTCCCTAAAGGCATTAGTACCTGAGAGCGTGAAGAGGAGCGTGAAGAGGAGTGTGCAGAGCAGCGCTGTCTCCGCCCACGACTCAGAAGCGAAGGGCTAATGAACTACTGGAGCTCTGCAGAAGAAAAGCCCCACTCATCATTCACTTTTTCAGCTCGGCAAAACCAAAACCAAGCTTACTCCTCCTTGAAAATAATCTGTGCGAAACAGAGACGATTTGAGCTAATAAATGAGAACTCGAGGCAGAGAACATTCCTTGATCACTTTTTGTAATCGAGGTACTCAAGGAATCGTTTCAGCCCTACCCTGTACCCAGTTCTCATGTGCCCATGGGTACAATGCAGCTGACCCCTAGATTCAAAGAAGAACCAAAAATAGATCTTTATCAGAACCACCTATCAGCCGGTCTTGTCTATAAATAAGGTGTTAACAGAGTAAGCTCACTTGCTTAAATATCATTGTGCTTATGTACCATCAGTGGCACTCTGACCCCTGGAGGGCCTCTCGGGTCAGATAGGACAGACCTGAAACTTCAGGAGACAAGACCCTCAAACCTCATTATCAACTTTCTTCCATGACTGCCTAAAGTCTTTGAAACTTTACAGTCCCACTGCAAATAGATCCAACAAGACCATGCTGACCTTTTCTGACCATTGTACAGTGTATTAACACCCAGAAACACACATAGACACACACTTCAGCATGGCTTTCCCAGAATAAAACACAGATAAGAAGTCTTAAGTAGGAGACACAGCGACTTCAAGAGGTTCAGCTACGTGCACCTCTCACAGACCTATCACAGAGCTTAAATATGAACCTGAGAATCAGCTACACCTTGTCTCAACTCAGGAGGATCTGCAGTCAGAAAACTTTATTTTTGGCTTCTATAAAGAAGATTTAAGACAAGCGCTGTCCACAGAGAATCCTGATCTATTAGAGTGAACCATCTCTCTGTGCATCGCTTCCACACTACAAATACGCTGCAGCTTCTCACAGTGTTTTGCCAGCTAACTGAAACCAAAGAAGCTCTCACAAAATGCTTACAGTGAGTGAACTGTATACTTTCCTTACCTTTAATCATGGTTAATTGGTAAAATATGAGTCAATTCATCCCTATAGGCCCTTAAATGATGATGTTACCCCTGAGGAATGAGGTGCACCTTGAATCCTTAAACACAGGACTTCACTATCTGATTCAAATGCAGCCCTGGGGGAAGATATATACCCTCGTCAGTGCACACTAATACAGAGTCTCCAGCTGTTGAATAAACACACGTGTGTGTGCTGTAGTGTAATACACACCACACATCTGGTCAGGAGAGAAAACTACTGCAACAGAATTCTTCATTGATTCCTGCTGGCCAGGGAATTTGTTTCCATCCCTGAATGCTGCAAACACCTTCCCAAGACCTGTCCTCCTGGAGGAAAGCAGCATTAATGTGGGTGAATAAAAAGTGGTGGAAAGTTTGCTTCTCATTTCCCTCACGAGTCGATAAAGAGATAGAAGAGCAAAGGTTGCCATTGGGGAAGTAAAACAAATGTTGAAACCAAAAAGTGTCTGTCAAAGAAAAGAGAGTTTCACCATGAAATGACCTCTGATTTGACCTCATTCCCTGAAAAGCTATCATAAAGATGAGCGATACAACTTAAAAAATCAAATCACCTTTCTTTCAAAACCAAACCCTATTCACAGTTTCAATCATTTTTTCCCCTTTATTTTCCTTTTTAAAACGAATGACCAAGAAACCACTCAGAACAAGTTTTTAGCCCCTAAGTGGTTATTTTACCTTTGCTGTCATCAGCTGTTTGGAGGTAAACACTTCAGGGTCCTATCAAAGTTGCTAAAAAGCACAATTTAACGATCACGATCACCATTTATGTTTAGCTCCATGGTTGGACTTGACCATTACAAAGTATGCTGTCGAGGAATAAAATTACATCTCCTACATGCTTTCTTGCAATCGTTTCACATGCATAACTGCACAAATGAGGCAACTCCAGCAGAATACTTGGAGCTGGTAAGCACAAACCTTTGGTCCACTGTTTTAAGCATGAGTGCAGGTCTACTTTCCACTATATATGAAGGCTCTGTAGCTTTAGTGATATGCAGCATGACTGCATTAGAAATAACTCTGCACTCCGACCTTTCCTTGTTACACACGATACAATAGGAAAACAATTCCAGTGATGTTGCCTGTTTTTTGCTGGGTGTTTGTTGGCTGTCGTGTTTTTGTGAATCTCATGGTAAGACACATTTCTCCCACTTGGCCACATACCTCCGTTTTTAGATGTTCAAATAAGCTGGTTAAGCTGGTTACGCTGATACCTTTAGATGCAACAGCCGTTAAACTGACTTTCCAGAGGGACATATGCTGCATTCCAGATGTACTCAGAAGTCGGGATTTCCGAGCTAAGAGTGGAAAATTCATCTGAAAAGCCCCCCCACCCCGAAGTCGGATCTCCAACTCAGAAAGTCGGACGATCCTGGCCAACCCCAACTTGACGATATCGTCATAATACAAGATGGCAGCTCAGTGCATCAACAGGTAAGAGTAACAGTAAAAGCTCTCGTAATGTATTATTTATTAGCACTTCTGTTTTGTTTTTGTGAAATTAAATAAGTGGTATATGTTGTACTGCCTAACATCTAACTGTGAACACTGTGCTATGGTGTTTGTAGACTAAAATACTGTGTTATGCATTTTGATTTTCGAGATAACTGGAAATCAGCATAAGTTCTTGTGCCATAAAACCCAATCAGTTCCAGAGTGCAAGACTGTGGCATTGTGACTCCTATAAATCCGTTATCATTCTCTTTCTACCATTATCTCTCTTTCTTTTATCTACCATCCTACCAGAGGTGCCAGTTTTTAATGCACCATATAAAGGCTTCAGTCCTCAAAGCAGCGGCCTTGGTTAAACTTCCACCTTTGATCATTTCATGTCATTTACCAATTTTTCTTACCTGCATCCAACTCTTCCCTCTACCCAGCTCCCAACAAAAGCATGAAAAATCCCCAAAATAATGACTAAAATCAACACTTTTGTCATACTTGGCCAATAAGGATAAGGATGACCCATCAAAGCAATTATTTTTGATTTATGGACCCAATTTTTCCACAAATATACTCATAATTGATTTACATATTTTAACAAAGCAATTCAAACCATGATTAACTCCCACTATTACAAACCATCCAAGGTTGTATGAGTTCCTTCATGAGAACTTCTTGACAGATTGTCATCACACATCTGCCAGCACAGTCCCACAGCATCAATGGACATGTTCTGTTTTCTTTCACTTTGTCGTTTTCTTCCAGTAACTTGTCTTACTAAAACAAATATTAAGCCCAGTTTGGCAGTTTAATCCAATGTCAAAGTCCAGCCAGACCTCAGCCCAAGAAGCTCGTATTGGAGCTCAGGTGTGAGGTCAAAGCCACGGGCAGAGTCACCAGCTGAATGTCCTCTGCGCTATTAGTGGCCCGTCATAACTCACCCCTAATTAGATTTTAAGCTGGGGCCAGTGGGTTTAAAATAAAAGGAAAGCTGTCATGGAGGAGTAAATATGCACTTAAGATCCAACACGTGAGCCCACCAAGACTAAGCCTCTCGTAAGACATAGGGTGCGACATAAAGCCTTGACTGGGTCCTTGAGGGGCTGCAGACAATGACACCTGAGTTCCAGTTGGGTTTCAGACGGGCTTATGAATCAAGATCTAATTACTTAAAAGTAAGAGTGTTTTTTATTTACAGTTTAAATGTTTGCTGGTTATACCTTCCCCTGCCCCTGTGTCTGCTCTCTCTGCTCTTTTTCTATAATAAGCAGAGTATCTGTGCAAGCAGGCTGTTCAGTGACAGGGGCCAGAATGACCTGACGACTGTTATATAACCTGCAGCTTTTCATTTCACCTGATGGCAGAGTGCACACCACAAACAGCACACAAACCAGAAAAATAACTATTATGCCAGCATAGCAGTCTGCCTCAGGTTCCTGTGTCAGTAAACACAAGGTCATTTGATTTACACCGCTTTAACACTTATGTTAACAATGTCGAGTGTAATGACCGGGTGTAAGGTGAAAGTTGTCAACAGTAGAGAGGAACCAGATAAAAATCTAAAAAACTCAAATGTTTAATCAAAACTGAAACTTTCAACATCATAAATATCAGGAGTGAACATGTGAGCAGCTCAGTCAAACAGTCTTGTGATGTCTAGATGATCAGAAAATCAGAAAAAGCCAAAGTGGCAGCAAATTGATTTTACTGACCAACTGTACAAATAAGGTCAACACAGATAACCGATCAAACACTCAATATTGGCTCCTCTAATCAGTGAAGGGTGATAGTTGTTGACCCCTAACATCTATCCCCTGACTCTGCAAGCCTCTGGTGTCTTCTATAATCTTACAGTTGTTTGCCAGTCCTACTTCTTCTTCCACTCTCATAATTGTTTGTCAGACCTCTGTGACCAAGACTCTAAGTGGTTGTAAAAACTGGCTTCCTATTCCAACCGGATCCAGAGCATGTGAGGTGATCAGCATCAGCTGCCATGGTGATCTATAGCAGTGAACAATCATGCACCCTGCATAGTACTGAAAATCCAGTTACCTGTCAATATCAAAAGCAATAGGTAAGAAAATATCAACATGTTGGATATTGGCAAAAGTAAAATACTTTCTAACCCAAACAAAAAACACTAAGTGAGGTGAAATTAAAGAGAGTAAACTGATGAGACTCTGAGTATGTCCAGCTATGGTGACAGAGCCATCAACAGTCTAAGCCTTATTTAACTCGTCCCCTCTGTGTCTGGTCAGTCCTGACTGTTGACAAGAGGACGTCCAAGCTAAAATAAGGCTTTGAACAGCAGCATGGGGCATGTTCTGTAACAGCACTTCTATCAGGGAGACAGTATTAACAGGCTCAACCGTTTCTCCCTGTGGTCTGAGTTCACTGAAGGCTGCGACCACACAGCTTTACTGTATGTCTGTCCTACTGTACATAGTCCTTTGACAGAGCAGCTCAAGACAAACTGAGATGAAACACCTCTCTGTTTTGACAGGTGAATAAGAGCCCAAAATAAAGATAAAACAGTCCTGACTGACGCTTTCAAATGATCACCTGGACCCAGACACAACACAGATACATCAATCTTCTGACACATGACCACACTGCACTTCCTCTCAACCCAAAGACGGGATTAGTTTCTCTGGATCGGAGCCAATTAAACTGCAGACAGTGATACTGCCCAGCGCAGAAGTCTGACACCATGACAAACAGCTGAGAAAGTGACAGTGACATAGCCCGAGTGACAGTAGACAACATGATGAAACAGAAGACAGTAACAACATCACTTTCTCACGGCCAGGAATCAAGATCAGACCTCAGCCAATGAAGTAACAGTGAACCAGGGCTCCTGTATATTTGGAGCAGCTGGTAAAAATAAAACCATTGCTCAGGGCATCAGTGCTTGATGAAGCATCAGAGCATATGCACACACCAGTAATTCTGGATGGTTACAAACAGAGACACCTTCTATTTAGGTGAAAATACCCTGGTAATAATCACCGGCTTCAGGATAGTTTCTGTGTATTTAACTCAGATATTTATTACTGGTGCCTTTTGGTATTCATATGGGATCCAGGGAAAGGTAAATGTAAATTTAACTGCCAACCAACTAGACTTAAAGTTTAAATGCACGTTAAAAAAGTCAAGATAGAGAACCTTTTTATATCTTAATTAATGAGAGGACATGTCTGTACCTAGGACACTAACATCCACAGGCTTGTAGAGGTTACACATTATTCATGTAGAGTGGTTATATGCCAGCGTACAACTTGATCTCCATTTTCTTAATTAAAAATTAGGGATGCCAGTTGAGTCCACCAAACAATAACCATCATCAATCAATCCATCAACCTGGTAGTGCTAGCTCTGCTAATATTAGCTGTGTTTGATAAACTAATCATTCTAACCTGAAGGCTCTGCAGTCTCATATTTAGCCTTAAAAAAAAATGCTAGATTTTCATCATTTTCTCATCTTCAGACTCCTTAGGTAGTTGGAACCATTGTAAATTAATTAATTTTGAACATCTCAGTTCAAAATAATGGGGAAATTTAAAAAAAAAAAAAAACCTGCAGCACTGGAAGATGTCATTTGTGTTTGTTTACATCGGGGTACTATAAACATTGAAGCATCATTGACATCAACAGAAGCTACAACCCAAATTAACAAGGGTTGGCTGTACTACATAAAGCGCAAAAAGTGGCCAAAAGTGAAGGTGGCATTTTTTTTATCGTTGAGTTGACTAAATTGTTTAAACACGCCTCGAGTTTTGGAGTTGCTCAGTGAGCTTTGTATTATTTCAGACAGGGTTTTTTACATGACCAGATTCCACCTCTTTGTGTCAGAAAACCCATCAAATCACTGTGTTTGAAGCTGCCAGACCCCTCTGAAAATAACCCTTAAGATCCAGAGAAGTGTGACTCTACCTGGTAGCTTCATTAATCATTAATTAGTTTGAGGCTGTTACTGAGCAGCTTTGGTGCTTTCAATGGTTAGTTTTGACACAATTAAATAAGTGCATGGCACAGTAGTATCACTAAGACATTCCATTGAGGCAGCAGAAAACCAGCAGCTACTGAGTAATGCAGGCTCAAATGACTGTTTTTGTCAATACAGCCTGGAGGGCCTTTAGGAGCAATGTAACAGCTGTTTCTGGTTTGGTAACAAATTTTCCCTCTTTCTAGGGATCCTTATGTTCTTCCAGGGATCCTCTCTGATCTATTACACTTCTTTTAACTGCACTATTGTGTCCTGAAATATAGTTTAGCGTTCATGTTTGAAGAGTATGAGTATTGCTGCAACCAAAGTGATACTACTTATTTGTGGTAACAAACCTTAACAATTTAGCTTATCATGACCTTGTTTTGATTGTGTATCACTGACAGGCACTTCAAATGACCGTTAGTGGCATAAACCAGCACTTTCACTTCCAATAATACATGACGGCCACTGCAGCTTCTTCTGCCTCCAGCTATAGCGACCACTTGGTCTTTTTCACAGTTATAAGTTGAAGATATGTTAGTCATTAAGACCCAAATGTTTTGAAAGATACCTCTAGGTGTAGATTCTTACTGACATCACAGATTTAGTTGGATGCTGAGTACAGAGCTAAAAATCCCGCAGCGATCTAAGTAATAGTTACAGACTGGGCTTGTATCAATGGAAAATTTGTGTAAAATGTTTAGTGTTCGTCGGTGTGTGAGTGTTGCCCTGTTAGGCAGTCTCTATTTCTGTCTGTGTGTCCTGACTGACTGAGAGAGAGCAGGTGCAGCACAATGAACAACTGTAGTCTCCCCCACCAGTCACTCAGCACTGAATGAATCACACATGGAGGAGCTCAGCAGCACAAAAATACAAATCTCACTTCATCCATTGCTTTCCTCGACTCTCACAAACACAGATAGATGCTCTTACAGACATACGGATATCCACTGAATCATTATTAGTCACGGGACTGGGGCAAACCCCACATTTTGACATAGATATCCAAGAGTCCAAACAATAACTGAGATAAAGAGTTTGCCATGATATCTCTTAGCTGCTCATACACCAAAAATACAAAAACAATCAGTTTAAGATCTAATGAGAGAAACAAAAGGATTAAAGTTACATTTAAAATATTACAAAATCTTATACTGAACCAAACAGCCAGACAAATAAAACAGACACTTTCCTTAGAAAACCAACTTTTCAGAGCTTGAAATGTAAAACATTTAACTTTAAAACTGGTTCATCCAAGAAAAGTTACCCCCCAAAGTCATTCAACTGCACTGACAGAATATAACTCATTAAATAAAAGCCACATACCTTTTTATTTCAGGTTACCTCCTACAGAGCCCTCGAGCCTTTGAGCTTCAGGTACGTACAGTAAAAATTTATCTTGACTACTTTCCTGTTTAGTTTAGAGTCTGCCTGTTCCCGGTCCCTGAGAAGGTCAGAGCTCTGGAGGCTTGTGGGACAGGACTACTGGGACACAAAGATAGACTGACAGGTCCACAGGCCCTGCCAGCTAACACCCACCAACCCCCACCCACTTTCTATCTACAACCGTCCTTTAGGGGCGCATGTGTCGTGGCCAGATCCACAGCAAGCTTGAACCCAAGAGGTGGTGGAGGGGGCGGGTGAGTGGGTGATAAATATAGAACGGTGCTTTCCCATTTCATCAGAAACAGGTCTAGATCAATCCACGGACCAACGTGACAAGAGGCCATCAAAAAACTTTTAAGACTGCGGATAACAGGAACCAAAAAAGAGGTGGATGAACTTAAAACCTCACCAGACCACTACTGGATAATAGACAAGAAAGGTGAAGGTAATCAAATGTTTCTCAGCTTGATCCCAAAAATTGTGTTTGCCTGATCCCACCAAGTGTCTAAAACATAACCTTATCTGGCTGTGCCCACTGCTCGGTTCTGATTGGTTGAAACCCAGTAACAACTGTAATTATTCCAAACAGGAGAAGCAATGCTGGGGTCAAGCTGGTTGCATACATCATATCAAAATCAATCTGAGGAATGGAGTTGGGCACATTTTACCTCTGCCTGTGGGAACCATGTCAAAATAAATGTCGAGCAACATCCTGTCCTGCAATCTGTACAAGTGCACCAGAGATGGCAAGTGCGCGTTGTGATTGGCTGTCGATCACTTGGGCACATCTGACTTCCACTTCAGGTACTCACAGTGAGTACCAATCAGACAAGTGCGCTAACTTAGTAGAGGTGAGTTAGAAGAGAGTTACTTCTTTGTCCACACGGGGGCACCTGTACACAAACACATTCCTCACAGGAGCTTTAAAATATGATTTAAAGTTAGGCTGATTTGTACTTCACAGGGTTCTCAATGTGAACGTCTCACAAAGACATTAGAGTCCATCAAAGTGCTAAAAAGCAGGACACTTAAAGAATTCAATGAGGGACAAACACCTTATTCATCAGGCTGATTATTATATGAGGTTCAACAGCAAAGTGAAAACGAAGGAAAGGACTCAAACACACACACACACACACACACACACACACACACACACACACACACACACACACACACACACACACACACACACACACACACACACACACACACACACACACACACACAACCCCAAAGATATGAAAGGGCTTCGCTGAAGTTGGTCACTGAACAAAGGAAACACAAAAGAGGGCACTGGGACCAGCGAGGCAGGAAAAGACGGGATACAGGGACATACAAGAAAGGGCAAAGGCTCTTTATTGACAGATATAGTAGTCCCTAAATAAGAAGGATTAATAGCATACAGTCAGCATCATCGATCAGAGGAAAAAGCAGTCCTCTAGTGTGATTTGCAGGTTCATGTGAAAGAGCACCATCTAGTGTTCAATCAAAGGTACAACTACAATCTTCACCAAAGCCCCAGTGTTCGGCTTTAGTGACTTTTTAAGCCTTAAAACAACCTCTCTCTCTCTCTGTCAGATACCCCAGCCGCTGATTTGTTTATGTCTGTGTGCAAAGGTGAACCCTAAAACTGATTGATGTTTTTTTCAGATGGAGGAGGAAGCAGGTCCGGGCACTGGGCCAAACTCTGAGGCTCCTCAGCAGGGTCTTTGAGCTTTGAATAAGCTTTGAAAGCGACGGGGTTCAGCCACTCCAGAGCTAATTAGCAGAGAAGCAACGTTTGTTCTTCTGAAGCCAGCAGAGGAAATGTTAGAGCAAACGTGAATCCAATTTGGCCCCCTGTTAGGAGAGAGCTGGATGTTGATTACTAACATGTCCGGGCTGCACTTCACTGTCAGCAAAACACAGAAAAGCATGGGCAAAAGAAGTGGCTGCTTGTTTTCCATAAACAGTTGCAGATAGACCACAACAATGTCCCAGAAAAACTGGAAATACGTGTCCTATTAAGTCTCCTCTTGTGGCGCTCGCTTTGATGAGGGTCAGCCACGCAGGCAGACTCACACTCAGCAACTTTGGTTTAAGGGAATATTCAGTCTAACATGCATGACCACAAGCACAGGTCAGGGCGACTGCAGAGACAGAGTGGGACTGTTCAGCCCTGAAACCTTCAAACAGCATGAGATGCTTTTCACACGAAGCACTGAGCATTAAATACCAGCACCAATTAAACAGAGACACAATAGGAGCCTGTTTAAAGCGCTGTGAAAGGACGTAACAGTGAGAAAGTGACGCACAAAGACAGACAAAGAGTAACAAACTTGCTGTATGATCACAGGGTTTCTGTGGATCCTGAGAAAGTCTTGAAAATCCCTTTTTTTCCCTATGAGAGGTCTTAAACTTTAGATGGAACTTTATCAGATACATGTTACGTCTAGAATGTAAGGTCAGTGTTATAAGATTTTATATTATTACCTTTTTTCCAGGCATGTTTACATGGCAAATTACAGCATATGAAGAGGGATGACATGGATAAACTCCAAACAGAACAGAGAAGGAAGTGCAAATTCAAGGAAATGTGGCCTCAAGATGAAAAATACAAGGAAGGAGAAAAGAACGATTATGAGGAAACTTACAAACTTTATATTGATAGTTTAATATCCCACACCCATGTTAAATGTCATTTCTACTGCTGTGCAAAATTTCTATCAATTTTTCTGTTTCACTGTGAGCAGCAACCTTGAAAGATTTTTGTTTAAACAGTACATGTACACCTGAAAATATTATTTAAAAAATCGTCTTTTCCAAATTTAATACCTTTCAAACTCACTGCATGCAAACCTATCTTCATTTTAGTAATTGGTAAATTTCAGACAACCACATCTTAAAAAGCATTTTCAAAGTGGGGTTATTTAAAGAGGGGTAGTATGCTATTTTTCAAACTCTCTCTTTCCTTACTGATATCTCTTTATAACTACATGATTTTTCTTTTTTTTTTGATAAAAAAGCCCCAAATTTCCCACAGTGGTGTATTAAAATATTATTTCAGCCTCTGTCTGAAAAGCATAGTTTTAGCTGCTGTCTCTTTAAGGCCACCCTCCAAAGCCTACTTTCTTCTGATTGGCCACCTCTCCGGAGGCTTTTCGGAGAGGGTAGAGCACGATGTTTTGGCCCTGCTCCCTCTATTATGGTCAATCAGTAGAGCAGTGGAGCAGTGTTACGCCATCTCACGCTGTTAGAGGGAGGCTGTTCAGCTTTGCTGGAAGCACAGATGAACGAGTAAAGAGAGTCTGTTGCAATGACCTCATTAGTTTAATGAGTCTTGTGTAATCTCACGGCATACTGTTTTGAGCAGTTTACATCTATTTTCTAAAATTATTACAAATAACATTTAAAAATGTTGATACATCTAGTATTCATAGTCTGGTAAGGACACAAAAGGTTGAAACTTTGCTTTCATGTGGAAAACAATGATGAACGCCCCCGCCCTTAAAGCCATGTGTGGCTAGTACGTGTATTAGCCATAATAGAAGCTGGTCAGTTCTGTGCCTTTAACGAGAAACTGCTTGCATGCTAGGCTACAGGTCTGTGCAGACTGGGCTAAGTCTGCCAGATAAGTTAGCTCATTTTGAAAGACCCCAACCAAAACACTCATGTTAAGTGTACACTCCACTAAGAATCAGAAAGGCCATTTGATTTTGTTTTTTTCACAATTTTCACAGATACATCTAAACACTCCCTTTGACAATTCAGCAAATAGGATCAATCACCCTGGTACGTATATTATCATTATTATTATTATATTATTAATACACTTTTTTTTTCTGGTTGCGGCACTATTATCCATGCGTGTGCCATGTTTTTCATTTGGTTGTGATGATACAGGAGTCACTCTAATCAAGTTTATTTCAAAAATATATGAATGACTGTGACTTTGCTGCATCATCCTTCTTCCTGTTTGTACCCCAACAAACTTGGAAAACCAGACCCTGCCCTTCCAGACTGCATTGAGAGTATCCAGATGTGCCACAGAGGTTTTCATCAAAGCTTCTTCCTTTTCTTGAAGAGTCTGCACTCTCCTCCTTTCACCTTTGATGCAGCACACATCAAGCCCCCACACAAACACACAAGGCGAGGCCACGCAAGTGCAGCTTTCAGTGGTGCACAAAACAACAATTCAAGGTGTCAGTCTGCAGCCACAAATAGAGTGAGAGGAGATAAGAGCGTCAGAGAGGGCAGATAAGGGGGTTGGTGGGTGAAAGAAAAGCAGGGAGCAAAAGAGGGTGGAAGAGTGATGGCAAAGGAGTGAAAAGACAAAAAGAGGTTTTTTTTTTCTTTTAAAAATCAACACTTTACCTTGACAGGATCCATCAACGGGATAGACGGAGGTTATCAAACTATACAGCTCTCTCTCCCTGTTTCACCTCCTCTATCTAACACTGCTGCTATAACCTACATGTCTCCTGGATGGAGGCTAATTTACTGCTGCACAAACCAGAGCTTTCCCACCAGAGGCTGCCACCCAGGCTCCAGGCAGATAAAAAGGCTTTCAAAGCGCATTAATGAGCGGATACTTCCACCGCTGAGAGCAATCACACAGCTGAAGCCAGACAACACCACAAAAACAGAAGTTGAGACTGAAATGAGAAGGACTGTACCTTTCATTGCTCCTCTGCTTCCTGTCGTTATCAGTCAGTCAGTTTATCCCCCAGAATAAGTCAGCAGCAGTCAGGACTGTTGCGAAACAGCAGGAAAGAGAAGAGAGATAGCAGGGACATGGTGCAGAGGAGAGCAGGACTGAGGGAGAGTGAGATGGCGAAGGGGAGGACTGGAAGGGACTGGCGACTCACCAAGAACCACGGCCCACAAAACCACAGGGTGGGTTTAGCGGTGACATGAGTGTTTGCCCGTTTAGGCAACAAGTGGCACAGTTAGAGTCAGTTTGGTATGTAGGAGTGTGTCACTGGGATCCCTGCCAAACATTTATCACAAATAAGAGGGGAGAAGTACACCTGGAGTGTGTCTAACGGTGCTAACGGACAGTATGACAGCAGTGGACTGAAATTAGAGCGTGTCCTAATGAGGGGTGAGGATGAATGGGCTGGAGAGAGTCACCCAGCAGAGAGACCAAAGGGGGAGGAATTCCTTTTATTCCTTGCAGTGGTCCTGATGAGTCAAACAGAGGGACAGTAAACCAGAAAAAGAAACAGGCTCACAGACAGAGAGAGAGAGAAGGAACTACTTTCCCACATGGCTGAAAACCAACAAACACACACAAACATTAACCAAGGTCCTGCCAGTGATAAGTGTGTGTACTGTATCATCCCTGTGACAGTTTGAGAGCCAGTTTTCGAAAAGGTCAGAGGTTAAACACTCTGAACTGGAACTGAGCCATATTTAAGACTTCAAAGATTGATTTGGAAATCTGGGCAAGTGCTATAAAATCATAGTTAAAGTTAACACAATGGCGCAAGAGTCAATTTAACACAGTGCACCGAATCCTGGTGGTGTAGAAAAATACTGGACTAACCCCTAAGCATGGAAACAAGACTACATGGCATCTGAAGTAATGAGAAATTTCAGCCTCGTGACCACTTTTCAGAGCAGTTCAGTGGAGAAATAACTGTGTAGGAAGATATTGAAATTAAAGTTTAAATTAACAGACTTTAAAGGTAAGAGAACAGTCAAAACCAAGCGCCATCACCTAACAAAGCCAAATACAGGACCACAAAGTTTGACAGTGTCAAACGGTTGTACAGGCTGTGACTGACTCCTCCTCACAGGTTACCCTAACATGCTGTGATGCTTACACATTGCTCCAGTTGAGTGATTTTAACACCATTTTAACCAGACAAAGCCGACACGACACAAGGTTGTATCTCCGTTTTATAGAACAAAATGCTTACAAACCAAGCCACCATTCAGATAGCAAACCATTACAGCATTGTGGCAGATTCCATGACCTGAATCTAAAGCCCCAACTGGTGGTGGGAGACTGAACTACAGCTTAGCCCACAGACAGTATGATAAGTGGACATAGCGTCAGTGACGTCACCCATTTGTTTGTGAAGCAGATTTTTAAAGCCAATTAGCAGCGGTCGCCATAGTGGGAATGCTGACTCAGCTTAACAGAGGCCTTAAGCCTTCTCTCAATTAGCTGCAGTGTGCCCCCCTCTCAGCTGCTGATCTAGTAACCTTAATAACTTCAAAAAGAATGTAATCAGGCTGTAAACATGTTTACTTTTGCTCCAAAAACTGGCTTTATTTTGGTTCAGTGTGTATGTGGTGTTTCTGCAGACAGCCACAGGTGGACACTCGGGGAACTGCTTGGCTTTATTTCTTAAGATCGGAGGTTGCCACTTGTTGGCTTTAGACATAACATTTAAACAGCATTTTAGGCTGAGAAATAAAAATGTCAACCCATTTCACCGGCTAGTATTTCTGGTGCTGACAAGGGAAGATGACTGCATTTAATTGTTAAGTTGATGCTCATCCTGAATGCAAACACATTAATTTACCATCCCACCCAAATAAGGTTGAATTCATACTGGGGTTTTGGGTGTATGCACAGGATCAAGGACCAAGAGAATATATTTGGCAAGAGTAAGCAAAAGAGACTTCTCAGTGAGGTGAAAACCAGCGCTCCACTTTCTTCAGTTTAGTCTCATCAGGTCCCTGCATACCTTTAGCTCATGCTTCCTGGAGCACATGGTCTAAAGCATGGCTGGGTGTGTACACAAACATGTGCGCACACCCTCAGACCCTCACTCCTAACATCTCAGGCATTCTGTGTGAATGCTTTCCTATAAAAGGCGAAGTGTTAGCCGCAGCATGGCATCAGCCCAGAACAATGATGAGCAGCACCAGGTGTAGGTGTGTGTGTTCATGTGCATCTGTCAGCTAGACACAGTCAGACTTTAAGTATGACTCCTCTTTCAGTCATCACCAAGCTCTGATCACTGCTAACAGGCCAGACATGCAGGGGGAATAACAGCACCTGGATCAGCTGATAACATCTGATATTATGAGCTCACACGCTCAGCTGCATCAGGGTCTCTTCATGGAATTACACACCGATCTGACAGTACCATACTGATTTTTTTACAGGATGACTTAACCCATGCAAACTATCAGGTATACGTGGTTTCCCTTCCTCCTGCAAGACCACCATCACAGATCTGTCATCAGATATTACTGACTAAACTGAATTTCAAGAATCTGGATTGAAACAGCTGGCAAAAGTTTTCTGCAGTCTCGACGTGGTTCAGTCCTGCCGTCACCAAGATTATGTTTCAGCGTGAGTCACATCCATGTAATACTGAGAGGAAAAAAGTTCCATCAGAGGCCAGCTGTGACATTCAAGGGGGAAAACCAGAGAGGTGTAAGATTGATGGGTAATTGTTTGTAATTGTGGGTTAAAGAGATGAACTTTAAACACACAGCACACATGTGATTTCAATCTGTACAGGGGAACAAAGTGGGTGGATCTGATTCCACAATATTTGTGTGTGTTAGAGGCGTGTCAGTGTATGTATGGAGTCTGGAGGAGCTCAGGGGGCTCAGGACTGAATTACAGTTTAAGCAAATAGCAGGAAGCTGTGAGGAAGCTGTCAGCAGATGTTACATATACACTTCAGGCCAAAAGTTTGGAAGCAAGACCAAAACAGGCCAAACATTTGGAAACTACTTCAAATTTCTGTACACAATGCCTTTCATAAAAATAAAAAAAAAGTTAAATGTATTTTGGGATGTATTTATTGCATGACTAGACTTTGCTTTCATTGAAATGCACCATTTTCCTTAATTTACCTTTAGGTATACATTGATGTTACCAGACCATTGCTGAATAAATGTCAACAAAAGAAAGGGAGGGCTTAGTTTTAGGTTCAAGAGGATTAGCAAGAGTCACAAATTCAGTGTAAAAGTAAAAAAACAAATCACTTTGCATTATTCACTTTTACTTATTGGCTTTTGAGTGTCTGCATACAAAAATCCCAATAAATCTCACCCGTGTTCAAAACTCTGACAAACTATTGCAGAAATGGCTAGAAAGAAGAAACTGGGTAAAGAAAAAAAGAGTACAGATTTGTACATTGAGAAAAGAAGGATACACTGAAAGGGAAATTGCAAAACACCTTAACGTGTTTAACAAGGAGTCCACTAACTCTGAAGAGACTAGAGGAACCTGGAAGTTTTGATGATAGGAAAAGGCCTGGACGAAAGAGAGTTACTACAGAAGCAGAGGATAAACATATTATTGTCATCAGTAAGAGAGATCGGCGAAAAACAGCACCACAAATAAGGGAGGAAATCAACACGACAAGGTCAAAACCCATATTTCTGACAACCGTGAAATGAAGTTTGAGAAAGGCTGGTCTGAAGGGTTGTGTATCTGCAAAAAAACATTACTTCGTCCACAGAACAAGAAAAAGAGATATGAGTGAGCAAAAGCTCACAAAAATTGGACTTATGATGACTAGAAACAAGTTTGCACTGTTTGGTTCAAAACACAGTCTATGTCCGCGGACGAACTGGTGAATGTCTGAAAGCACCATGTGTTACACCCACAATTCAGCATGGAGGTGGTAGTTCCATGGTATGGGGATGTTTTGCAGGTGATGGAGTAGGAGATTTATTTGAAGTAAAGGGTATCATGAAGAAGGAACAGTACCACTCCGTCCTCCAGCACCATGCTGTTCCGTCTGGACTCAGACTTGTGGCTCATAAGTTTGTTTTGCAGCAAGTCAATGACCCTAAGCACTCTGCCAGCTCTGTCAGGGTTACTTAGATAAAAAAGAAGAGGAAGGTGTTCTTCAAAAGATGGTTTGGCCCCCTCAGTCTCCAGACCTTTCTCCAATTGAGCTTGTGTGGGATGAATTGGATTAATTAATCAGAAAAGGGCGTCCCACAAATCAGCAGTCTCTTATTGATGAACTTAAGAAAGCTTGGAATGCAATTCCTGCTACATACCTTAAAAAATTGTGGAACGAATGCCTGGTATAAGCCAAGCAGTTGTTAAAGCCAGAGGAGGTTCATTTAAGGAAAGCAAAGTCTAAGCAACAATAACTCAAATACCTAATAATTATAGTCTAAATGTCTTTTGATAAGTTGTTCTTTAGATAATTATCAGGGTTTTTTTTGTTGCAAAGTACTATGATCTTTTTTTGCACAAATTTGATCTTGCTTCCAAACTTTTGGCCTGTAGTGTATGAGTGTAGAGTTGAGCTGTAGGAAGTTCACAATCTTGGTACAATGAAAGAGAGTGGGTTTGGTGCCAGATGTTATAAAGAGAATATAACCATTAAAACCTATTAAGAAAGTGTATTGGCAAGAATCTGATGGGGAAGTGTTATAGGTATTTGTTTGACCTGTTCCTGAGTTAATTCAAAATTTGCAGCTCATATTTGCATATGTGTACTATGTTTTGACATTCAAACCAACACTGTTTAAAGATCTTAAACACATTTTTTTAACTGGAGTAAATACATTTTGTATAAAATCTCTTTTTTTTTTTTTTATTAAAACCAAAAGTGTCCCAGATAACAGCTACCTTAAAGTGAAGGCAAAAAAACTTTAGAGCTCCCCTTGGTGGCCTGCTGCAGTAATCAGGCTCTTGATTAAAACACTTCCCTGCTCACCCCTGCCGTTGGTACGGCTACATTAGCTGTAAAGAACAAAAATTTTGCGTGAAACACTTAAAGTTAGATGCTACATTTGTCAAGTTTTTACCATCAAAATTTCACCTGTGATAATTCTTCTGCAAACATCAACCGCTCTTGTTTCTTTATTTCACCAATTCATTAGTTTATAATTTATCATTTTGCACACTGAATGTTGGCTGCTGTTTGTTCTTGTTCAAGTGCAAGACAAATTTCCCACTTGACAATAAACTTGATCCTTTCTAATTGTAATGTACAGTGTTGTCTTACCATTTTTACACTGTACTTTTTGCTTTTGCCAATTAATGTGAAAAAATAAGAACCAAGATGTACTAAATTTTGTCACAAAGAATCTACCTTTTTTTTTAAGTCCTCACATAAATCCCAATCATGACATAATTTAAGGTGCTGCATTTCTACCTGTTATACTCACTAAAATAATAACAAAATTTAATGTAAATTTTACTGCCAAGACTTTTAGTCTTTAAAAATCTTTAAATCAGCTCGAAGAAAAAAAAATTGACTGTTTTCTGAAAATACGATAGGTCATCAAGAGTGCTTTGGTTGACATTTGCACATGTGTCAGGGTCAAATGGCACCCAGCCAAGTCTCTCTCTTGTAAGCAACTTTTTAACCAATTTTTAACAGTTTTTAAACAACTTTCAAGGCTGCATTTTAAGAGTTTGCCGACTTTGAGGTTGAACTTTTACCATGTATGGGCACTCTATAAACTATGACTTTGGTAACCTGAGTTACTCTTTGGGTTTCAAGAATAAAAAATGTTAGACTTAAAATTTGAATCCAAATTTGATAACATAAGTTTATACTATCACTTAACTCTCCACCTCCCAAACTCCTGCCCCCTCTAACAGCCAGCATAGGTGGAAAAACCTGTGGGTCTCGACATGCCGGGACCTCTGACCTACCACCTCTTTATACCATAAAGGCTGATAAAATAAATGTTTTCTGCGTCAGAATTGAGATACTGACTACCAGCTGAGTACAGTGAACTGTGCGAAGACCCTGCAGAGCTCCTTGGTGTGAGAATATCAGAGTTGGCGCGGTAGGAGTAAACACATTGCTGAGTGGATCAAAGTCCATCAGGGTCCCTTGGCTAAAGCACTCAACCACTCACTGACACAATTAGGCCACTCAGGTCTTTGTGTTTGTGTGTGTGTACTTGGAAACACACAGCCTATTGTGTCAACACAGCAGCTGCTGAGGTCTAATATTCCTGACATGAGGAAAGAAACAACACGAACAGGAGATGGTCTGTGTGTCAGTTAAGACCCTGTTATCACTGTGAACCGCTTACATTGAGGCTTCTGTTGTGTTACAGAAGATTCAAATACAGATTGGTAACGTAGTGGCACAAATGCTGAAAAGACCAACACCAGTCCTGAAACAAACCCATCCACAGAGCTGCAGCAGGATTACATGATGCTGACTTCTGTCAGCTACTCTACATACATGTGAGCGACTTTAATGTCAACCTCTTCTTTGTAGGAAAATCTGTATTTAGTTCACCTCTCTACCATACTCTGAGCCAACTTACTTTAACGCCCTCCTTAGCAGATATAAGAACCCAGATGAACTACTTCACCAGTTTTTAGCATCTGTTTTTATTTAATGTACAACCTTACTTTGTTAAGGATTCAGTGAGCTTTCCTCATTTTAAAGATAATAAAATAAAATCCAGATGGAAGCACATTTATACGACTAACCCAGTGCAGTACAAATGTCCATAAGCTGCTTTGTGATTTTGGCAGGATAGGAGTTCTGAATGATGTCTGGATAGAGGACTTCAGGCTCCTTAACCCAACACTAAAAGTGGGATTTCTGGGGGTTTAAGCTATTTTAGAAATATTTTGTAGTCAGAGGTTTTTTTATTGTATCATAAAAATAATACGACCTCTTCTAAAAGTGCTTAAACTAAAATGGGGCCATTACTTTAAGCAAACATTTGCAGAAGTGATGAAAAGACACTAAAAAGAGGAATAAAACGAAAGTCCAAATATACTCAAAAATGACCACTGAAGTGAAATCAAAAGTAAAATACCTACAAAAACACACAATTACAAACTAAACGATGTGCTATAACCGCAGTCAGGGGTGTGAGGTTTGGCTCTGTCTGTTGTTGCTTCACATGACTTCACATGAGCAGTGACAGCAACAGAGGCCTCATAAAGGTCAGCGCAGGTCTAGCTGACCCCTGAAAGGAAAGCTCATATCCCCTCTTTCCTGCTTTCATCGAAGTGCCGTGCAACTCAGAAACGTACACTATGTCCTGTTGGCTGCAGGTAACGTGTGTTTTTTTTTCTGTCCCATGAAGCATTCAGAAACTCTTAAGATGAGAATCTGTTTTTACGAGAGGAACAAAAGGATTAAGCTGATGTACTTACAAGATGGTCATAGAGACAGCAGATTCAATTTTCCTCCTTCAGTGTCCTGGTCCATGAACTCCACCTGATCCTAAAAAACAAATGATTTACTGAGTCACCACAGAGAGTTTGGGTTTTAAACTTAATATTAAAGCTGTGACAGACCTTTCTGTTCACATTACATTATGCAACAGAGCCTGGAAAACAAGCTGACAGCACAGAGACATCTAAATCGAGTAGAGCCCATCTGTATGTCCTCATAATAAATCAACAATACCCAGATAACTGCTCACAGAGGGAAGAAAACTGGGAACACCCTGTTCGAATGACTGCATTTCTGTTTATTCATTGACAAACCTGTGAAATCCACTGAACAAACTTAAAGGGGAATATCGTTTTTTAACAAAGGGCAAATTTAACTTATTTTGAGCTCTAAAGGAAACTAAGTTTTTATAAAGTTTAGGAACAGGTTCTGACAATGATCCATACCAGCAAAAGCTATGACTATGTACAGTAAATGAGTGAACCAAACCTTCACTAAAGCCATTAACAAATCAAATGCTGGTCAATTAGTGGACAACACTGCAGCATTGTCTGTGTGACCTATATGAGCCTATGCCCACGCAAGAGTATGTAAGGTCAGTGAACCCAGAGGCCCTGGAGCTCCGTGAATAAAACCAATGATTTTAACGCATGGGATCTACTCACGTCAGAACTGTCAATGTTATTTATACAGTTTGAATCTATTTAATAAGTCCTAGCATTAGAGCTGGTCCATTAATTAGGTATTTTTTACTGTGTATTGTCGATTTAAACAGACAGACATGCTTTCATTAACAAAAAACTGTTTTTTTTGCATTTTTCAGAGTTTTACAGTGGTTTTAAAGGGATATTCCATCTTAAAATTAGCTCAGGGTCAAACACACCAGAACACCGAGTTAGACACCCCGTTGAGAGATGAATGTTGCAGACTGCTTGCTTCTCTAGTTATACCAATTTTAGTAACGACGGCATGATAGCAATACACAGCAGTCTATGTCTCCACACACATATAGCCACAAATAATGCTCAGAACAGCACCTAACTTCATCAACAGTACATATAGGGTCCCAGCTATAGTATTAGCCATCAAACATCTTTTTAACTTTGCCTAATTTCTTTAGCAAAGAGACTAAACACAACTCACCTACTCTCCTCCAGCAGCCGCTTGTTTGTGGGGGAGCCTTAACAAGTTGATCACAGTGCAGGTGATCATTTCCATAAAGTAATATTCATCATATTAATCATTTTTGCACTGCAGACGCTGTAAGTCTTCTGCCTTAGTGTCTTGGTCTGATTGCATTTCCATTAAGTAATGATCATAAATGTTCTTCCCTGAGCTGCGAAACTCCACTGCACTCAGCGATCGAGTTCAAAATTCAGCTAGCCCTGTCTTAAGTAAAGGCAAGCAATCAGACACTCTTTGAATATTACAGTCACCCAGGTATAAAGGAGCTTTCCAGGGATATGGTACGGTTTGAGATGGACCAAACAGGAATCTGGTGAAGTTAAGTGGTTCACAGCGATGTGAACCACTTGTTTCTAAAGAGGTGTTATGAGGCTCAAAGATGGCAGGCACCATGTTGGTCAACCTGGATACAGGCAAAGAGGCGAAACGGGGACCTCGAGTCTGGCTACAACACAACCATCTTTCTGCTGTAAGTCACGCCCATTATTATGTTGCAGTTTTTTGTAGAAACAAATGCACAGATTTAATTGCAATATCTCAGTTTCTTGGACAGAGATTTTAGTCTTGTTTTCATTTTGCCTTTTTAGTGCAGTGCTGCTATGATGACCATCCTAAATCCTCTCTACAAGAGGAAACAAATGTGTTTCCACTGACTCCTTTACACTTCAAATTTCTGAAAGACTGAATCTGGAAGTTCAAAGAAGAGAAAATAATGCAAAGAAACACAGGGAAAGACTCACAACAAAGATCTTGTGTCACAATCAAGCAGGCTGTTGATTTATATGGTAAACACACCTTGAACCACTGAGCCTCAAAGACGCTCTTAAAATAGCACTTTGTGGAAATAACACTTTGTGGGATCTTATTGTTGAGGGAGCTGGAGGGTAATGCAAGAGCCTTATTTTACAAACTAGTGATCTGGAACCCAACATGTGTGCACAGAAGGTCACACAGACACTAAATTCATGCCGTTCCAGGCTGTTAGGTTTTATATTGTCTCAGTGTCACTGCTTTTTAAACACCACAGGCGTAACCAAGCGTAAAAAAATACAAAATTCTTCAACACTGTGGCGATGTTTCTTTTCTTTTTCCAACAAAAATGTGTTTAGCTACAACATCTTGTAGTTAGAGTCTTTTGTGAATATTTGTGTGTTTTATTGGGATTGATTTACTGGTGGGGAACAAAAGAGGTGGGGTTGTTTAGGGGATTATAGACCAATAAATCATTCCTGTTTTGCATGTTTTTGCTTTGATGTCATGGCAACCAAGCCCACCCAAAAGACATTCAAAGCATACATCAGCTAATCAGCAAATACAGATGGACTAACAACCACATGGTATGCTTAGACTGGATTACAGGTGGTACCTGCTTCTTTACCAGCACCAAGTCAGGTCACCCAGAAGCAGAGACCCACCAAGCATCTGCTTCCAATAACCTCCCTGCAAGCTTCCCCTCCTCCTTATTCTCCTCATCTGAGGGGGTCTGTGGAAGGCAGCGGACCCATCAGATCCATCTGAAGCCCAAGCCCCAGCTCTCCGGACCAGGGCCCCCAAAACAATGATGTAACGCCCAATAGGCTTATGTAACTAACCTCTGCTAGCAGTTTCTCACTCTCTAATAGTGAAGGTGGAGACCCTGGGAACTCTGGTAACTCAAGTCACACTGCACACATGCACACACACACAGAGCATGACACAGTAGATGGATCATATTTAAGGGCTGGTGCTGCTGGATTACAAAGAGAATACTTTTCAGCCTTGCTTTTCCATAGGATTTGGTTTTATCTGCCCAGGTTTGAGAGGGAACATTCAGTCCTGTCAAGACTCTGGCAGAGCAACCTTACAGAAGCATCAACCTAATGAACTGTACATATCTCTTTGTACTTTTTTAGACCCCAACCATTAGAAAGTCCAGCAAATTTCACCTCTGCCTGTTTACTATGTGGCAAAAACTACAGTTTTTCAGTCAACAACTTCAGTTGTCTTTAAAGACAAGTTACACTTGTCTTAGAGAGGGAAAATGATGACAGTTAGCTAAAACATACAGGATCCGTGTTGAGCACGTAACGTCAGCGTCACGTATCACACAGCAAATAGGTTTCCCATTCTAATCAATGCAGCATCGCATACAGGATGTGTATCAGCTCCATCGCAGCTCTGCATCAGAAGCGTATCAAGCAGCTCCGCTAAACATACGCGACAAGTCTATATTTGCTGCTCTACACTTCCAACACGCATCAATTCACACAGAGAAGATCTTTCTAGACAAGATGTCAAGCACAAAAACCGTGCATGTCATCTGGTATTTCAAAATTAAACACCATATGCGAACTCCTGACTGTGTGTCAGTTAATGTAGATGAGAAATACTTCCTGGTTATGGATTTATCAGTAGCACTGAACAATCCGATGGTCAATCCCTGATCCATGTGGACCCTAACAGGACTTTCGACTGCTAACTCTGTCTGAAGGTAATAGCATAGCATAAAGGAACAAAGTTTACTTTATTAAACATGAGTAAACCTGCAAAACCCAAAACTGTAAAATCACGTTGCTTTTTCACATATAGTAGAGGCTCAACAGTCACTGACTTATATCCAAATCAGCAGGAAATAGACCACAGAAAGGCAAAACAGCCTGTTATGAGCTGCACTAAGCTGCTGCTGCCACACTCTACGCATCCTGTATGTGATACCCAATGCTGCTCTATGGAGCAAATAAGGAACGCGCTCAATACGGATCCTGTATGGATACGGCTTTAGTCAGGACAGATGTGAACCAACCTGTGGAGGTTTTCAAGGTGTGTCAACTGTAAAGCTCTGAGAATAAGAGAAAGTGAATAAGAACATAAAGGGCATCAATTTAAGTCATCCTGCAGAGGTCCTATTTACTATGTCTAATAATACCTGCCAAGAAAAGTTTCAACTTAATGCTCGAGTGAGCTTCAGTGATCAGTCAACAGAATTGTCATTATGTTAAGAAGATAAAGAGAAGAGGCATTAAGTAAGATGCTATTTTCCTGTTGTTCACAACAGTTACACTCTAATAAACTTAGATAAACATGCAGAAAAGTGCAGGTGCTGCTGAAGTTGTGTTTCCCTCTGCCCACTGTGTGAGTGGCTGCTCTGCCCTCCATCACAGCCACTACACCACCAACTCTTCTCAAGTCTTGAGGTGTTTAGTGATGTTGTTTTAGTTTGTTAAAAAAGACACAGAAGTCACCTTTATGTCTGTTGCAGGCAGAGAGGGAGCAGAGGACAGTGACATCCTATAGTGCCTACATGCTGATCAGTCCTGACCTTCAGACCAGCTAACAGAGAGCTGCAAAGCCCTGCACCATGATGGATGCCCATCCATCATGAAAACTAGAAAACAAGAAAACTAGACAGTATGGACAGAAATCACACTTGATTTAAAAATACAACACCACCACAATTTTTTTAATGTTACAGATAATGAGAATTGATAGCAAAGATTTTACTTTAACCTGCATCCCATCAGCATCAGTCTCTAGCTAAACTAACATAGAATATTAGACTTTGATGCACATGAAATTAAGGAATAATACATGATTTTCTTGTCTTACATTCTTAAGCAAATATTTACCTTTTAGCTGCTCTATTTTAACATTTACAGATGACTGGACAGAAATCTTGAACTCCCTTGTGGCAATATTTTAATGAGCCAAGTATTTTTTATACCTATGTTTCATAAAGTTTTAATGCAAATCAGCAATTTTGTATCTTGTTCCATTTTATTTTGTCAAATGCAAAATAAAAGCATTTATATAACAGCCATCAGCTGGTCTGCCTCCTTAATATTTGCATTGGCAACTGAAAAACTGTATCAATCTACCATACTTTACATTTATTTTGGGGAAATCTCATTCAGTTTTGCCTTTCATCACCAATTATAGCATTAAACAGGACGAAAATCCAACATAATCAAATTTTAAACCATTCAAGGTGTCCATATGTTCATTTTTGCTGCACAAGTACTGATATAATTTGGGTTTTTTTTCCAAGTAAAGTACAAAGTTCAGGATTTTGGTGTTAAGAAAACTCTGGCAACGAGGCAAGACACCGAAAAGCATGTCTAGTGTGAAGTTAATGTACAAGTTGTGATGCTGGAGAAACTTTTTAATTTAGTACCTTCATCATCAAGCACACAAGGAATGAGCCTCCTTAAGTGAAGCTAAGACATCTCATTTCCAGAGAAGCTCTCAGTTTACTGAAGTGGATATAATGTTTGCCTCAGCTTAACTCCATCTCACCAGAGCTAAACCCTGCAGACAATCCCAACGTCACACACGGCAGACAGGTTGGAGACACTTTGATCAAACTCTACTAGGAACATTCCTTATTTCAACTTTGTCCAAGAAAGACACTGACACTAATAACCACCAACACCACCACCAGCAGTACATCACCGGATACTGATGTCAGAAGACAATGATTGGAGTATTCTCTCCCAGAGGAATGTTTGAGAAAGTTGTTCCTTGTTTTGTTGGCTCAGGTTATGTGGACGTGAAGGCCAGCCTGAAAAGTTGGGCTTCAATTTGAAAAAGGAAATGTGTGTTTTCATAAAGAAGGTAGTAAACTCTGCTACACTGCATGGAAGAAGAGGCTAAAGTCTTAACATGCACTTTGAGCAGATGTCCAAATAATTGAGCCAACTCATCTAGATGTGGATGTATAATAAACAAAACAACAGCATCCAGAAATGGAGCATAAACAAAAAGAAAGGTTTCCTGTTAATACCTGGGAGAACCCTTCAAGGTTATTCAAACAAATCTGTGTCCTTAGTAGATCAAATTATGCCTGATCTACCACAGAAAAAAAGCAAAAATTTGCTTGGAGAAGTAAAGAGAAAGGAGTAAAATCCAGGTGAATACCTATCTATCTGTCACTCCACTTTCTAGCAATGAAACTCAAAAGAAAGATCAAGCACAAGGAACTCAAGTGTTGTCTCAATCCTTCTGGGTTCGCTGACCTCTCAACTTGAAGGATTGGCAGAGGGGAATGCCTGCTAATTAGCTTCCCTACGCACTTCCAAGTGTGGAGCACAAACACAGAAGTAGCTCTCCCAATTACCCACAAGTTATTTATATTGGCAGATTAGGCGCACTGGACTACCTGCCAAATAAGAAAGGAAAGAAAAAACACTTGGACATTGTTCCATGCGTGTACTAGTGTGAGTGTATCACAGTGTGAGACGCAACTCGAAAGACAGAATTTGCACAACTTTTTGTACCATTTTCCAAACTGGCTACAGCATGTGCACTTGGTTTGTCTGTAAACAAGTCTAAAGGAGGTGTTTTCCGTGAACTACTTCAACCAAATAAGCAGTTGGCTTTGCAAAGGTGAAAACAAACGTCTTACACAGCCTCATGGCAATGTGTTTGGACTCGACACGCCAAACATGATTTGGAAACGTACAGCTTACGGTTTTTTTGTCTCACACATCAGCAAATCATTACTATAAGCTCGATAAACTACCTTTTGGGGTGACAAGTACCCTTTGGTAAATTCGGCATACAAAAATGCTCCAACAGCAACAATTCACCCTGAAATGTCCTTACTTATCACCCTTGGGGTTGCTGCTGGCAAGGGCTCGATTGTGAGGTATTTGAAGGACATAACGCCGTGGAGATATCTTACGCGCCCGTTACAAAAGCCAATATTTCCCTATAATAACAATGCTTATAATGTGACATACTTGCCGAAACAATGAAACTGTTGTGTTGAGTCATGCAAGAACTTAAGATATGATCTTAAGCGAAAGACATTTGCGCTAGAGCAACGCAACTCTCACTAAGAACATTTTTCGACGCAGTTTGGTGCCAGCTCCCACACGTACTGGAAGCGCGCGTTCAGACGCCCTGATGTCCTTCCTCTGTACAGCACAGCAGTATTAGATGACATGTATAGTGTAACATAATCGATGTGGTGCCGTGAGCTGAGTTCAGAGACAGTTATTGAGTCTATTGTGGTCTTGGTCCTGGTTCTCTAGTTTCACACGTTGTCTAAACGCAGTCATTACTGCACCTTTTACTTTTCTCTTTGAGGTGATGTGGATGATGTCGCTTGATATCAATAGCCTCCACCTGTCGGGTGGGTGGACTCACCTGGATGGACAGTGACTAAATGTTTCACAGTTTATGTTACAAAAAGCATGCACGTTTTTTTGACATCCTCAAAATTTCTAACTAGCGCAAATGTCAGTGAAAGCACCATCTGACGGCTGCAAAGTGAGGTACATTCACATGATTTCTTGCAAGTTATTGCGTTAATAAAAGTTACAACTTAACCCCTGTTCTGCCATTGAACAAAACTTGCAAACAAGAACTTCTTTCCCAGTAAAACAGAGCAACACGGACTAGGGCAGGGTACAATGCGCAAACATTCAGGCAAAGTGACTCACCGACGCTGTCCTGCAGAGAACAACTTCTCTCTATTGACTGAGAAACCATCAAACATAAGCTCTTGGAACATCCCGCGGACACACACGCTCACCCGATTGCCATCCACGCAGATCCGCCTGCTGTAAACTTCAGTACTTGGGTCAAGTAATCTGTAAGACACGGTCAGAGGCAGAGAATGTCAAAATAAAAGCCTCAGTCGCCTAGGGAAGAAATTTTCAACCCATCACGATTTCAGCCGATTACATGCGTTATTGTTGGCTTGCCGTTTTTCCTTTTTTTAACTCCATTAAGTTGCTTGATTGTTTTGATTAATCGATTAATTGTTGCAGAATTGAAGTTCATTAACATAATACTGAGCTTTTTATTGTCATTGCAACTCTAGTCACGCTGTTTGCCTCCAATGACGCTTCCCAGGCTCTTATTTTGAAGGCAAGGTTTCATTAGTACTGATCTTAGTCACTGGTTAAACTCTGACTTGATAGTCATTCCTGCTTTGAAAAAATTGAATCCTTTCTGTCCAGTGACATTTTATCCACCTGTAGCGTGATGAGTTTTCACTTTGTAATTTTTGTAATTTATCAGCCATGCTCTTCAGGTCGTCTTTTTTTTGCTACAGCAGCACCTGATTTACAAAGTGCTTTCAGGACCCAGATTTTGATTCTGATTCTGATCTGATAAGTCAATAATGTTCCCCTGCCTGGACCAGGGTCAAAAAGACCTGGAGCAGAGGAAAATTTAATAAACAGAAGATTTTTTCATAACCTACTTGGCATTTGAAAAATAATGATGAAATACTGAGGACGAGGTCAAACTTTCAGTAAATAGACTAAAAGTTTAGAGAACATATATTTATACATTCATTTATTTTTGATGAAGTTATGAACTCTTATTCACTCAGAAACTTGAAAATGAAAATGTGAAAAAACAAATATCTTCCTCTATCAGTTTCTGGTATTTAAAAAAAAGTAAACAGGTTCCTTGGCAACTTTAACATTATCCTCAGAACTTATAAATGTAAAGCAGCCCACTGCAACGATCCAATAACCAGCTTTATTACCTATCAAATACTTGATTCTGATTGGTCAAACCCATCTGATGAAGGTTTTAATTCTGAATGAGGTGATGCTATAGAAAGCCTTTTCATACAAATCAGATTAATCCATGTTTAAGGGTCTTGCATGTTTACCACAGAGTCCATGGTTTCTGCTGTTCCTGTTTAAAACGTTGCTAAAACATCACTCTTGATAGCACCAGTACACAATAATACTTTTACTATGAATCATATTATTTGGAGAGAATAAACCCTTTAAATTGGTGGTTAATAAAAAAGAGGGGGCACTGCAGAAATTAACAGAGTTAAACAAACCTCAACCAAATTGAAGGAAATAAACGCAAAGCAACTATGCACCACAACAAAGTATGGGCACTGGCAGCATCAGAGGACTGTTTTATGAAAAGAAGATGCCATCTAAGAATATTCAGTGAAGAGGACCTCATGTTTGACTTTAGTCATGATGTTTGTATGCACAGTACAGCTGGAGTCACGATTTGGCACCTTGCCTGAACTACTGTCCTTGTCTCAGTTTTCAAGCACTGGGCAAGAATCAAACTATTGACAGAAGCATGTCCACCTCCGATACTGTAGATTGTGACGTGCATCCTTTCAACTCATTACTATGAGGTGATCTTACTGTTGACGTATTACGTATCAAAGCAATTGACAGAGCTTGTTAGCGAGATGTACATGGATGTACTGCACGTTTGTATGATAGTTGGTTCGTCTTTTTTGTACTATTTATTCATCAGTCTAGGTTTTGTTTACGACTCTGCTTCCAAGAAGGGTAGTAAACACATTCACCATATTTAACTTCTGATTTGAAGCCCAGAGTGAGAACATGGCGCATGAGCCAGTTTCACCCCGACTGAGCCAGCATATGAAGGAAATCATTCATACTCATACTCATTACTGTATCTAAGTGTGTTAGTGCGACTATGAGAAGAGTGATTTAGTCCAATTTCAGACAGACAATATGCAAACATGTTTATAAATATGACCCATAAGTGGGCTAATAAAAATGTTGTTGCCATGAGAACTGTATCAGCTGTTAAAGCTGGGGGACCAACATTAAAGCTGTATAAATACATCATTAAAATAAACTTTGGATCTGTATTTAGTATTAAATTCTCTTACTAAACATCTACCCTTATTGTTTTTCCTCTCATCAGCCCTCATACTCCTTCGTATCTGTGTGACACACACTCACAAACACATTTAAAGTGTTCCTGCAGTGACTTATGGGGTCAGCTGCAGTGCAATGGACAATCAATTCTCAGTCTGCTCTAATGGCAGAGTTAACAGTCCACGCATCCTGTCCATTAAAACAAACCCAGGCAAACATGCAATAGGAGCAGTAGCTGGAGCTGTTTTTTTCTTTGAGACTCCAGCAGTCAATAGTATTGTAAAATTTAAAATGCTGAAGCTGAATAGATGCCTTCCGTCACTGTAAAGCCCTGTCTGAAAGAGAGGAGACGTCACTTGTGGTTTTGGGTCAGTATCCTGTCAGATGTGGGTTGCTGAGGTGGAAAGGTAACCATGCGACTTTGTTTGACTGACTTGTCGCCTCTTCTCTTTGTTCACTTTGCCTCTTTTGAATAGTCTCCACGGTGCTGAGTTTTTGAAGCATGTTGCTAAGGGAAACAGGCCCATGGCAAACAAATGATCCCCAACCGCAGTCAGCATAGTTGATGAGCGTGTAGTGAACATGAAACTTAACAGCAGCCGTATGGAAACACAGAGGAGGAGTTCACTGGGAGCAGAGGGTATGTGTGTAGGTCGGAAACAAGGCTTGTAAAATTGAGTTTCAGTTCTCCAGAGTGATGATATTGTATTGATATAAGTTATGCAGCGCTGTGGCTGTAAATGTTTGCCCTATCTTGGTATTCAAATTATTAGGTCAGTATAAGAGATAAAGGACTCTTTGTGTACAGAGGAGGGAATACAAACACGTCGTTTTTGTCACAACTGAGCTGCAGCCAAATGACTATCCTCAAGAAAAAGATGACAGTTGTGTTATTGAATGTTCCTCAGAGAAACCAGTATATTTAAATCCAGACATATACAATGTTATATTGGCATAAAGCAGAAATAAAATCATCACAATTCAGCTGATGTGAATAGTTAAAACAGAAGAGCATCTACAGGCGCCATCAGGCATTGGCAAAAAAAACTTTACTTTTGCCTCCCTTTGTGCACTTTCACACAATAATTTTATTATTTCTTGTCTTCTAATCTACATTGTTCATCTGTTAACTATTTTTTTTCTGTTTTACCAGTTAAATTAAGTAAAGACACTAGATTTTAATCTTGAAACATTGTTTAAGGCGGGTAAAGTTAGGATTCAGTTAGTTTTTGTGTTTTTTAAAAGAAGCATCGTGGCTTGGAGGGTCTTAAATGTTGCTTGTGAAAAGACGGTAATATGTGGTATTGTGAATAAAATATTGACCTTTAAATATCATAGACAGTCATGTGAGGTAACAGCAAGTTATGTTTTGCCCCACTTTTTGTAGAATATTACATTTCCATGTATCAGATTTGAGTTTATGTTTGTGCTTTGTTCTTTGTGCTTGCAGGGTCAGCGTTTGGTCAGAAATATAAGAAAGATGAGACCTGTGATATTGATTTCAGTTTCCAGACTCAGGGAAAGTGGATGATGAGATCCAGGCCGTTGCTCTGACTGCAACCTCTCCGGTTTGTCTGTTTTGTGCTCTGAGCAGGACCAGCTTCTGGGAAGTTTGATGGTGATTCCCTCAGGCTGTGGATGCATCAGAAACGCATGTGGCTCCAGGACGACTTTGAGGTTGTGACATTGCACACAGGGGTTTGGCATATGCAGCATGGGCAACCACAAGTTTCTCTAACGTCACATAAAACAGAGACAGGGTGAACAACGGAAACCAGATAAAAATATTATTGCATCATCATCCAAGGGAACAGTCACAGCAAAGAAGGAGAATGAAGATTTACATTTGGACCATCAGTCAATAATCAGGGTTATTGGCCAGGATCAGAGCAGGAAAGAGGGCTACAGTAATTACCCTCCTAGTGCCCCCACAAGCACAAGCAGGGGGACCCTCCATTTTTTTCTTTTCTTTTCTTTTTTTTTAAGGTTTAAAGGGAACCCCTTTTAAAATGTTTTAGTAAGTCCTTCTCATAATGAAATACCATCAACTTTATTAACCTTACAGCAATGAACCTAAAACATTCAGTCCACCAGTACAGTGATAAAAAGTTGTGCTCAAGGAAAGACCACAAGTGTCCAGAATCTAATAGCTGAGGATTTGGGAGTGGCACCTGGGCTATTGGATTTAAAAGGGGGTCCCCTCTGGCAGCCCCTGATACTGAGCTGCATATTCTCCTGAAGTCGTCATATTGAGTAACCAAGCTTCAAATCAAATAAACTTTTATGATTAAATAACCATCAAGAAGCACTTTAGGCAAACTAATCTGCTTTGTTAACTGAATAGTTGATCTAAGGTGGACAAAATATAGTGTTTTTGCATTTTTGTCAACCCTCAGGATGTTTTTTTTAGTATATAAAAATTCTTAGTGTCTTTGCTTGTGTTAAACTGCTTTCATTTTATGTGTTCTTGCTAAATTACCTTGACATTTTACAGAAATTATGGAAAGAAATTGCCATATTTTTCTAAACTTTTACAAATCAAACGTTTTGAAGATAACTTTTTTGTCTTGTAGAGGAAACATCATGACCTGAATTTTCAAAAAGACTCTATTTCATCATTTGCTGTGTAAAAAAACTATGTGAACAACAGTAGGTCAGTATTTATTGCTTCAAATTCTGCATCCCTGAATCCCCCCCCCCCCCCCCCCCAGCTCTGCTTAGGACTCAAGCTTAAAGTTTTCATACATCACTTAAGTGTTTGGCAGTTGCATGTATTTCCTTTCATGATCATGCTGATGTTTGTGAAGATTTCTAACAATTTACAATGACTGACTCTGCGTGGGTCAGCCTCATTGCTGCATGCCAAATGAGTTTGCATTCTTGGCATTCGAGACGCTGTGTCTTTAGAGGACTTCGACTGTGCCGCTC